ATTGAAAACATAATACCATTTACATAAGCCCTCCTCAAAATGAAATACTTAGGTAAGTTTAATAAAATATGGACAGCATCTGAGGATAGACTAGAAAACTGTGATGAACAAAATCAAAGAAGAATGAAATAAATGGAGATATCTTGTGTTCATGGATAGAAGCTCAGTATTGTCAAGATGTTAACTCTTCCCAACATGATTTAATGCAATCCCAGTCAAAATCCCAGCAAGTTCTTTTGTATATATTGACAAACTGATTCTGTAGTTTATATGAAGAGGTGAAAGACCCCAAATAACTAATTCAATATTGAAGAACAACAAAGTTGAAGGATTGACACTACCTGACTTCAAGACTTAGTATAAAAATCTATGATAGTCAATACAGTGTGGGATTGAGAAAATAATAGTCAGATCAGTGGAATACAGAACTCAGAAATAGACTCACATAAATACAGGCAACTGATCTTTGACAAAGGAGGAAAGGCAATACAGTGGAGCAAAGATTATTTTTTCAACAGATAGTACTGGAACAAATAGATGTCCACATGCAAAAAGGTGAATCTAGACATAAATACGACATCTTTTGTGAAAATTAAGTTGAAGTGGATCATAGACCTAACCGTAAAATGCACAAGTATAAAACTTCTGGGAAATAAAATCAGGGAAAACCTAAATGACCTTGGGTACAATGGTGACTTTTTAGGTACAAAACCACCAAAGGTATGATCCATAAAAAAGAATTGATGAGCTGAACTTTAATGAAATTAAAAACTTTTGCTCTGTTAAAGACAATGTGAAAAGAGAATGAGAAGATAAGCCACAGACTTGGAAAAAATATTTACAAATGACACATCTGATGAAAGACTGTTACTCAAAATATGCAAAGAACTCCTAAAACTCAACAATAGGAAAATTAATAACCCAATTACAAAATGGACAAAATTCCTGAATAGACGCCTCACCGAAGAAGATACGTTGATGGCAAGTAACATATGAAAAGTTGCTCAACATCGTATGCCATTAAGGAATTGTGAATTAACAATGAGATAATATGATTCAACTATCAGGATGGCCAAAATTGAAAACACTTGGCAACACCAAATGCTGGTGAAATTGTGGAGGAATAGGAACTCTCATTTGTTGCTGGTGGCAGTGTAAAATGGTACAGCTGCTTTGGGAATACAGCAGTTTCTTATAAAACTAGACATACTGTTACCATAAGATCCAGCAACTGTGCTCCTTGGTATTTACCCAAATGAACCAAAAATATAATCCACACAAAATCTTGTGCATAAGTGCTTATAACAGATTTATTTGCAGTTATCAAAACTTGGAAGCAACCAAGATGTCCCTCCAGTAGGTGAGTGGATAAATAAACTATGGTCATCCAGATGATGGAATATTACTCAGCACCCAAAAGAAATGGCCTATCGAGCCATGAAACCACATAGAGGAATGTTAAATGCATATTACCAATTTGAAAGCCAATTTGAAAAGGCTATCTATTGTATGGTTCCAAAGCTATGACATTCTGGCAAGAACAAAACTATGGAGACATTAAAAAAGTAGTTTTTGTTAGAGAATAAGGCGGTGGAAGGAGTTATGAATAGGGAGAGTACTAAGGATTGTTAGGGCAGAGGCACTACTTTGGTCATACTACAATGGTGGATACATGTCTTCATACATTCATCAGAGCTCAGAGAATGTTCAGCACCAAGAGTGAACCTAGTGAAAACAATGAACTCTGGGTATTAATGATGTGTCATTGTGTCTTCAGTGCTTGTAACAAATGTACCACAGTGGTGTGGGATGTTGATACTGTGGGAGATTGTGCGTGGGGGCGGGGGGCAGGGGGCAGGGAATGTATGGGAGCTGTTGATACCTTCTGTTCAGTTTTGCTGTGAACCTAAAACTCTAAAATGTAAAATTTATTAGTTGAAAAAAATATGTAATTTACCCATAATAACATTAAATGTAAATGGGTTAAAGAAGGTTGGCAGAGATTGGCAGAATGAATTTTTTAAAAACATGATCTAACTATATGCTGTTTATAAGAGACACAGCTTAGATTCAAAGACAGAAATGAGTTCAAAGGAGGAAACAAGATATTCCATGCCAACAGTAACCAAAAGCAAGTTGGAGTGGCTCTACTAATAGCAGACAAAATAGAATTTTAAGACAAAACCTTTTACTAAAGACAGAAAGACATTTTAAAACTAAAAAATAAAGAAAATATAACAATTATATATGCACTTCATAATAGAAGCCCCAAAATGTGCAAGGCCAAACTTGATAGAATTAAAAGAAGAAAGACAATTCAGCAATAAAAGTTGGAGACTTCAGTACCTTATTTCAGTAATAGATGGAACAACAACAACTTGTTGGTTGAAGATCAACAAGGAAATAAAACCTTGAACACTGTTAATCAGCTAGACCTAACAGTCATCTGTAGAGTACTCCACCCAAGAGGAGCAGAATACACATTCTTCTCAGGCCCACATGGAACATTCTCCAGGATAGACTGTAAAATGAATCTCCGTGAATTTAAAAGGATTAAAATCATGTGAAATAAGTTTTGGCTTGTATGATTCAAAAACGTCAAGGCCGGGGCCCCTGGTTGGCTCAGCCAGTTAAGTGTCCAACTTTGGCTCAAGTTATGATCTCACAGTTGGTGAGTTTAGGCCCCACATCAGGCTCTGTGGAAACTGGAGCCTGCTTCAGATTCTGTGTCTCCCTGTCTCTCTGCCCCTCTCCAGCTCACATTTTGTCTCTATCTCTCTCAAAAACAAATAAACGTTAAAAAAAAGAAAAGATTCAAAACGGGCCCCTCGGTGGCATAGTTAAGCGTTCAACTTCATCTCAGGTCATGATCTCATGGTCCTTGGGTTCAAGCCCCATGTCGGGCTCTGTGCTGACAGCTCAGAGCTTGGAGCCTGCTTTGGATTCTGTGTCTCTTTCTCTCTCTGCCCCTCCCCTCCTCGCACTCTGTCTCTCTCAAAAATAAACATTTAAAAATTTTTTAAAAATTCAAAAATGTCAAGGCCACAAAAGACAAGGGAAGCACGAGGAACAAGTTAGGTTAAATCTGACCTACTAAATGAACTTACTATCCTGGATTGGATCCTGGACCAGAGGAAGAAAAAAAAAAAACATCATTTCCTTTAACGAAATCAGTACTGTGAGTATTTAAACTCACGTTCTCTGGAAATTCAGGCACAATTACTCCAAGAAAGAGGAGGAATCTCTACGTACTTGTTCTGGAAAGTGTTCAATGATTTTTCAGATATTTATTAATCATTTGTATTTTCTCTGTTGTGAATTATCTGCCTTTATGCATTTATCTTCACTGTAGGTATTTCTCATTCTGAAGTCTTACTGATTTTTTTCTTTTGTTTTAATTTGTAAATTATAAAACAGCTTCCTTGTTTAAAAAATAAACTGTATAAATGGGCGTAAAGGAAAAAAAAAAAGCCCCTCTCAGCTCCACTTCCCACTCTCCAGATGTTCTCCCTCTTATTTTAGTTTTTTAAAGCTTGTCTCCCACCCTTTTTTCTTCCTTGCACTCTTTAAAAATTTCTAAGTATTTTTTGTGAATTACTCATGGAGCAAAAGCATACATCTTTAATGGACTAGGAAAGCAGAGTTTGCAGTGAAAAAACTGTATGTTAACCTCAGTAGATTTTGTGATTTTATATTCAAAACACTTTTTTTTTTTAATGTTTTATTTATTTCTAGGAGAGAGAGAGAGACAGCGTGAGCAGGGGAGGGTCAGAGAGAGAGGGAGTCACAGACTGAAATGGGCTCCAGGCTCTGAGCTGGCAGTCAGCACAGAGCCCGACGCGGGGCTCGAACCCACGAACCGCGAGATCATGACCTAAGCGAAAGTCGGACGCTTAACCGACTAAGCCACCCAGGCGCCCCTATTCAAAACACTTTTATGTCTAAGAACTTTAAAAGTCTGAAGACCTTAATAGCAAAGCATAGATACAACTGATACATAATCAGAAATAAGACCATAACACGTAGCAAGCTAATAGCTTAAATTCTGGGCTGGGCTGTTGGAAACTGTTCCATAGTCTTTGGTGTTATCCTTTGATTTGGGGGGAAAAACCCACACAGGAGTGTTTTCGCCCCTTAGTTTTATTAACAAGTGTGAGCTGAAATTGATACTTCACATAATAAACTCTGCATGGTACAGATTGGGGGGTAGGGGCGAGTCGTCTCTCACAGGATTAACTAACTGAACCTTTTTTTTTTTTTTTTTTTTTTTTACCCTTCATAGGATAATAGAATTTTAGAACTAAAGGTCCCTTAGAACATCTCTTCTTCTTTTTTTTTTTAATTAATGATTTATTTATTTCTGAGAGAGAGAGTGTGTGAGCGAGCGTGAACAGGGGAGGGTCAGAGAGAAAGAGGGAGACACAGAATGTGAAACAGGCTCCAGGCTCTGAGCTAGCTGTCAGCACAGAGCCCGATGCGGGGCTCAAACCCACACGTGAGATCATGACCTGAGCTGAAGTCGGTCACTTAACTGACTGAGCCACCCAGGCGACCCTGGAACATCTCTTCTAACTTTTATTTTATGGGTGAAAAACCAATGCTTGGAATGTGGTAGACATGAAATGAGGCTCATACGGAGTAAACAGCCTATTCCTGGCCCCCCAGGAGTTAGTGACACTTGATCTGTGTGATTTCAGTGAAGGAGCCAGAATGGTAACATTGAAGCTTCACTTATTCATTTAACAAATGAATGAAACATTTATTGAATGTTGAAGATAGGGCATGACCAAGGAAAGGGAGTCATTCAGGTCCTAAATGACTTGTAAATTAATAACTGTACATGATGTAGTAACCACTTGCTCTTTTCTCATTGCCAGAGAGGAAGGCCAGTTGCCTTAGCTGTCCTGGAGCCTGGGAATGTGACATGTGGAATGAGAAGTAGGCCTCTCTGTGGACTTTTGTAACAACCTGAACTTTTTTGTGTGTTTTTTTTTTTCCAGCTAGAAGAAGAGAGATCTGTGCTCAATAATCAGTTGTTAGAAATGAAAAAGAGGTAGGCTTGCTTTTTGTGTTTATTATTGTATGTGTGTGTTCAATGAGGAAACTGTCAGAATATGATGTATATGGTGACTTGTAGAAAACATGCCAGCTCCTAATTGTTCAGAAGATTGGATTGTGGTAGTTTGGTGCTCATAACTGATAAATGATGAAATTTATTTGCAAAAGTTACAGTATTAATTACCAACAAAAAGATAAATTTTTAAGCTATGGTCAGTTGAATTTATTCAGAAGTGTTCTAAAATCAGGTTGTCTCATTATACTGCTGTTACCTCTTCAGTAACTGAAAATGCTGTAATTTTGCATAGAGTAATTGATCAGCATATAAATACTGATTATACTATATAAAGATTTTAACTTTTCAGTAATAATTGTTAGCATCAATTTGAATGTTTGTTTTTTAAGAAAGAGCTTTCTTACCTGTTACTCTTTGACGGTAATCAAATCAGTAATCAAATGATACTTAAATGGAAACCTTCCAGCACTTTGGAGTAAGGATAAACGGGACTGCAGAAATAACCGTTGAGAAGGCTGATGCTCATATATCTTGACAGTCTCTGTCTGCTCTTGTAAAATGTGCGGTTTGTGTCTTGAGAAATTCTGTGCTTTACGCTGCATGCCAGGCAGAGGGGTGTGTGCTGTTGCCAAGAGCCACAGCCCTGACGCTGGTTTGCTGAGTAGATGTACATCACGACCATGACATACTTTTTTCTTCTTATTGAAAACAAAACTAAAGATAACTGTTTAAGAATAGCTTAATCAAGAATTCATCCACGCTCTTGCAAAGCATTTCATTCTTTCTTGTCTGGAAAGAGGAAGTTTCCCTCCCAGACCACTGGCACACGTATTTTACTCTGGCAGCGTTTGCTCCCGCCAGCATGGTTGGGGCTTAGGAATTGAGGGCTTTACTTAGCCTTCAGAGATATTGGGATCCCTCAGAAATATTGGGATCCACAAGAAACTTTCTAAAGGACATTAGGACTCAGTCCAGGAGTGCCTTTCCTCCTTTCTTTTTTTAAATTAAGAAATACTTAGATTCATTGTTATTGATGTTTCACACCAGAATGCACATGTTTCATCACTGCCCCCACCCCCCATCCCTGTGCCCCTGTGTACGCAGCCAGGGCAGCTCTGCGGCGGGGGGGGGGGGTGGGGTGGGGTGTGCGGGCTCAGGATGTTTCCTTTTTACATAAATAAGACTCCATTTCCTTAAAGAGAACCTTCTTATGCAGTTATCAAGGATGTGTAAAAAAAAAAAATTGATAGGGCCTATTCCTGTGACATTCTGGCAGGAGAACATGGGAAAATGGGCTGGTATAAGTACTGACATTATCCCCTGTGTTCATGATTCACAAACTTAATCTCAGGACAAGCAGTGAAATATATGGTGGGGCCTAGATTTACAAACGAAGAAACTAGAGCCCAAAATGTTAGGCAACTTGGCCAAGAACCCAGATGCAAGCATAAGACAGAGGGCTTCAGATGTTTATGCTGGCTCTTTTCTCACTGTACGTTTATTTATTGGTTGTTAATTTTAAATCTTCATAAAGAATAAAGCTGCTATGCTTCGTTAATCTTATCATGTCACTTTAAATTACATGCCTTTCAAAATATGAGCAGGCATGTGACTTTTTTCATGGCTTAAAAAGGTAGAACAAGTTTGGGTGCTTGTTAAGGCCACTTTACTTCACCATCTTTGTTCCCATGTTAAGTCCTGGATAAGTCATTTCAGGAATGTCTCCTGAAAATTACTCTTTATATATCAGTAAACGCACATAAACATGGTAATTTTTTCTGAAAGTGAAAATTTTGAGAACCTGACTTATCCTATTTAGCACTGGTTTTTTGCCAAATTAATCCTCATGGGAAGTTGTGTCTATTTCTGAAATCTGAATGCAAATATATTTTAGCTAATAATTTGGGCCCTTAAAGTGTCCTCTAAAAGCCAGTGTGATGATGGATTCATATGTAGGTCTATGTGTAACAGTTAAGTAAATTTAGATGGCGTACTGAAAAGAATTTGATACATTCTTAATTTAAAAGTCTGCAAAGTACTTACATCATAATGATATTTGCAGTGTAGTTGTTCATGCAAGAACTGAGATCTTAAGAGTTTCAGAAGTGATAACTAAACATACATAGTCAAGATAGTAATAAGTGTGTCATTCAAATGGTCATCGTATTGAAGTGCAGAATTTACTCCTGACTGGCAGGCACAAACTACTTCTCATTAAGTAGTAGGATCTTCCTGTATTTGCTCTGCTTTTTTGGTACCTAAACATTGAATTGCAAACAATCTGTAGTTAAGATTTTTCTCTTAACTTAAAAATTCAGTCCTTATTTTGGAAGCTGGTTTCCAAGTCAGGCGGACCACTTTCAAAACAGGCTCCAAGATATCAGACAGAGCAGAGCCAACCTCGAATTGCTCTGATTGACCGAAGTGGAGAAGTGTGCTCCCCTGTCCACAAAAGCCTACAGCAGATTTGGGAACGTGTTTGGCCTCCCTCCCTTCTCTAGGCTTTTTGATGTCAAAGCAGGGACTCCAGAGCCAAAATCTTAGATGTGGAATCAATTCTGTTAGTGTAAATGCAGGATAAATGTCAGGAACGGAAACTGGTTGGCGACCCCGTCTAAGACACTGGGTCTGAGCTCCGTGCTACTCCAGCTCACTAAGCTCACTGTGGGTTGCTGACTGTCTGACTGTCTCGAGCTTGCGCTACTTATCAATGCTCATTTCACCCTCTCTTTTCCCTTCCCTACTCCTGCTTCCTTTGCTCTATCTGTGTGTCTTTAATGGTAAGACTAAAGAAAGTCTATCCACGTTATAATAAATAAATTTCATATATTTTTAGTAAAACAACTTGTTGTATATATTTTTTGGCTGCCTTTGTCCCTCTGTGTCTTGCTTTTGTTTTGTAAAATTTTCTCAGCAGCAACACACACACACACACACACACACACACACACACACACACACACCGGTTTTAGATCTATATACAGCAAAGAACTTCAGTGCAAATTTAGTTCTCCTTACTATACCTGCATTTCTTTTCATGTTTCTAATGTTTGGTTCTTGTTATCTTGCATTTTTAAAGCTTGCCCAGTAACACTTTAAGGTATTTGCTTCATTACTAGAATTTATTTCTTAAGTAAGTAGTAAGGAAAGAATCTGGGTAATTTGTTCCCCGGAGGGGAAAGGTAGCTGGCCCATATAGCCGTTCTTTCGTACCATGTTTATCTTCCCTTCTTGATAGTCTGAGCAACACCAAGTCCTTCTAGCCAGCATGGCTTCAGAGCATAGTACACTCACTCCTGTCAGTGTGATTTGTGATTCACATGTCAGTAACATTGGCATAAATGGTTTAATTTAGTCCCTCTTGGTTTGCGCAGTGGGATTAGGGTTTAGAAATAGCCCAAGAAGCCAGCAGTGAAGCCCATCCATAAAGACGAGCTGCCGAAGGCTATTTGTCTTGTCATTTGATATATAAATCACGAGGCAGATCCCTCTCCTAACCATGTGTCTCTTAACTTGTTCAAGACATGTTCTGCTTGCCCATCTTCTTCAAAAGCAGCCTCGCTTAGGGGTCGTGTGTAAGTGAGAAGCAGACAAAGGTTCCGGTACCTTTTATCTTCTGCCATATGGTGGTGTCTTCATCCCTCCCTAACACGAAGACGCTATGAGATTTTGGCTACCTGGAGATCTGATTATAGAAGAACTTAAATCTGTTCACTAACCTTATATCCTGGTGTTTTTTCGGTAAAAACACTAAAACTGCGGTTTTCAAATTTGAGTTGGATTAAGTGAAGCTCTTGAAATAGTTTTCACATTAGAGGAAACTACCAAATAAGTTTAACCAAAACTTAAGGAGCCCAGGATTTTGTGGATAATTGTGGATAACATCAGATATTTACTTTCCAGGTGCAAGAGGTGCCCATATGTTCCTTCCATCGAAATCTTTGCTTTGTTTTAGCCTAAGCAGGATCCTTTTCCTAGCAAGGTGTTATTCACTTAGTAATTTAACAGCACCAATACCCACCCCCTCTCCAGTGTTCATATCATGCTTGGGTGTTGAATTCAAGAAATTTCTGTAAGTCTCAGATTCTTTTCTTACTACTTATCATTCTGGACTATAAGTGTAAGCCACGCAATGAGATAAATACAACACTTATATTTTCATCTTTGTGTAGAATCTCAATTTACCATAAATCATGAGAATTCTGTAATTCGTGTGCCGGATATCTTGGGTCTCACTAACCAGACATACATTCTGCCATTTCTAACCTGGGCCTCAGTTTCCAACCCTTCCAGTCAGTTCTCAAACAGACTGAACCATGTGACATGCTCCGTGTTCACCCAGTCCCTCCTTCTAGAACCGGGAGGGATTTGGCTTCTTGTTGAAGTTTTGAACTCTCACAGGTGATCATCTACGTTAATGCAATGTTGTAGGTTGGAGGGCCTGAGGGCTAGCTAGGATATTTTTCCAGTCATGTTTTTCCTAAGATATTTTTGTGAAACAAGGACTTTTCTTCCCTCTTGTTTCACACTGCATGTAATTTTTAAAACCTCTTTTATTTATAAATTTTAGATTTACAGAAGAGTTCCCACATATCCTCACCCCGCATCCCCTGACACACACACACCCTGGTACATTGGTCAAAACTGAGAAAGTAAAAAATAAAAAAAAAAAAACTGAGTAATGTTGGTTCAGTATGCTTAGCTAGACTCTAGACTACTCTATTCAGATTTCCCCAGCTTTTCCATGAATGTCTTTTTCCTCTTCTGGGATTCCATCTAGGAACCACACTGCATTCAGTGGTCCTGCCTCCTCAGCTTCCTGGCGTCTGTGACAGTTCCTCAGTCTTTGCTTGTCTTTTGTGACCTTGGCACTTTCTGAATGCATTTAATTTTTACAACAAATATTTAAATACACACACACACACGTAAACACAGAGTAGCTTGCCCTTCTAGGTTTATCTATTGTGTCTTGCACTCCCCCCCCACCCCCGTCTTCCCTTCATCTTCCCCTTCTTTTTCCCAACCCTTGACTCCAGGATAAATGTTCCCTCTCTTTAAGATATGGTCCCCCTCCCTCTGCTGACAACCAAATGCGGAGTCAGGCTGAGAACTTGAACCAAGGGCTCTGCTGGTCTCCCTCCAGATTCCTCCCCCCGCCCCCCGTGCTTTCATTCTACACCAGGAAATCCATTTTAACATTTCTGTTCCAGCCTTTATGAAATTATCTGTAATCTCTATGAGCAACTTAATGTCCTTTTCAGATTCTATGGATGAAAAGTAATAACCCTTCAGTATGAATATCAGTAATAATCTTTGCTACTGTTTTGGCCCATGAGATCTCAAAAATACATTCTTGGAAGTTGCTAAAAGTAACAAATTAGTGAGAACCAATCGATACCTCCAGCATAAAACTGCTCTGCATGACATCCGTGTATAACTGCTTTGCATGTGTGTATTTTAATTGTTGTTATATGCTTGGTAATAATTTATTCAAAAAGTAACGGAATTCAACTGGGGTGGGGGTTAGCTTTTAAAAGAATTCTTTGGGGGGTGCAACAGTCTTGTTCTGTTTTTTGTTTGGTTTTTTTTTTTTAATTCTACCTCTTCCAAAGCTATTAACGTGTTTTTTTAAATTCAAATGGATACAATGATGTGCAGATTCTGGCATGTCTATGCATAAGTAAACTTGTTCTCCCTCACAGTGAGTAAAATTTCAAGTAAAATTTTGCAAGCATAATAGCCTTAATCCCCCTTCAAACTTCCCCGTGATACTTTTTTCTTTACATTAACTCAAGTTAATTGCGTGTTGGTCATAGGGCAGTTGGACACTGACCACTCACTCGGTTGATTTCTGGAATTTTTAACTCTTTGGTCTTTTAGAGAATCCAAGTTAATAAAAGAAACCGATGAAGAAAAAGCTTCCTTGCAGAAATCCATCAGCATTACTAGTGCCTTACTCACCGAAAAGGACGCAGAGCTAGAAAAACTGAGAAATGAGGTAAAGTACCGTCTGTGGCTGTGTTCCCGTCGCCTCTCTCTGTTCCCGCCCGAGCCTAAGCTCACCTGCTGTGTTTCAGGTCACGGTGCTCAGGGGAGAGAGCGCCTCCGCCAAGTCCTTGCATTCAGTCGTTCAGTCTCTGGAGTCTGACAAAGCGAAGCTTGAACTCCAGGTAAAGAACCTGGAGCTTCAACTCAAAGAAAACAGGAGGCAGCTGGGCAGCTCCTCAGGTAAGGTGATGGCCGTGGGGCGTTGCTTCCCGCCACCGCTTCCCGCGCCGGAGCCGTTCCTGGTGACATGTCCTTGGAAGGCAGCTGTTGCGCCGCCCCCTCCTGACGTGGCCCATCTGCCTTTGGCTCTGCCCCCGTTGACTCAGATAAGGATGAGTCATCACACAGGTCCTCTGCGCAGGGACGTGCCCGCTGTCCCCACCTCTGAAATGGTGGCAACGATAGAAGACCCTGTGACGGCTGCCCTCCTGGTAGCAGCCATGGGCCCTGAAATGCACTGCGTTGAAGGGGAACGGCGGTGGTCCCTTTGTGAGCAGATGCCAGCTTGCTGGCTGCTTTAACTTCCACGTGGCTGTGATGGGCCGTGTCTGGGTAGATGCCTTAGGGCTCCGGATGTGGGACAGGAGCCCGGGGACTGTTCTCAGAGAGGCACGCTTGGGAATTTCACACGAAAATACGCATCTAACAGTGGCTTGTTTGTTATAGTAACTCAGGGAAAAAATTGCAATTTTTGTAAAATCCCCTCTTTTTTTGATGTCAGGTAATACTGATACTCAGGCGGAAGAGGACGAAAGAGCCCAGGAAAGTCAGGTAACACTGCCTTCCTTTGCTTGGCTTACTCACGGCTTTTTCCTTTTTCGTTAAGTTTATTTATTTTGCGAGAGAAAGCACAAGTTAGGGAGGAGAGAGAGAGGGAGGGAGGGAGAGGGAGAGAGAATCCCAAGAAGGCTTCGCACTGTCTTTCGAGAGCCCATGAACTGTGAGATCATGACCTGAGCCAAAATCAGACGCTCAACCTACTGAGCCATTTGAGTGTCCCTTACTCGCTTTTTAAAAAAAATTTTATGTTTGTTTATTTTTGAGAAAGAGCACAAGTGATAGAAGGACAGAGAGAAAGGGAGACAGAGGATCCGAAGCAGGCTCCACACTGTCAGCATGGATCCTGATGTGGGGCTCAAACTTATGAAACCGTGAGATCATAACCTGAGCCAAAGTCAAATGCTTAATTGGCTGAGCCACCCAGGGTTCCCTACGCACTGTTTCTAAAAGTCATTTAGGAGCACCTGGATGACTCAGTCGGTTAAGCATCTGACTTTGGCTCAGGTTGTGATCTCACAGTTCATGGGTTCGACTCCCACACTGGGCTCTGTGCTAACAGCTCAGAGCCTGGAGCCTGCTTCAGAGTCTGTGTCTCCCTCTCTCTTTCTGTCCCTTCCCCACTCATGGCCTGTATCTATCAAAAATGAATAAATGTTAAAAAAAATTTTTTTTTAAATTTAACCTTTTAGGGGCACTTGGGTGGCTCAGTCAGTTAAGCGTTCAACTTTGGCTCAGGTCATAATCTTGCGGTTCATGGGTTCAAGCCCCACATCAGGCTCTGTGCTGGCAGCTAACTCAGAGCCTGGAGCCACTTCAGATTCTGTCTCTCTCTCTCTCTGACCCTTCCCTGCTCACACTGTCTCTCTCTCTCTGTCTCAGAAATAAATAAAACATTAAAAATTTAACCTTTTGAATACATGATACATTCATATGGTATAAACAGTGAATAATATTAAAAGTATATACGATGTACACTCCAAACACCATCTCTCTTCTGCTCAGTTCCCAAACCTCCAAGCAGGTAATCACTCTTATTAGTATCATTTTTAAAATCCTTTCAGAGATTTAAGAACCTGTATATATAAACAAAAACTAGTCATCTTTTCTTATTCTTTTTCTTACACAAATGGTGGCATATAACATAATCTGGTCACTTAATAGCTGTATAGTAGTCCATTGTGTGGATGGACTATAATCAGTTCCTTGTCAGCTGACAGGACATTTGGGCTTTTTCTGATCTTTTAGGTGTATTGTGAATAATACTATAATGAATTATCGTGAATATCTATCATTTTGCAGATATACTAGTATTTTTTTATGATAGATTCCTAAAAGTAGAATTACTTAGTCAAAATATACCTTGCTTCTCTTGATCTTAAAAAGACAGAGATTTTTGTTTAATTTTTTTAATGTTTATTTTTGAGAGAGAGAGAGAGACATAAGAGCGTGAGCAGGGAAGGAGCAAAGACAGAGGGAGAAACAGAATCTGAAGCAAGTTTCCAGTTCTGAGCTATCAGTACAAGAGCCCTGTGTGAGGCTCAAGCTCATGAACTGTGAGATCATGACCTGAGCCAAAGTCAGATGCTTAACTGACTAAGCCACCCAGGCACCCCAAAAAGAATTCTTGAAAACTGTTTCCCTAAAGCCAAAATTATCAAAACAGCCTTAGTTTTAAAATGAGATTATACGGAGGCAAACTATTCTGTATTTGGAAATGTAACTGCACATAGCAACTAATATCCATCTTCAATTTTAGCAGTATATTTGGATATATTTATTCTCTTCAAAATTCAAAAGTATAAAAGCCACCACATTTTTTTTTTTTAACATTTATTCATTTTTTTTGAGACAGAATTGGGTGGGGGAGGGGGACACACACACACACACACACACACACACACACACACACACACACACACACACACACACACACACACACACACACCCCCCCCCCCCCCCCCCCCCCCCCCCGGCAGGCTCCAGGCTCTGAGCTGTCAGCATAGAGCCTGACACCAGGCTCGAACTCACGAACCATGAGATCATGACCTGAGCCAAAGTTGGACACTTAACCGAAGTGTTAAGCTGAACCACCCAGGTGCCCCCATCATCTTGACATAAAAACATAATTCAATGAGTTTGTGATTTGTTAGTCATCTGCCATCTCCTCTGAAAGATCTGAAAGGATTCAGCAGATGCTCACTCCTCCCGATAGTGTTGTCTGCTTAGTCTGTGTGTCTGAGAAGCACAGACTCCATTAACAGTGTTTTCTTTTCCCGTTTCCTTTCTGCTTCCGTTTGTTTCATCTGCCGCTGCCAACACTTTTCTTCCAATCAGCAAATGGTTTGTTTTATGTTTCCTAATTTTTGAGCACGTGTGTATGTGTGTGTGTGTGTGTGTGTGTGGTTCCCCACTATACCTACATCCGTTTTGTGGCTTTTTCTTCTTCCTGCATTGTAACTCCTAAAGGATAAAGTCTTCTAAAACGCAAGCCCCCCGCCAACGTTGGAAGGGGTGTTGTGCAGAGAGTCACAAGGCCAGTGATTGCTAGTTTTGTGTTGTAACTTGCCACGGCTGGAGAATAAGGCCATATTTTTCTTTAAAAAATGAAGTATATAATTTTTGATATTGTAAAGTAGGACTTATTCAGATATTTAGAGAGATCGGACCTTTTTATTATAAGTAAAAGAGGGAAAAACATTTTGTTTTTAAATGAAAGTGCCCTTGGTTTGAAAGGAGCTGTTAGGACAAGAGCGTCTCCTCCTGATGGCCGCCTCGTCCCCCGCTGCCCAGTGAGTCCTATGTGGGCGCTGCCCTGTCACTGCGTGCTGGGGGGTCTCCCGAGCTGGACGGAGCTGGAGCCTTCTCTTTAAAGCACCTTCATTTTTCTCAAAGATAACATTTGTTTACTGTTCCATCATGACCAATCAGGAAATGTTAAATGGTGGTCTGAGGAGAATTTCCATGAACTTTTCCAACTCTACAGAACATGAAAGTTATGGATCTGTTTTACAGTTGAATAGGACAGTTAATTGGTTCTGCTCTTTGTAGAGTCCTGTTTATGTCCCCGTCTATATATAAAGCATTTAAACGTGGATTCAGGAATGGCCACTATTAGCCCCTCCCATGACGTCCAGCACGCCCATAGCTGTGGTGTGAGAGTGCACTTCCGTGGCCTCGGTCCTCCAGCATGCGCACTTGAGACATTGTACACATCTGTTTCTCTTTTTCTTTCTTTCTGGACAACTCAGATTGATTTCCTAAATTCAGTGATAGTGGACCTTCAGAGGAAGAATCAGGACCTCAAGATGAAAGTGGAGATGATGTCAGAGGCAGCCCTGAACGGGAATGGCGACGACCTAAACAATTATGACAGGTATTTTTAGATTAAACGGTACTGATCAGAACCTTAGTTCCATCTAAATAAAGGTTTTTAAAAGTTAGTTGCAGGGGATTGGTGAAACCATGGCCTTGTGGCTACTTGTCCACAAATGGAGTTACATAAATCTGGCAAGAGAGTGATGTGGCAAGAGAGAGAGATGGTTTGATGTGAAAATTTAAAATATGGACTGTAGAACTTAACCCTCGAGGCTCCCTGGGGGGTGGGGGGCATTAATTGTTCTTGCTTATTTTGTGTTCTTTGTGATACTGTCTCCTGAGTTTCTTCTGGTAGAGAGGAGTTTCTGATTATGCACGTTAACATTTGTAGTGATGACCAGGAGAAACAGTCCAAGAAGAAACCTCGCCTCTTCTGTGACATATGTGACTGCTTTGACCTCCACGACACAGAGGACTGTCCCACCCAGGCGCAGGTGTCGGAGGACCCCCCCCATTCCACACACCACGGCAGTCGGAGCGAGGAGCGCCCGTACTGTGAAATCTGCGAGGTGTTTGGGCACTGGGCCACCAACTGCAACGACGACGAGACCTTCTGATGAAGCCCCGGCCCGGCGCCCGGCTCCTCCCCAGGCTCCTCCCCGGGCTCCTCCCCGCACGGGCAGAGGCAGCTGGACACCAGCAGTGTGTGTGCGGACTTATTCTGGTGAAGCCAGGTCCTGCACCCGGCTCCCCCCACCCCACCCCCCGCCTCCCACCGGCGCGGAGGCGGCTGGACACCAGCAGTGTGCGTGCGGGCCTTCAGAGAACTCACGTTATTTCTGACCCCCATCAACAAATCTAAGAGAATATTTTGATCTTCAGTACATCACCCCTTTAGTCTCCCCTGAGAAGTTAAAAGAATAAATACTTAGTAGGTGAGATTTCACCTCTAATTTTGTCGTCTTTTTAAAAGTTCTAACAAGACATTGCACCAGATGCCATTACATTCACTGTCCCTAGGGAAGCCTCATAGACCGATCCCTACCCTTACAATACCTTATTTAAGTAACTTTAAATTATGCTGTTACTTTTCATATTTGCACTAAAACTTTTCCAGGCTGCATTTGTATATTTAGATGTTTTGGTTAAGCTTTGACACTGGAATGAGTTGGAAAAATGTGCCATTTTGCATTTTCATCTACTCATTTAAAGTATTTTATTCTAAAAAGAAGTATCTGAGCTCTTTGCACTACCTGATGTCAGTAGTGCCTTTATTTCAGGCTTGATAATACTTAGGTGTGATTATAAAATCATGAAGCAGGTAACAGGAAGGGGAAGCCCCCAAACTGCTGTGGGGACATTTTATAATCTATATGCTGCACCTACTTACTCTACTGTGGTGTTTTGTTTATTGGTTTTGCATAATTTCAGCTTCTATATATTATATGTATATATTTTTTAAAAATCTATATTTTGGGAAAAAATACAATGTCTTTCTTTTCAGATTTTTACCTTTATGAAAAAGAACACACATCAGGACATAATGGACTAGGCCAGAAGTAATATCACGTGGCTTTGCAACTTTTTTTTTTTTTTCTGTTTTCATTTTGTTTATCAGATATAACTAACTAGGAGAATTTCCTCCAAATTTTTTTTTCTTTCTTCAGCAGATAGCCCCAGCAGTCAACTCATTAGATAATAAGCCACTATAAAACACCTAAATTAACCAATCTGCAACCATTATAAGCTTTTTTTACTGTGTTTTTAGATGAATGTACGATGAGAAATTCAACATTAATAAATTTGGATTTTCTTATCACACACAAAAAATGAAGGACCTCAACCATCAGAAGTTTATCAACCGGTTTGAATCTATTTATCTTCATTTGAATGTCTTCGATATGTACAAAGTAATGTATCTTCCATGCTACATGTATAATAAGAACTTCTATAATTGTATATATGCCTTTGATGTATTTTTCCCCTCAAGATTATCAAATGTGTGTCTGACAAGTGAAGAATCTGTAATGAGTTGAAAACTTTGGTTATAAACATACTATAATAGGAAGTGTTTCACAAACAAAATGTAAAACAGTATTAAAATTTGAGCAAACGAGTGTTCTGTATCTACTTTAATAAATGGTTATTCTTTTTTTGCTGGTGGTAGTAAACTGATATTCTTCTCAGGGTTTTTTTTTCTTTCAATGAGCAATCACTACAGATCCAAACAGCAATTTCTACTGCAGATAAACACCTTCTAAGAAATTGATTTATCCTCATCTCAAAGCATCCTGTGACCCACTTAACATAAAAAAAACTTAAATGTTGTTATTCATTGCTATATCACACTATATTACACAGAAATATAAAGAGCACCATGTAACACCAACTACCTATTAATCCATGATGTTTTGGAAAGAACCCCTGAAAATTGCTGTGATATTTAGCAAAATGATTACTGAACCAAACATTTGTTTTACGAGCACAGACTCCCCAACAGGTCAATATTTCCAAGGCAGAGTTAGTTGAACAAGAACAATGTTTTTATGTACCTAAAGGATACTCTGACACTAGTCCTTGATTTCCCTACTACCCATAGGGGATTAAAAGACTCCAACTGTTAAACTTAACTGTGATAATAATTTCACCATATATACTTACTGTCAAATCCTATTGTAGGGCGCCTGGGTGGCTCAGTCAGTTAAGTGTCTGACTTCCACTCAGGTCATGATCTCACGGTTCATGGGTTCGAGCCCTGTGTCCGGCTCTGTGCTGACAGCCAGCTCAGAGCCTGGAGCCTGTTTCAGATTCTGTGTCTCCCTCTCTGACCCTCCCCTGCTCACGCTGTCTCAGTCTCTCTCTCTCTCTTCTCTTTCTCTTTCTCTCAGAAATAAAACACTAAAAAAAAATTTTTTTTAAATCCTCTTGTATACACCAGAAGCTAATACAATGTTACATGTCAGTGATATCAATAAAAACTACAAAGAAGAAAACATTAAGGTGGGCAGTATTTATAGGGTAACTACAGCAGCATAGCAATGTTTCCAACATCGGGTCCCTATACAAGTTAAACACCCATGTTGATCATCTTCTAGCATTGTGATCCTGTCCGAGAAGAATAGTTTACCATCTGGTCTTGCTCATTTACATGCATGCAAGCTTGGGATTTCACTAGCCTTGGGCATCTCACTCCTGCACCCTAAGTTGGGCCCTCATTTAACAGCTTGTGACAAGACCTGCTGAGACCATGTATTCTCTTACACGGTGCTAAAATAATAGACCTCAGTTGGGCTAAAAGCCTGCACACGTGACAAGAATTTGTGATCTAGATTGAGAACCACTGTGAAAACCGGGTTGAGAACTCGGGCATAAAACAGTCTACACTGAGGAGAAACGTTTTAAAATCTAAATGGTTTTGATGAAATCATGGAATTGAGAGTGCCAGTGTGTATATATGTATGATTCATTGTTCGGCATCATCCCCAAATTCTGCTCTTTGTTTACTCAGACTCATGATCATTGTTTAGTGAGTCCTTTCTTCATAACAAAGTGTATGTAAAGGATTGAAGAGAGCCAACCACCCGAAAAGCAAACGGTATCAAGCCTCTTTCACATCCCAAACAGCCAATTTCCGCCCTCCAAGTACTGAAACGCATGAATCATTCTAAAACAATAGTTATTAAGCAATTAAATTCCTGGCACCCTACCAAGTTTTTAAAATGAAACACGACGTAAATTCCACCCTCTTGATTTTCACAACTCAACAACCTAACATACGAATTCTACTGATGGAATGGAAACTGGATTCCACACGGGATATTATTCTGTGAAATAGAGTGCAGTGAACCTACTGGGAACAGAAAATCAGACAAATCACTCAAGTTTCTCTCAGCCGTTGTCTTTTTTGGGTAAAATTTCGCCTAGAAACTAAAAGCAAAGCGAAGGACTTTCTGACCGCTATAATTTAAGATTTCCATTATAGCGAGAAGAAGAAAGTCGCGATTTTTAAATGGGAACAAGTAGGATCCAGTCCCCGTCTCCCAATTCTCAGCGTCCATCGACTCCTAAACTGAAGCTGGATCTGGTTGGAGCTGTGGGTCTCGGGGAGCTTCGGGGCCCAGGCAGCAGAAGGAAGCAGCAGGCGCTGGGGCCAGAAACGACAGTAGACGCCGGCCCACCGCAGTTTCCGGGTTTAGTGTGTGGTCAGCCGCCCTGGTCACGTGAACGCGCCTCCACGTGACTGCGCTCGTGGGCGACGCCTAAGGGGAAGCAAGATGGCGGCGCACCTGTCCTACGGCCGAGTGAACCTGAACGTGCTGCGCGAGGCGGTGCGTCGCGAGCTGCGAGAGTTCCTGGACAAGTGCGCGGGAAGCAAGGTGAGCGATGGGAGGCGGCGACACTGCTTTCCGGCCTCCGGTGCCGCCTGGCCCAATCCGGTGCCCGATTGCCTGAGCTCCTGGTGTACGGGGCCCCTGGGGCTTCCGAGGAAGGGAGCGAGCGGGACCCATGAGGCGGGGAGAGGGTCTGCTGGTCGGGCCTGGGGCGCACGCCCGGAGTCGGCGTGGCGTCGCGATTGCTTTGTTGCAGCAGAGTGAGCCACTGTGGCATCCCAGGCCCTCGTGAGCCTTAGCTATGTCAGGTGCCCCTCATGCCCAGAGGGGCAGGTCTGGTGCCCCCTGGGAACAGGACGAATGGGGCGGGCACGGCCCAAGGATGTCGCTGGGCCAGTGTCCATGCGTTACAGCGATCGTGCGTGTCGATGCTTATCGTACCTTTAAAAGCTTCTGAAGCACTAACCTCTTAGAACCAGCATCTTAGAACCTGCTGCTCACACGTATTATGATAGAAGTTGTAGTTGTTTGAGGTTTTTACGTGACTTTTCTAAGGACTGTTTCTCCTGTTAGATGTTTACCACCACCCAACACACAATTGAGTGAGAAATTGTAGATTAGGGACTTAATAGGATTTCGTCTAAGCGGCGTCATCTTTCTCCTCTCCCCTTGGGGTTTATCTGTCCCCCTAGGTAACTGGCAGTACAACTCCGAAAAGAAAAGGAAAACTGAGGAATCTCAGGAACTGGTCTTAGAAAGAAAAGAACTTCAAGAGATGGAGTGGGAGCTAGCGGCCATTGAGAGAAAAAAGCAGGCTAAGCCCTAGGTGCCCATTTAGGCCCAAGAAATGAGACTGAAATCTGAATAAGATCATGGATTGCATCAATGGCAATACTGTGGATGTAATATTGTGCTGTGGTTTTGCAAAATGGTACCATTGGGGGAAACTGAGCAGAGCATACAAGGGCTCCCTCTGTATTATTTCTTACAAATAAATGTTAACCGACACTTATCTCAGTAAAAATTTCAGTTAAAAGAGGGAAGAAGAGGGGTGCCTGGGTGGCTCAGTCAGTTAAGCATCCCACTTCAACTCAGGTCATGATCTCACGATTTGTGGGTTCAGGCTCCACGTCGGGCTCTGTGCTAACAGCTCAGAGCCTGGAGCCTGCTTTGGATTCTGTGTCTCCCTCTCTCTCTCTGCCCCTCCCCTGCTCATGCTCTGCCTCTCTCTCCCTCAAAATGAATACACATTAAATAAATAGAAAGTAAATAAGTAAATAAATAAATAAGGGAAGAAGAAGAAATGACATTGGAGATTAGCAGTAAAAATATTCAAGGGGACCCACGGCAATGACCCATGAGTTGTCAGCTGAGTTCTAGATTGGGGTCCTAGTCCTCTTACACTATATGTAAGGCCCAGAGTCCCTATGTGGTCCTGGACATGTTATTTAAACTTCCCAAACCTTTTAAAACTTTCCTCTTCTGTGAAAATAAGATTCATAATACCTATATCCAAGGTTTTAATTTTATATAATTGGATTATGTGACATTACCATATAAAATACTAGATTGAGGGGCGCCTGGGTGGCTCAGTTGGTTAAGCGTCCTATTTCGGCTCAGGTCATGATCTCACAGTTGGTGAGTTCGAGCCCTGCATCGGGCTCTAAGCCGACAGCTCAGAGCCTGGAGCCTGCTTCGGATTGTGTCTCCCCCTCTCTCTAGCCCTCCCCTACTTATGCTCTGTCTCTCTCTGTCTCGAAAATAAATAAAATATTAAAAAAAATTTTTTACTACTAGACTGAACTGTTGCCATTGGCAGGTTCTGTCTGGTTCAGTCTACTAGTTGATACCATGACACAAATACACAACAAACTACAATTCCCTCTTCACGGTGGCCCGTGACAACAGTAACATCCGTGTCCAGATCCTGTTCTTCTTTAGATTTGTAAGATCCGAATATGATTAGAGCCAATTAAATTTTTGTTAATTCAGAGTTTGAAGCAAATATTCCTACTGCTTTGACTGTTGTTTTCTGTCGATGTTGTTGAAATTCCTGATATTAACCGTAACGAGAAAGTTTCTCCCCTCCTACAGGCAATAGTTTGGGACGAGTACCTCACGGGACCATTTGGCCTGATTGCACAGTATTCACTACTGAAGGTAAATGAGCTATTTGTGTTTTGTTCAGGGATTAATAATTCTGTACTTTAGTAATAATAGGATTTTACATTTTCTCCTGAGTGATTGGCTTGCAAAGCTCTTGGGTCTTTGTAGACACGGATACTAATGCATGTCTAACATTTTTCATACATGGTCCATTGGCCAGCGATTTCATACTGATCCTAATTCTAGAGAAGTTACTAGCGTTGTATTATGTGACCATCACCTGGTATCATTGACAGTTCATTGTGTGAGTCATTTGAATTCAGATGCAATGGCAGTGACTTAATCTTGAAACTGTCCTTTATACATCTGGCCTTGGGGAAGCTAAATTTGGCTAACAAAGTATTAATGCACTTTTGGCTGCGAGTGGTTATGATGACTGAATCTGGATGTGATAGGTAAGGTTCAGGGTTTTTGTTAACCTTTTGTGTATGTGTTTTCCTAGGAACATGAAGTGGAAAAAATGTTCACACTTAAAGGAAGTCGTTTGCCAGCAGCTGATGTCAAGAACATTATTTTTTTTGTCAGACCCAGGCTAGAATTGATGGATATAATTGCTGAAAATGTGCTCAGGTATCTCTCAGAGCTTATGTTTGGACCAAAAGGGGTTGGTCCTTCTCAGGGTTTTAACGTCCTGAGCTCCTCATTGCAACCTTCTTGTCTTGCTAATGCATTGGAAGGTGGTCTTCTAGAAAACTGGGCAGGCGTGAAAGAGTCTAAGGGAGGAAATGAGAAGCTCATGAAATCGTTCAGACAGTTGGAGAAGGGGGTCATCATATAACCCCACTTTCAGGACAGCTAAAAATTTGGACTTATTATCAATGGTCTCTAATGGTTATATCTCTAATGGTTAAGTTATCTTTCAATACACTGTACATAGTGTGTTTGAATTTCATAAGCAAAATAAGTATGAGCTGATTAAAATTTAATACAGCCTTCAATCTATAGAGGAAGTTCTTAGCCCCATCTGCACTCTGTGGTACAGTTGATTGATGCGGCCCTTAAAATCTTAAAAGCGTATGGGCTGTTGTGAGAGGCCCACTGTCAAGGAGACTAGAGGTGGAAGTCAAGAGTGATCTTTCATTTTTCTGTAAGACTGTGTCACTGCATTGGTTTGGTTAAAGAACCGTCTGTTTTCAATAAGACACAGACATCCTGCTTCAATAAACCTGAGAGCTTAATGCCCCATAAATGGTTTAAGAGAAAGCTGGAAAACGCATTACGAAACACTGGCTGTGATCAATGCCTCTTTCCTGTCAGGGGAAAAAAAAAAAAAAAAAAAAAGAGAGCGAGAGCAAGGGAGAACAATGACACAGCCATTTGAGTGTGTTTATCCGATGCCCATTTATTTAGCACCTGCTGTGTGCCGAGCAACAGGCCAGGCTCTAGGAATAAAATAGACGGAACAGCCTACATCGTGAAGGCGCTTGTAAGCTGAAAAATGTCACTTCTTTTGCAGCGAAGACAAACGTGGCCCAGCAAGAGATTTCCACATTTTGTTTGTGCCACGGCGAAGTTTATTGTGTGAACAGAGGTTGAAGGATCTGGGCGTCTTGGGTTCCTTTATTCATAGAGAGGAGTACAGCCTAGACCTCATTCCATTTGATGGGGATCTCTTATCCATGGAATCGGAGGGTGCATTCAAAGTAAGTTTGATGTTGAATTTCAGACTTTATTATTTTTTAATTTTTAATTTTTTTTTAGTTTATTTATTTTGAGAGAGAGAGCACACACATGCATGTACAGGGGAGGGGCAGAGAGAGAGAGAGAGAGGAAGAGAGAATCCCAAGCAGACTCCAAGCTGTCAGTGCAGAGCCCAACGCGGGGCTCGATCCCATGAATTGTGAGATCGTGACCTGAGCCAAAATCAAGAGTCGGATGCTTAACCAGTTGAGCCACTCAGGTGCCCCTGAAGTGCTTCATTTTTTAAAATAACAGCTTTATTGAGACATAATTCGCAGAGCATAAATTCTGCCCTTCTAAAGATGCAGTGCAGGGGCGCCTGGGGGACTCAGTCTGTTGAGTGTCCAACTCTTGGTTTCGGCTCAGATCATGATCTCACGGTTGGTGAGATTGAGCCACGAGTTGGGCTCCGTGCTGACAGTGCAGAGCCTGCTTAGGATTCTCTCTCTCTCCCTCTCTCTCAGCCCCTCTTTCCTGCTCCTGTGCTCACTTTCTCTCTCAAAAATGAAATAAAATGTGCAGGTCAGTGGTTTTCAGTATATTCACAGAGTTGTGCATCCATCACCACTGTCTAATTTTGGAACATTTTTATCACCCCAGAAAGAAAGCTGCTGCCCATTAGCAGTCACTCTCTCTCCCCCGGCCACCAGCAGTCCCTAGTCTAGTGCCACTTGTGTGGATTTGCCAGTTCCGGAGATTTCTTGTCAGTGAAATCATATACACGTGGTCCTTTGTGTCAGGCCTCTTTCTTAGCATCATGTTCTCCAAGCTCATCCACGTTGAACCTGGTGTCACTTGATTGCCGAACAGTATTTCTTTGTAGTGATGCCCCGTGTTTTGTTTATCATTCATCTAGATCGTGATATTTCACTTGTCAGCCATCACGGTGCTGTGAACGTTCGTACAAGGTTTTGTATGAATGTGTGTTTTCATTAGATATACCTAGAAATAGAATTGCCGGGTCATACGATAAAACTCTATGTTTAACGTTTGGGAAGCTGCCAGACTCTTCACAGGGACGGCACCATTTTCTGCTCCTGCTAGAGGTAGATGAGGGTTCCAGGCTTACATCCTCACCAACACTATTGTCTTTCCTTTTGAAGTTTGCCATCCTGGAGAGTGTGAAGCATTATCTCATTGTGGTTTTGATTTGCGTTTCCATAGTGACCAATGATGCCAATCTCCTTTTCACGTGCTTATTGGCCATTGGTATATCTTCCTGTAGAGAAGTGTCTGTTCCGCTCCCTGATACATTTTTAAAATTGGGATACTTTATCTTTTCATTAGAAGAGTTGTAAGAGTTCTTAGTATGTTCTGGATATAAGTTCTTTATCGGATACATGAATTGCAAATCTCTTCCCCCGTTCTGTGAGGGTGTTTTTTCACTTGGTAGAAGTGGTGTCCTTCAAAACACACACACAATTTTTTTTTCCACCACAAAAAAATTTTTTAAGCAGGGCTTCACGCCCAGCGTGAAGCCCATTATGGGGCTTGAACTCACAACCCTGAGATCAAGACTTGAGCTGAGATCAAGAGTCAGATGCTTATCCAACTGAGCCACCCAGGTGCCCCTCCAACACAAAAGTTTTTAATTTTGAAGTTCAGTTTATCAGATTTTGTCTTGTTGCTTATGCTTTTGATGTCCCATATAAGAAATCATTGCCTCACCCGGGGTAACGAATTTACCCCTATGTTTTCTTCAAAGAATGTTATGGTTTTAGTCTTATGTTTAGGTCCTTGGCCTATGTAGAGTTCATTTTTTTTCAAGATGTGAGGTAGGGATCCAACTTCATTTGCATGTGGCTATGCATTTGATTCAGCACCATTTGCTAGAAGGTGATGGTATTTTCCTCATTGAATTGTCCCGGTACCCTTGTCGAAAATCAGTTGTCCATAAGTGTAAGAGATTTATTTCTGGTGTCACGGGTCTTTGCCATTAATCTATGTGTCTGCCCTTATGCTAGGACCATACTGTCTCAGTTACTGTGGCTTTGTAGTAAGCTTTGAAAGTGAGAGATGTGAGTCTTCCAAATTAAAGTAGTTAAATGTATCATTTTATTCTTTTAGCTTGTGCTTTTTTTAAAAATTTTTTGTTTTTGAGAGACAGAGTGCAAGTGAGGGAGGGGCAGAGAGAGAGAGAAACACACACACACACACACACACACACACACACACAGAATCTAAAGCAGGTTCCAGGCTCTGAGCTATCAGCACAGAGCCTGATGTAGGGCTTGAACTTAAGAGCAGTGAGATCATGACCTGAGCTGAAGTCGGATGCTTAACCGACTGAGCCACCCCGGCACCCCATTAGCTTGTGCTTTTGAGTGTTAATAAATCCTTTTCCAACCTGAAGAAAATCATATATTTTCCTTGGAAAGTCTTGACGTTTTGCTCTTTATATTTAGGTCTAATCTAACATGAATTGTGTGTTTGTAGTATGGAGTGTGTGGTGTGAGGTAGGAGCTTATTTAATTTGTTTCAAATGGGCAGCCAGTTGTTCCAGAATTGGTTTTCTCCACTGATTATTTCCAGTGTATGTTTCTAGTGAATGCGTGTGCTTTGTTCTCCAGTTCCGAAAGGTTTCTTGTAAATGTAATTTTATGTAATTGTTTTATTTATGTATTTTTATTTATATGCGTATTTGTCCCTCACTAGATGACCGCCTGGCTTGAAATTCCACAAACTCACAGTAGAGTTAGGATATTTAACACAAATAATCACCCCGCCACCAGTAATTTTAGAGCAAATAATTCAAGATAATATCTGTCATTAAATTTTATTTTTATGTATTTACTTCTTTTTGACAGAGAGCGTGCCTGTGCACACTGCAGGAGATGGACAGAGAAATGGAGAGAGAATCTTAGGCAGGCTCCGTGCCCAGCTCGCAGCCCTGTGTGGAGCTCAGTCTCACGACCCTGAGATCAGGACCTGACCTGAAGTCAAGAGTTGGACGTTTAACCAGCTGAGCGATCCGGGTGCCCTGTTGTTAATTTCAAATCTTTTTTTTAAAGATAGACTTGTAGAGGCATGTGGGTGGCTCAGTGGGTTAAGCGTCCAACTCTTGATTTCAGCTCAGGCTGTGATCTCATGGTTTGTGGGATTGAGCCTCACATCCGGCTCCATGCTAACGGCGTGGAGCCTGCTTAGGATTGTCTCTCCCTCCCTCTTCTGCCTCTCCCCTGCTGGTGCTTGTGTGCGCGCACGTGCTCTCTCTCTCTCTCTCTCTCTCTCTCAAAATAAATGAACATTAAAAAAAAGATACGCTCATGAAAGAACATCTATAGTAATACAACTTTTTAAGCTAAAAATATGAATGCTATTTGGGAGATACTCCTTAATTTTTTTTCCTTGAATTTTGATCTCACTTCTGCTCTGATCAGGAGTTCTAAGTAATTTTGCCAGAAAGTGTCTCCAGACACTCTTGATCTTGGCCCATTCACTGCACTGTTAAAATACCCCAGCCCTGGACGAGCCGTCATCCATCTCTCTCCTTCAAGTAGTGACCACGCACTCACTAGCATCTTTGCAGGATAGCCCTCCGCTCTGTCTTCCTAGTTCCTCTGCTGTCCTTTCCCTCCTGGCTTTGGAGGCTAGAGACACATTGGGTGGGTGGGTGGAGGGCAGGTGTCTCGTGCTGTGTATCATTTTGACGTATGAATGGATGATATTTGTGGGGGAAAAATCCAGATAATTCCAAATAATAAAAGTTAACATTTATCAAGCACTTATTGTATATTTTAAGTGGTGGGGTTAAATGTTTTACATGCATTTTCTTCTTATTCCTTATGCTGTGTGACCTATGCTCCCTTCTACCTTCTACCAGTGGGTAAGTTGAGGCACACAGAGGTTATGTCACCAACCCAGGAAGCAGCTGGGAAGTGGCCTGGCTGGGGCCCCGATCAGGGCTGCCTGAGTCTAGAACCGTGCTCCCCCGCCCCGGATCAGATCTGAGCATTTCCCCTCCTACCTCCCAGCTGGTCCTGTGTGTATTTTATTGGCCTTTACAAAATAGACCTTGTATATTTTATATCGTAAAATGTGTTTTTGAAAAACGAGATCATAATCTAAAGATGGTTCAGCCACCCCTTTTCACTTCTCAACATGTTAGGACTTTGTTGGCAGCATGTATGAGAGCCTCGGGTTTGTCAGAACCGCTAAGTGTTCTGTCATGTGGTCCTCTGGGGCTCCGGGGGTCAAAGAATATGTGCCTTCGTGGGTGTCCGCATGGGGCCTTCCCAGAATGTCCTACCAAAGTCTACACCCGCCGCAACAAGAGAACCCATTCCCCTCATAAGTCTTTGCTAATCAGTTTACTTAAGAGCTCATAAAATACGACCTGGTGTGCTTGGTGAACACTCTTCTTCCAGAAGGCTCTGCCAGTTGCTTCCACACCTGCATCTCCATAGCACAGCTGTTGGCCTTGTGTTCTGGACTGGCGGAGAGCAACGTGACAGAACGGTCCTGCGTCCCCAGCTTTCCCGGCAAAGGGGGAAGTACGTGGAAAATCCCAGTGCCGGACAGAGGCAGGGGCCCGGCAGGCGCCTGATGACTGCGGCCTGCCAGCGACACCGTTTCTCTCCGCAGGAGTGCTACTTGGAGAGCGACCAGACAAGCCTCTACCATGCGGCCAAGGGGCTGATGACCCTGCAGGCTCTGTACGGGACAATCCCCCAGATCTTTGGGAAAGGCGAGTGTGCCAGGGTAAGAAATGGCCTGTGTTTCTGGGGTGAAGGTAGGGGTGCCCTGCTCCCCAAAACGGGAGCGATAGGAAGCTATTTACAAATGAGTAACAGTCCTGTTTGGGAATTCACCTCGTTGCCGAAAGGTCCCCGTATCCCCCGGATTGATATCCCCTGTGGACACGTCCAGGGTAGCAAAACCTTCGAGTTGTCCAACGTGCCTGCTCCCAGCTGACGTCCAGTAAAGTGATGCTTTGCCTTCTTGTTTCGCCTAAACAAGTGTCCTTTTTGCCACTATATAGTGCCATGCACTACTTAATGCCTTGTTTTTCACACTTTTGTGCTTTTTGCCGGTGATTTCACTGTTGATCGTGGCCCCAGGGGTAGTCCCACAGCACTGTCAGTGTTCCCAAGCTCAGGAAGGTTCTGGTGTGCCATACGGAGAAAATACCTATGTTGGCTACGCTTCCTTCAGGCATGAGTTCTCGTGCTGTTGGTAATGAGTTCGTCGTTGGTGAATCACCTATATATAGTAAATAACACACATAAAACAAAGTTACACATGGGCGCCTGGGTGGTTCAGTTGGTTAAGTGTCCGACTTCGGGCCAGGTCATGATCTCACAGTTCATGAGTTAGAGCCCCGCATCAGGCTCTGTGCTGACGGCTCAGAGTCTAGAGCCTGCTTCAGATTCTCTGTCCCACTCTCTCTCTGCCCCTCCCCCGCTTATTCTGTCTCTCTCAAAAAATATATGTAAAAAATTATTTTAAAAAAAAGTTACACATTGACTAGTTGATAAAAATGTTGTGACCAGAGGCTCACAGGAAACTAGCCCCATATTTGCCCCTGGAGCAGCGGCTCCGTATTCGCTAAGTCAGTGGTCATGGTGACCGCACGGAAGTATCATGAAAAACGAGAACAGACTGTATCTGAGTTCATCCTCACCGAGTAGTGGCCGGTGTTGGGCACAGGTACGTGTTTGAGTGGGTGGCCAACAGCAGTCGCTTTTCTGTGTCTCTAACTGAATTTTTAAATCAGCTAATTCCCAGGAAAGTCCCACCTGATCCAATGTTTTATTTCCAGCAAGTGGCCAATATGATGATCAGGATGAAGAGAGAGTTTACAGGAAGCCAAAATTCAATATTTCCTGTTTTTGATAATCTCTTGTTGCTTGATCGAAACGTGGATTTACTGACGCCTCTTGCCACTCAGCTTACGTATGAAGGACTCATTGATGAAATTTATGGCATTCAGAATAGTAAGTAAAGCGACATCTGTGTTTACCAATAGGTCAATGGATAAAGACATCATCCAGAAGGGTTTTGTTTTTTGTTTTGTTTTATTTTTTTGAGATGCTTTCTGTGCGTGTAAATCAGAGGATATTTGAGAAGATAAGAATACGGGCTTTCAGCTTTCAGACAAAGTCCAAGCAAAAACGGCTGTCGTCAGTGTCACAAGGGCTGGCCGGGTGCTTCGTGTGCAGGACTGTGCTTACCCTGTCCGTGAGCTGCGGCCACAGGCTCGATGGCCCTGCACTTCGGAGAATCTAGACCCTCCCGGCTGGCATGCTTGTCAGAGAGGTGGCCTTTGCCCTGGGTGTGGGGAGAGGTGGGTGTAGAGAGGGCGCAGCGCAGGGCAGACTGCGTCGTAAATGCAGGGACGCCACAGGAGAGATTGCCGTGGGGTGCTTCCAGGGAAGGGCGGAAAGTCGAGGTGGGGGTACCAGATGGAAGACTGGCGAGGCCGGCTCGCGTTTGTGGGATTAGGTCAGAGGCCACGAACCTCTAGGTTTGGCTTTGGCCCACTTGTTTTTATCAGCATTTAAAATTTTAGAAACATTTAGTAATAACCCTGATTGATTTATTTGTGATCACAGCGTACCTTGATCGTGGGAAAAACCAAAACCTCTGTGCTATATGCCATTTTCCCCTAAAGCCAAGGGCTTCCTTCTCTCCTGAGTTGGAAAATTCCGTTTTGTGTCTGGGCACTCGATCGGTTCTGCCAGTAAATGCACCCAGGCACCCATCTCCTTCCGTTGTGGCTCAGGTTATGTGAAGTTACCTCCGGAGAAATTTGCACCTAAGAAACAGGGCGATGGAGGGAAGGACCTTCCCACGGAAGCAAAGAAGCTTCAGCTGAATTCTGCAGAGGAACTGTATGCTGAGATCCGAGACAAAAACTTCAACGCGGTGGGCTCCGTGCTTAGCAAAAAAGCAAAGGTGATCTCCGCAGCGTTTGAGGTGAGGCGGCTGGGCTGTCATGCTGCAGCCTCAAGGTCACAGGCTAGACTGCCCAGCCCGCGAGGAGGGGCGGAGTCCCGGTGGGCGCACATTTCTCTCCTGAGGAGCTGTGCTTGCATTCGGTCCCGGGAGGGGGGAGCTGGGGGGGCTGGGGGGGCAAGGCCTTCTTTTAGAACTCGCTCCCAGACCCATGACAGAAGGTTCTGAGTTCACTCCTCTTTGGCAAGGTGGCAGGAGCCTTGTGTGTTGTTCACAAACTTGTGTCGTAAGTATTTGCTTTACCCTCTTCTTTTTTAAAAAAAATGTCTTTTTAATGTTTTATTTATTTCTGAAAGAGAGAGAGAGACAGTGTGACCAGGGGAGGGGCAGAGAGAGAGGGAGACACAGAATCTGAAGCAGGCTCCAGGCTCCGAGCAGTCAGCACACAGCCCGACGTGGGGCTCAAACTCATGAACTGTGAGATCATGACCTGAGCCGAAGTTGGACGCTTAACCGACTGAACCACCCAGGCGCCCCATGCCCTCTTATTTTTCATGATTTCCTACCTCACACCAGATGGGGCCAGCTGGGCCATAAATAAAAGATCCCCTATAATTGACCTCGCAGCTCAGGATGAAGTTTAAGCCAGGATGCGGGTGACGGGGGAGCCCCGCAGATGTAGGAAGTGATAATGAGAGAGGCAGGTTCATTATCACCTTCCTGCCTCCTCTCGCCCAGCCACTGGGTTATTCTTGGGGGAGCTCAATTTGGAAACATGGAAATTCAGGAAGATGATAAACTCTGAATATTTAGACTTTGGAAACATAAGCTGGGAGAATTTCTGAAAACTAATTTTCCAGCGAGTATGTATTAGATTTCATCTTTCTTAGGGGTTATATTTATTAATTGATTTTCATATAATTTTTTAATGTTTTATTTATTTTTGAGAGAGAGAGAGAGAGAGACAGAGTGTGAGCAGGGGAGGGTCAGAGAGAGAGGGAGACACAGAATCGGAAGCAGGCTCCAGGCTCTGAGCTGTCAGCACAGAGCCCGATGCGGGGCTCTAACAAACCACAAGGTCATGATTTGAGCCAAAGTCAGACGCTTAACTGACTCAGCCACCCAGGCACTCCTGATTTTCATATTTTTGAAGTTCCTTTTGGTTTAAATGATTAAGTTTTGCCAAAAGAAAAATCCCATCACTAAGCAAGGTTCACATTTCCATGTACAATATTCAAGATTGAGATCCAGCAGTAAGAATGATTTTTTTTAATTACTATTATAGAGGATACTTTTTGCTGTTTACGTTCCCGTCCTGATGTAGTGTTTCTGTGTTTTACTCGGAAGCGTTTGTGGGTAACCTAATACTGTCCCCCACAAATACTCCATTGATACTCCAGAGTCTGCAGATACCACTCACGATCTGAGTCTGGGCAGAGGGGGAGAAACCCTCACACATTTGCTCTCTGAACTCCTGACACAGTCATCAGGCACCACAAACTCCTCTTTCCTGTTTCCCTCATAAGGCGGGAGCTGGGTTTGGCCTGCTTTATTTGTCTTCCGTTCTTTCTTTCACACGGATAATAAGTGAAACATCCTCTGAGCCACACGCAGCACAGAGCACTTTAAAAATAAAGCGTCTCCCCTGCTGACGGGCTGTTGTTTCATCCATTTCAGGAAAGGCACAACGCAAAGACGGTCGGGGAGATCAAGCAGTTTGTGTCCCAGCTGCCCCACATGCAGGCAGCGAGAGGCTCGCTTGCAAACCACACGTCGATTGCAGAGTTAATCAAAGACGTTACCAGTGAGTGTCCTCGCGAGGGACGGTTTTCATCTGGGGCCAGTTTGTGCACCCCGAGGTCATTGTCACCGTGACACCTCCTGGGGAAAGGCAGCTCTGTTTTCACACGTTATTTGCAGTGTTCCTTAAGTGTATGCACTTGATGTTCATAGTAAGAACGTTCCTTTTGCGGTGAACTCATTTCTTCCCGTTATTAAAATACTATAATCCTAAGGCAAAGTACTTGGAAGAGTGATGAAAGAAAAAAAACTCTTATGTGAGTTTGCCGCCACAGTGAGGCTCTGTTTTTTGTCTGGTGTTTTCCCTCTTGCTAAGGGTTATTGAATTGGAGCAATGTGATGTTTCCACTTCTGTTTTGGTTTTTCCCTTGAAAACCTCCTGCAGAATTGGTAGATCACATGCTGAGTATTTTGAAGGAGCTCAGAAGAGGTATATTAAACCAAAGACAAGTTTATTCCTAAAACATGGGTGCTGGTATTATGAAGTAGACTTTGAGTCTGAAGTAAAACATGGTGTTAGAAAAATCAGTCTTTTGTTTTCATGTTAGTAGAAATCAGTTAGAACTGATGGTAGTGAAGTGCTGGGGGATTAGCTTTCCCTGTTACTAGGGCATAGTTCTTGAGATCTGTGTTGAGTCTTGAGGATTGCCAAGGGGTACAGCGATCAGCTACATCTTGATGTAATTTGGGAAGATAGGGTTGTAGGATTTTCCATGTTTTTAGAAGATTGTTTTCAGATGACATTTGTTCGATTTAAAAAAAATTTTTTTTTATATTTATTCACTTTTGAGAGAGAGAGACACAGAGCATGAGCAGGGGAGGGGCAGAGAGAGAGGGAGACATAGAATCCCCAGGCTCTTAGCTGTCAGCACAGAGGCCAATGCAGGGCTCGAACTCATGAGCTGTGAGATCATGACCTGAGCTGAAGTCAGATGCTTACCGGCTGAGTCCCCCAGGCGCCCCTCCGATGACAATTTGAACCTTTCATTTCCTTGCTTTTTTTGCACGTCTTGTTTCTTAATCATCATCTGTGCGGAAAGGTACAGTGCTCAAATAAATCACCATTTACTTAATTTCTAAGCTGCAAATTTGCTAATTGCATTTTAGCCTCTGAAGACTTCTTTGATAAACTAACAGTGGAGCAGGAGTTTATGTCTGGAATAGACACTGATAAGGTATGTGAACAATGACCTAACAAATAATTGATGGTTTATCAAACGTAAGATTATAGCTAGGAAAGTAGTTGCTTTGACTCCCATGCCTGGCCTAGGTGTTTTTAAGAGCAAGTGCAAAATGTGAACATCTAGGTTTCATCAAGTAGTGCAAGGTGTTTTCTGTAGTACACAGAGTGGTGAAGACCCGGCCCCTGAGATCAGCAGTCTTTCAGGCCTGTGGTAGAGAAGTTAAGAGATGTGCTTTCTGGGGGAATTGGGTCATATAATTCCTTTAAATATCCACTTCTGTTCATATGTTTAAAATTATTCAGCTTATGGAAATTCTTCTTTTCTAAAAAAGTTCCTGTTATTTTGTGGTCCATAAATCACTGTAATAGTTGAGATCAACCGTCACACACGCCCAGACTCCCTGCAGCCTCTCGGGAAGTGGTGCACAGCTGGGCGTTTGTGTCGCCGAAGTGCATCCTCCGCTTTGAAAAATAATAGTAAATATCAAGTTCTTTAGGTCCCCAAACCAGATGGTGGTTTGCAGACGCATATATTTGTTTTCAGGTCAACAGTTACATTGAAGATTGTATTGCCCAAAAGCACCCGCTGATCAAGGTGTTAAGACTAGTTTGCCTCCAGTCTGTATGCAACAGTGGTTTGAAACAGAAAGTTTTGGATTATTACAAAAGAGAAATTCTCCAGGTGAGTATGTTTTAAGTTACGAATTTACCAAGGGAGAAAACAGCTTTTTTAAAATTTATTTATTTATTTTTAATAGTTTATTGTCAAGTTGGTTTCCATATAACACCCAGTGCTCATCCCCGCAAGCGCCCTCCTCCGTGCCCATCACCTCCCTTCCCCTCCCACCCACCCCCATCAGCCCTCAGTTTGTTCTCAGCATTCAGGAGTCTCTCATGGTTTGCCTCCCTCCCTCTCCCCCACTATTTTTCCCCTTCTTCTCCCCCACGGTCCTCCGTTAAGTTCCTCCTAATCCTCCTGTACGTGCAAACATATGGTATCTGCCCTTCTCTGCCTGACTTATTTCGCTCAGCATAACACCCTCAAAGTCCATCCAGGTTGCTACACATGGCCAGCTTTCATTCTTTCTCATTGCCATGGAGTATTCCATGGTATAGATAAACCACATCTTCTTGATCCATTCGTCCGTTGATGGACACTTAGGCTCTTTCCATGTTTGGGCTATTGTTGAGAGTGCTGCTATGAACATTGGGGTCCATGTGCCCCTATGCATCAGCACTCCTGTATCCCTTGGGGAAATTCCTAGCAGTGCTATTGCTGGGTCATAGGGGAGAAAACAGCTTTTTAAAAAATAACTTCTGCGGGCACTTGGGTGGCTCAGTTGGTTAAGCGTCCCGACTCTTGATCTCAGTTCAGGTCTTGATCTCAGGGTTATGAGTTTGGGCCCTGTGTTGGGCTCTGTGCTGGGTGGGAAGCCTACTAAAACAAAAACCAAAAACCTTTAAAAAAATTTTTTAGGGACGCCTGGGTGGCTCAGTCGGTTAAGCATCTGACTTCAGCTCAGGTCATGATCTCACGTTCATGAGTTCGAGCCCCACATTGGGCTCTGTGCTGACAGCTCAGAGCCTGGAGCCTGTTTCAGATTCTGTGTCTCCCTCTCTCTCTGACCCTCCCCTGCTCGCACTGTCTCTCTCTGACTCTCAAAAATAAATAAAAAACATTAACAAATTTTTTTTAATTAAAAAAAGTTTCTTTTAATGTTCATTTATTTTTGAGAGAGAGAGTATGAGTGGCAGAGGACAGAGAGAGATGGAGACAGGATCTGACATAAGCTCCAGGCTCTGAGCTGTCATGACAGCACAGAGACCAACATAGGGCTCAAACCCACGAGCCACAATATCATAACCTGAACCAAAGATGGACACTTAACCGACTGAGCCACCCAGATGCCCTCAAACCAAAAACCTTCTTAATTAAAGCTCCTATTTTGGTATATTGTTTCCACTATCTTTTAAATTTTGTAACACCTAGAGGGGTAGTCCTTGGTATTGATCACTATTTACTGTGTTTGCATTAATGACAGCTGATGTTTATTGAGCATTTACTGTGTGCCAGGCTCTAGTGAAAGAGCTTTATTGGGGCGGCTGGGTGGCTCAGTTGGTTGAGTGTCTGACTTCAGCTCAGGTCATGATCTTGCAGTTCATGAGTTCGAGCCCATCTCAGGCTCTGTGCCGACAGCTCAGAGAACTGAGGCTCGCTTCAGATTCTCTGTCTCCTTCTCTCTCTGCCCCTCCCCTGCTCATGCTTGCTCTCTCTCTCTCTCTCAAATAAACAAATATTAACATTTTTTAATTAAAAAAAGAGCTTTATTGTATTCATTTGTTTGACCTTCACTACAGCCCTGGGAGCTAGATACTGCTATCATCCCCATTTTTGGGGTGAAAACACTGAGACACAGAGTAGTTACATAGCTTGCCCAAGGTCACCCAGCTAGTCAGTGGCAGAGTCAGTGCCAACACCCAGAGAACTGGGGTCAGGTACCCATGCTCTTAACCAGATTGCATTTGATTCAAGAAGGGACCTTTCTGCAAATTTTCTGATAATTCCTTAGCAGACTTATATTAAGCCTGTTTTACTTCATAATTAGGGAAAAACCAACTTTATTTTAAAAAGTTCTCCCATCTGGGGGGTGCCTAGGTGGCTAAGTCAGTTAATCATTCAACTTCAGCTCAGGTCATGGTCTCAGTGTTTGTGAGTTCGTTGAGCCCCGTGTCGGGCTCTGTGCTGGCAGCTCAGAGCCTGGAGCCCGCTTCAGATTCTGTGTCTCCCTTTCTCTCTGCTTCTCCCTCACTCATGCTCTGTCTCTATCTGTCTCTTAAAAATAAATAAACATTAAAAAATTTTTTTTTAATTTTTTTAATTCTCCCCTCTGTTTGAAAATGTCTCAGGGAGTGTTTATTTGGTGTTACCATCCACGGTTAAGTACGTGATTGTCAAAACTAAATGCTCATTCAGGTTTTTTTTTTATTATTTTGTGTTTTAAAAAATTATACAGATAATACATGGATTCTTATCATGAGAGTCAAATCAGATGAAGTATCTGGAGCAAAATGGGATCCTTCCTGCACCGCACTCACACCGCCTCCCTCCCCAGTCAGGACCAGTGGCAACAGTTTGGTTTGTGTGCTTGCACACTCCTCTTCCCGTTTATGTACAAAGAATATTTACATACACAGAGTTTGGGGCAAGACTGGCTGGATCCATGTCTCAGCTCTGCTACTCAGTTAACGGTGTGACCTTGGGCCAGTTATTTATAAAATGGTTATTGTCTCCTCTATACAATGGAGACAACAATACTACCTACCTCATTGGCTTATGAGAAAGATCACTGAGTTAATGTATGCAAAGCTCTTAGAACAGAATACTGCCCACACCCCCACCCCGAAAGTATTATGTAAGTGTTGGCCATTACTATTACTATCTGCTGTATCTTTTTTAAAACGAAGTAAAATTCTACTGTACACAGTATTCTATCATGACATTTTTTGTCCTTAAGAATATATCCAGATCTTTCTTTTTTTTTTTTTATTTTTTTTAATGTTTTATTTATTTCCAGGAGAGAGAGAGAGACAGCGTGAGCAGGGGAGGGTCAGAGAGAGAGGGAGATACAGACTCTGAAACAGCCTCCAGGCTCTGAGCTGGCAGTCAGCACAGAGCCCGACGCGGGGCTCGAACCCATGAACTGCGAGATCATGACCTAAGCAAAAGTCGGACGCTTAACCAACTAAGCCACCCAGGCGCCCCATCTTTTTTTTTTTTAATGTTTTATTTATTTCTGAGAGAGAGAGACAGCGTGAGCAGGGGATGGTCAGAGAGAGAGGGAGACACAGAATCTGAAGCAGGCTTCAGACTCTGAGCTGTCAGCACAGAGCCCGATGTGGGGTTCAAACCCACGAACCCTGAGATCATGACCTGAGCTAAAGTCAGACGCTTAACCGACCTAGCCACCCAGGCGCCCCTATCCAGATCTTTCTTACCGGGGTGTGTAGATGTGCCTCATTTTTGTTTTTTAATGTCTAATTATATCCCATATAACTACATAATTTATTTGTAAATGGGAAGATATGTATTGTGGAGTACATGACACATTCATTTATTTGATGCTCACTTAAGCTGGGTCTATAGATTCTGACTTTAAAGTAAAACCTTCAGGGACACGCGTCGGGCTCTGTGCTGACAGCTCTGAGCCTGGAGCCTGCTCGGACTCTGTGTCTCTGTCTCTCTCTTTGCTCCTCTCCCACTTGTGCTCTCTCTCAAAATAAATAAACATTAATAAAATAAAGTAAAAACCGTAAATTCCTCTTTGAAACAGTGAGCTGGATTCGTTTTAGTGAGAAGCAGGTGTCATCCTCCGCTCCGCCCCTGCGCCCGTAGAATCGTTACATGGACTTCGGTAACGTGCCCTCCAGTACGAACTGAATTGATCTGTGGGAAGCGCTCTTTTTAGAAAGTGGCAGAAACCCTTTTCCTGATCTGACATCAGTGCCAAACGACTTCTCTTGCAGACTTACGGCTATGAGCACATACTGACCTTACATAACCTAGAGAAGGCTGGCCTGCTGAAACCACAGTCGGGGGGCAGAAACAATTACCCAACGATCCGGAAAACGTTACGCCTCTGGATGGATGATGTAAACGAACAGGTACAACACGCCCCTCCACTTCAACTCCGTTTACCTACTGGTTAATGGTTCGTTGTGACCACATAAGGTACTTGATTTATACATCCACTTTGCGTTTTCTAGACAATAATTTTCTGATGTGTTTGAAAGTCATGCATTGATGTGTTACATCTCCCAGAGTCCCAGCAGGGAACAGAGAGGGTGCTCTCACAGGGGGTCGTTTGACAAGTTTCCTGGGGGGCGCCTGGGTGGCTCAGTCGGTTAAGCGTCCGACTTCGGCTCAGGTCATGATCTCACGGTTCGTGGGTTCGAGCCCCACATAGGGCTCTGTGCTGGCGGCTCACAGCCTGGAGCCTGTTTCAGATTCTGTGTCTCCCTCTCTCTCTGACCCTCCCCTGCTCATGCTGTCTGTCTGTCTCTCTCTCAGAAATAAATAAAACATTAAAAAAAAAAAACAAGTTTCCTGGGATGTGGGCAGGGTGGGAGCCAGTGAAAGGTGTGCAGTGTGCAGTGGAGTGTCCTTACCCTCCTGGGCCTGAGGGCAAGGAGAGGGAGCTGTTGCAGAAACCCGTTCCAGAACCTGGAGAAAAGAGCTGTGTGGAGAGGCCGTCGGACAAGGTGAGGGATGAGAGTCTGTGGTTGAGAGACACAGCCAGCCTCCCGCAGTGTTGCAGAGAGGGAGCCAGGGCAGTAAAACCCTGACACCACTTGCCAGGTTCCATGCCGTGCCTCCCATCGGCCAACCCCAAAGAAGGTATGGAGGAGGTTCCCTCCACACCTAACCCAGGTTTTCCCTCAGAAGGAACTGGTTTTTATCTACCCTTCCAGGAAGATTCTGTGTATCTACTGACATTTTAACATAAGTGATGAGTATTTTCTACCACTGACCCTCAAAGCAGGTGCACTTTGCTTTGCATTTATTATTGATGCCAGTCTTTCTAAATTTCTTTTTCTTTTTTTTTTTTTTTTGGACTTTCATAGGCATTTTATCAGACCGCGTCCTGCAACAAAAGCTAGTAATTAAAAAGTCTCCTCTTCCAATGACAAAATGGGATGGATTATCTTTCCCTGGTGAAAATATAGATACTTTTAATTTCTATGTTGTAAAGTGTAAACACTGTATTACTCCCACTCTCTCAGTGTTCTTTTTTTTTTTTTAATGTTTATTTTTGAGAGAGAGAGAGAAAGAGAGAAAATGAGTGGGGGATGAAGCAGGCTCTGTGCTGACAGCAGCAAACCCAATGCGGGGCTTGAACCCATGAACCATAAGATTGTGACCTGAGCTGAGGGTGGACGCTCAACCGACTGAGCCACCCAGGACCCCCTCTCTCACTGTTCCAATCTGCCTCTCTCCATTCCAGTCACCACTTAGCCCTGTAACTTGAAGATCCTTCTGCGATCTACCTCATTCTTTTCTGTAAATTTTCTTTTTTGAATTGTTGCATAGCGATTTTGTGGATAAACCTTAATTTACGACTTAACAGATTTCTCTTGCTAGAACTTCAGGTTGTTTCCAGTCGTTTGCTAGCACCCACAGGGTTGCAGTTTATCCGTGTGTGCTTTGGTCTGTTCTGGTACAAGCTCCAATGTAGAGTAAATACCTAAAAGTGGAACGGCCAGGTTCAAGGGTAATGCTCGTTGTTACTCAGCCAGAGAGTGCCGGGTTATCCTCCGAGAAGTTTATTGCCAAACCAAATAAATATTTCATGGCCAGTGCCTAAAGATGGTTTGAGTGACTTTTTCAAGATCTGAGTCGGAAGTGAACTTCTGGCAGCTTGGAATCGGAGCCCAGCTGGGGTCGATTGGAGCAGGACATGACCGGAGTTTGTGTTTCTGCCTTTACAGGCACATCACGTAATCTGGGGTTCCCCACAAGGCCACTGTTCACTGGCTCTGCGTCTCTGTATCTAAAAGCTCTTTCCCTTTAATTATTTAACAGAACCCCACAGACATATCCTACGTGTACAGTGGCTATGCCCCTCTCAGCGTGCGGCTGGCCCAGCTGCTGTCCCGGCCGGGCTGGCGAAGTATCGAGGAAGTTCTCCGCATACTCCCAGGGCCCCACTTTGAAGAACGGCAGCCGCTGCCCACGGGACTGCAAAAGAAACGTAAGTGTGTGGCCAGTATCTGCGACTGCGTACCGCTGGCGTGGTTTTCATGGAGGATGCAGTTGCTGAATAAAGCGCGGCCATAAAGTGCCCAGGACTCAGAATCCAGTACCCCTCTTTTCTTAGTTGCTGATGGACAGTGTGGGCGCCAGAAGCCGCCCAGCTGCATGAGCGACAGCTCTTACCCTCTGGTAAGACTGCTACCTTCTCCGTAGTCAGAGAAAATGCTGGGATCCAAATCGTGCTCCTGACTGTCAGCTGAACTGTCTGCACCAAGACGCAGTTACAGTTACCTTTTTTTTCCCCTCCTTACAAATGATGCCCTTTTTTAAGACGTGGGAAGAGAAACACCCATAATAAGTAATTCTTAATTCTGACATGTTTCCATTTTAGGTCAGCCGGGAGAAAACCGAGTCACTCTGATATTCTTCCTCGGGGGTGTAACCTTTGCTGAAATTGCCGCCCTGCGATTTCTCTCCCAGTTGGAAGATGGAGGTACAGAATATGTCATTGCCACCACGAAGCTAATGAATGGGGCCAGCTGGATCGAGTCTCTAATGGAAAAACCTTTCTAGGGTGATCAGAGTCGACTTGAGTGAACCGCAAAATAAGCTCCTTGAGAAAGGCCGCCATAAGGGAGGGAAACCTCAGTGAGGAAGAACAGAGGGATACAGAATTTACTTCGGGGGTCAGCTTTTAAATTACACGGTTTTCTCCTTTCTGCTTCTCATTTCTGGAAGAGAGAAGACCAGAAGAGAATCGACCTGGGTAAAAGTAACACCAGCTGTTAACATCCGAAGCTCAGGACCGTCCTCAGAGACCTCTGAAAACGTGGAGGACAGTGGGGTGGGTAATCCGCAGCTGCACACGGGGGCCACTTCTTGAAATAAGAAGGCAGGGACTGAGGAAGTAAAAATGAAAACTAGAAGGTGTCACCCCTGACAAATAGTACCGTCTTTCCCGGAGGCACATCACGCCCGGGCCAGTGGCTGGGTGTTGGGGCAAGAGCCAGGCTTCTCATGGAGTTGAGATTTCTTTCTCCACAAGTGGCACGTTACATTCGGTGTCACCGTCCTCTGTCTTATCTGACCATTAAGGCAAGTGTTGTTCCTTCCACTTTCTGCTTTCAGTTCCTCCGCTTCGATGAAGCAAGAGGTGTGGAGGGACTTCTTTCTCCAAACCAAAGTTTATCTGTCGTCTGTCTGACCACCTAAATTCCTGTGGCTCCCGTACTTATCAAGGGCCTTTTATATTGAGGGGCGTGAGGGTTGGGGAGCAGCTTCCTGAGAATTTTCTCAGACGCTTTTCCAGGACACTTGCTTAGTGCACGGGTTACTCACTCCAAGGCGTTTCAGTGGTAGATGCCTCCGCGGGGGCTCAGTTTTCTTCCCTGGCCATCCTGCGCCCCAGCCTCCAGCTCGTCCCGTCCCACTTGGAGCAGTGGTGAGTCTTCAGCCTTTGCCAGCGCCATCTCCACGGTAACTGCACCGCGTACTTCTGTGTGGCCGCCCCACACTCAGCCTCTGGCAAAGCACAGCTCCGTTTCAGTCCCTGGTCCGGTGACCTCGGCCTCGTGTGGTGCAGCTTGTCGATGGTCGTGGGGACCGGCTGCTCCTGCAGGAGACGGTTAGTAGCTGTGGGGCAGAGGAGTGGGATGTTGGTGGAGAGGCTGGAACTGGGTGTGCGTTCCCTGCCTCCCCCCTGCTCCATCCCAACATCTGGAAGAGTTAAATCCAAGGAGGGGACCAAATTGATGGCATCATAGCCCTCACACACGTCTCCCCTCTGCTCTGGGAGAACACGGTCAGCATCCCTTCTTGGGCAAGGTGTGGTTTCTGTTATTAATTAATAAGCGTACATGTTTTTTTTTCTCACTTTGTTTCATTAATGAAATTCTGTTAGCTCATTGCATGTCACCAGTGAAAGAGAAATTCTATAATAAAAAAGTCTCTTTAAGAATGAGGTATAGAGGGGCGCCTGGGTGGTTCAGTTGGTTGAGCATCCGACTTCGGCTCAGGTCATGATCTCACAGTTCGTAGATTCGAGCCCCGCGTCGAGCTCTGTGCTGACAGCTCAGAGCCTGGAGCCTGTTTCAGATTCTGTGTCTCCCTCTCTCTCTGACCCTCCCCTGCTCATGCTATCTCTCTCTCTCTCTCCCTCTCTCAGAAATAAATAAAACATTAAAAAAAAAAAAAAAGAATGAGGTGTAGGAAAGGTCATTATTTAAGAGACTTCCTTCTCATGCATTCAGTTTGGCCTTGACCTTCAGTATTTGGAAAATGGCCTTTTTGAAAAAAACTATTCCTGTTTTAGAAAATCCTTTTTCAAATACTTGTTATCCCAGGGAGATTACTTTATACCTTCCAGCCCCAGCTGTAATCAGCTTCAGCCGCCTTAGAGAATGAAATCCACCTTGCCCCTCAATGTTTTGGGCTCACGGGATTCGATTCAAGTCTGGTCAGGTCTCCTTGGCTGGGTTTTTGTCCTATGAACAGATACTCAGTTGTGTCTCATGTGTCTACATTCACTCGTGACTCTATACTTGCTTGCTCAGAGCCTAGTTAGGTCAGCTCCCAAATGCATTTAGCGGAAGACTTAAAAACATCAATTGCTTCATCTGTATGCAAATAGAAAGTGGTGGATAATTATATATTACTCACCTTTGTGTAAGTTCACTTAATACTTGAAGCAGCCTTTGTCTCAAAGGAGTCTGCCCTTACTGAGAAAGGGTATGTGAATGGTACATTTATTCCTGGAGAGGGCGGATTGTTTACATCATGTCTGGACTTTTGTCTAGTTAGGTAGACAGTTCTGCTACACCAGCAACTCCATAAAAAAGAAGTCTGCACAGATAAGAAGTATACATAGGCACTGTTCCGTATCTTATGTACACTTTCGAATTTTAGCCAACAGAGAAGCATTTGAATTGTAGTTTAACTTTAGAGCAAGGGAATGTAGGCATGCTGAGACTGGGGGTGAATCTTTTGTTGTCGCAGTGCATATAAAAGTTACGTTTATACTGTACTGTAGTCTCTTAATTGTGCAATAGCATTGTGTCTAAAAACATACATATTTCTTAATTTAAAAATATTGCTAAAAAATGCTAGCCATCATCCGAGCTTTCAGTGAGTGATGATCACAGATCTCCCTAACAATTATAATAATAACGGAAAAGTTTGAGATATCATGAGAATTACCAAAATGTGACACAGAGACACACTTGATCTTAGCCAGAAGGCCGAGCATCAATGATATGGAGACATAAAGTGAGCAAATGCTATTGGAAAAATGGCGTTGGCGACTTGCTCCATGCAGGGCCCCCACAAACCTTCAATTGTTTAAAAAAAAAAAAAAAAAGCCCACACTGTCTCCAAAGCACATCAAAGCGAGCTGTGTCTGGGGCACCCGGGTGACTCAGTTAAGCGTCCAAGTTCGGTTCAGGTCTCATGGTTCATGAGTCAGAGTCTGGTGTCAGGCTCTGTGCTGACAGCTCAGAGCCAGGAGCCTGCTTTGGATTCTGTGTCCCCCCTCACCCCCTCTGCCGGTCCACTCCTTGTGCTTTCTCTCTCTCTCAAAAATAAATAAACATTAAAAAATTTTTAAATGGGGTGTGTCTGTAATGGTTAAAAGGAATATTAAAAATTGCACATTTAATTTTTAAAGAGAACTGGGAAGGGTTGGCCGCTGTAGTTCTGCCCTCACTAGAAATGTATTATAGTTAATATCTCTTGTTCTCAGTTGTACCTTAAAGATTGGCCTGGGGTGCCCGGGTAGCTCAGTCGGTTAAGCATCTGACTCTGGATTTCGGCTCAGGTCATGATCTCACAGTTCGTGAATTTGAGACCTGCATCAGGTTTTGCGCTAGCAGTGCGGAGCCTGCTTGGGATTTTCTCTCTCTCTCACTGTCCCTCCCTGCCCACTCTTGTGTACTCTCTCTCAAAATATTTTTTTTAAAGATTGGCCTTTTGCCACAAAGAAGTGTTTGTATTCAGCAGAAATTCAAGAAGAAATACTTTTTAAAAAAATATCAAATGAACTGAATGTCTAAAGCAGACAGGAAGAGAGGCTGCGGTCAAGATGGCAAGGCATAGAAATGTGGCATCGCATAGACTAACTCATGGGGAGACTGAATTATACTCTAAAGCCAGATGTATTATACTAATAGAGTTTAAGGACCTCCTATAGAAAATAGAGGATGCCTTTTTGTCAGCCAGTGATCTAAGAAAAAGGCAATATGTCAACTTTTACAGTTGCTCTTTTTTTTTTTTTTAATATTTTTATTTATTTCTAGGAGAGAGAGAGACAGCATGAGCAGGGGAGGGTCAGAGAGAGAGGGAGTCACAGACTGAAACAGGCTCCAGGCTCTGAGCTGGCAGTCAGCACAGAGCCCGACGCGGGGCTCGAACCCATGAACCGCGAGATCATGACCTAAGCGAAAAGTCGGACGCTTAACCGACTAAGCCACCCAGGCGCCCCCAGTTGCTCTTATTTCTAAATGAATGGGTGTGAGTTCCAAGCCACATAATGTTTCTTAGTTTCTGTTACTCCATGGTGACCAGAGTCTACAGAGGCTGGGATACTTAACTGCTCTGAGACATCCATTTGAAGGACAGGAGAGTGCAAGGGGACAGAGCTGAGCCTGCTCTCAACGCCTCTTTTTCATCTGTTGTTGTGGTGTGGGGTGAGGGTATAAATAAATCTTAGCCATACTTTCCTGTCACTAGGCAGGACACAGAAGCCCTTCAGATGACCAATTCTCTGGGGGAGCAATTACTACTTGCTGGCTTCCTGAGCAGCTTGATAATGTTCTGCTCCTGTTTTCAGCCAGGCTGCGGCCGGGGCAGTGATTTGATAATAACAGACCCTGATTAAATTAAGGAGCCATTTGCTTCTGGATGATGATGTTGATAAAAGGGTTGATGTCCACACTCCCTTCTAGTTTAAAGGTCAAAAAACAGTCTCTAATCACAAACTACAATAAAAAGCATAATAATCAGAAGCAGCACAAAGTTTGTGCTTTTCCTTCATTGTTCCATCTGGGAAAGGGTCTGTTCGTTATTTGCTGACATCCCTACTGGCTGTCTTTACATCACACCTGGAGTTGAAATTAGAAGTAGGCTCATTGGGAAGGTGACTGTATAGTGCATCTCTCAATTACTAAACTCTGTACATTAGAATCGAGCATCCAGGAGCTCTGGGTTCTCTAAGCTCCTGTTTCTCACATACACGCATGCTCACACATGTTTTTTAAGACAACAGCTTTTGCTTTAGTTGGAAAGTTGTAAGTGAAAGTTGTATATTGGTTCTTCTCCTCTGAGACTCAGAGTAGGACGGGGTTCCTCTCAATGTTGTTAGAAAAGGATTCGCACTATATCCCACCCGCAGTGTTAAGAAAAGCAAGACAAGAAGGGGCATGAAAAATCCCCTGGAGTACCACTCGCTCAGCCCTTCTGAGTCAGGAGCTTTGCAGGCATCCTTAGAGCCCTGTGGGCTGTGGCAGTGAAATGGGCGGAGGGCAGGCAGGGTTGCCAGTGCCCCGCCTGGCCTGGGATGGGCTGTGCGCAGCTCCCTGATTGCTCAGGGACCACGGGGAGACTGTGATTGGTCTCTGGACCACACCTAGTTGGTGAGCGCAGCTGCTGCCTGAATATCGCACAGCTCTGCCGAGACCACTGGAATACGCACACGCCTGCCTTTAGACACCAGACCGTGGAGCTGCTGTAGTGGAGGAGTTGTGGAAACTTTGCTGAGTGAGTAAAATGGGGAGAGAAGGAAGCTAGTGGCTGGATCTGAGGGGAAGCTCCTGGGCAGGACAGCAAAGGAGATAAAAAGCTGGTTTGTGATTGTTGCCACTGATTCCATCTGCGGTGGAAGATGCACAAGAGGACAGTGGGGAAGGAGATAAGCCCGGAATCAAATTGATGCCCACCTCCTGGCACTTCCGCAATACTGGCTGGCCAGAAGGGCACGTGTGCCAGACCATAAAGCAAAGACTCTCAAACTCTGCATGTTATCAAGCCTTGGGGTCCAGGGAATTGCAGAGGGGCTTCTGTGAGGACCTACTGCCTTCTCCCACCCAAATGGGTCCCTCTCCTTTTCTCCTCCCAGGCAGCGCAGGTAGCTGGGGCTGCAGCTGGAGTGATGGGAAAAGAAAGCTTTACTCCATTAGGCCATTAGCAGCACTCACAGCATTAAAAATGCAGGAGATGGATAGGAAGAGAGAGCCAGGGATGAAGACTAATGCAGCAGCGGAGACTGGGAACAGACAGGCTTCTCTCTCCTCACAACCCAGATCCAGACTAGGAGTCAAAGAACAAGAGGAACTTTTGGTTTAACAGACTTCTATTAGTGTAAATGCAAAGAGGGCGTTCAGATGGTGGTTAGGGAAAAAGCAGCACTTGGGGCTTCCTCAGCCTTAGGCAGCGTGTTTACTCTTTTGAGGGCCAGGACCCAGCCTAGTCCCCCTGTATCCACATAGCGCTTGCGGAGTGGCCAATGGAGGGTGGGCTTACGGGGGGACGGTCTCTGCGCGTCCAGGGACTCCAGAATGCCCCCGCCCCGCAGGTTCTCGGGCCTCCCGCTCGCTGCGATGCCGGCCTCGTCCACCATCCACGTGCTGCAGCTGCTGCGGGAGCTGCTGGCCTTCGTGCTCCTCAGCTACACGGTGCTCATCGGAGCGCTGCTGCTGGCCGGCTGGACCACCTATTTCCTGGTGCTGAAGTGACAGCGCCCGCAGCCCCGCCCCCCGCCCCGCCCGCCTCGTGCCCGCCCTCAGCCGCCGGCGCCGCGGCGCCCTGCTCCGCCTCCTGCTGGACACCGTTCCACCCGCCGACGGAAGAAGTCTGCGTCTCGCGCTCAGGCCAGGACTGCCTCTCGAGGCAGGCCTCAGGCCTCGCCCGCGTAGGAGTCCATCTTCCTCTCACGACGGCCGACTCCGCTCCGCCCGCTCAGCGCCCTCAGGCCCAGGGCCCGCCCCGTCCCGCGCGGAAGCTCCGGCGGTTGGGCGCTCGTCGCAGCCGTTACTGCCGTTACCCTAAGCCCCGCCCCTTCCCCCCAGACTGTCCAATCCAGACTGTTCTCTCGGGCGGGGGTGTGGTCATGAGGCCAGGCCCACCCAAGAAGAGGCCGCGCACAGTCCCTCGCTCACGAAGTGGCGTCACTTCCGGCGTGTGCGTCTGGCGTGCGGCTGCCGCGGGATGGCGGCTCTGAGGACCTGGGTGTCGCGGAGCGTAGCCTCCCTCTTCAGGTACCTGTGTGGTCGGGTACAAGAGCAGTACTGCAGGGTGGGAGGCACCGCGGGGGCCGCCATGGCCAGGACGGCAGCGCCCGCCTAGGTGGCAGCGTTTGGCTCCTCGGCCGGACGAGTCCCGGCGTCCCGCCCGTCTCAGGTCCGAGGACCTCCTGACTGTGTCCGGGGCTGGAGGCCAAGCCCGGGGACTTTCTCACTGACGGCCTTTCCGTCATTCCCCTGGCCGAGGGCCAAGCCCCGCAACCTCGGACTGGCTTCCTGGGGTGCCTCGGCCTGCCCGCGAGTTCCCGTTAGCCCCTCGGAACCAGCGGAGGGAGATCGGGGAGAGGCCCTAGCGGGCAGCGGACCGTTCGAGGAAGTTTCCCCCGAGGGCAGGAGGGGAGCTGGTCATCCCCGCGCGTGCATTGCTGGCCGCGCCCTCTGCACGCCGTAGCGCCCCTCGCGGCACCTGCGGGCTCCAGGTGTTGCCTAGCGGGGACTCTCCGACACACCTGGAAGCCTCAGCCAGAGTTCCGGGGCTGAATGCTCTCTGCAGAAGCGTTTATTTTAGCCTGAGGTTTTTAAAAAGCTTTGAGACCAATTTTTAAACTTCCATACCTGCTGCTGGTTAAAGTCCGAAACCACCGGGCTCGCATCCCCGCGCGGCAGCGGTTCACGGGAGTTGGGTAGCGGTTGCCCCTTGGATCGAGTCCTGGGCTTTCCAGTCCGACGCGCTCCGCACTGAGCCCTGTCATCTGGCGGGCCGACCCGACTCTTCATTTAGGCTCCTGCTCGGCCCCGTGTGAGTTTTCAACCCCTGCAAACGAATTGAAGAGACTTAAAGATTGGTAGTTACGCCTTATTAAACTTGACTTGTAGGTACAGACGGTGTGTTCCTGTCGTGGCTAACTTTAAGAAGCGCTGCTTCTCAGAATTGATAAGACCATGGCACAAAACTGTGGCAGTTGGATTTGGTGTGACCTTGTGTGCAGTTCCTATTGCACAGGTAAAAATACCGTAGTGTCACTGTTTCTTAGTGTACTGTGCCGTTTTGACGTCTCCGGGCTGGGCGGCCCTGCACCATCAGACAAGCTCTTAGTTTTACCGGGTACTCCCACCCCCATGCGACAGTTTGCTTTCTAGTATACCAGCATTATTTCTTCATAGCTGAATATGTTAATATTCCCATTTTAATGGTCCCATTTGGTAGGAATAGTATGTCAAATTGTATAAAGAGGGAAGAGGAGTAAGACAAGGGTATTCTAATCTATCAACAGAATAGTCTTTCATTCAACAACATTTATTGAACAACTTTAATATTCCATTGCTAGAAATATAAGAACAAAACAAAGTTCCTGCTCTCATAAAATTTACATTCTAGGGAAAAGAAGGGGGCAAAAAATAAATAGAAATGCCAGGTGATCAGTGTTGTGCAGGAAACAAATAGAGTAAGAGAATAGGGAGTGCTCGGAGGGAGTTGTTTTGTTTTAGGTAGGATAGGGTAGCCCAGGAGGGCCCCCCTCAGAAGGTGATGTCTAAATAGGGATCAGAATGATCTGAGAGAATGAGCCATGGTAATGTCTTGGGAGGAGTTTGCCAGGCAGAAGGAAGTCTGGAGTATAAAGGAGTAGAAGCAGGTGTATATCTGATATGTTTGATGAACCCAAAAAAAGGCTAATGTGGCCGGAGTGGAATGAGAAAGAGAGCATAATAGATGGGGCCAGAAAAGTGGCTGAGGATCAAACTGTGTTTTGTCCTCTTTGGTATTGTAAGGCTTTCAATTTTATTCCGAAAAGGAATCCGCAGAGGATTTTAACACAAGGCTGTTAATCTCACGTGAGTTTTTAAGCGTTGCAGTGTGGAACTAGGAAGACCAATGGGAGATGGTTGTTCTAGTCCAGGCTTGGAGTAGGTGGGCAACAGTTTAGTGGAAGACGTGGACCAAATGTGGTCAGCACGAGTTGCTGATGGATTGAGTGTGGAGGTTTTTTTAAAAAGCCTAAGCGGGGACACCTGGGTGGCTCAGTTGGTTAAGCATCTGACTTCTCAGGTCATGATCTCGCAGTTTGTGAGTTCGAGCTCTCCTTCAGGCTCTCTGCAGTTAGTGCAGACACATCTTCGGATCATCTGTTCCCTCTCCTTTGCCCCTCCTGTGCTCACTCTCTTTCTCTCTCTCAAAAATAAATAAACATTTAAAAATGTAAAAGCCTAAGCAACTGAAAGAGTGGAGTTGCCATTTATAGGAGTAGAGGGGAGTGGGTTTTGAGAGCGTGAAATCAAGAACTGAGTTTTGGAAATGACAGTCTAAGATGTCCAGTAGACATCCAGGTGTTAGGCAGACAGGTGATATGAAAGTGGTACCTTATTAAATTGATCACTGGTCATATGCTTTATGGGAAAGAGCTAAATTGCTATTAAAGTAGCAAACCCCATTTTGGAAAAATATTTCTGAAACTTATATGTGTGTTTATCACAACAAAAAGATTGATGCCACTTACCACAAGTCTTGTCAGCATCTTCCGAGGCTTACTCATGAGCCTGCACCTTTTTGTTCCTCACGCCAAACCTCATCTCTGCTCGTAATCCTAAGACCCTTACTTGAACAGCCAGCCATTTTCTGCCGATAATTAAGACAGCCTTTCTTCCTGCAAAAGAATATTTTGGGTTTGTCCTTTCTCAGTTCACACACCTTTCTTAAGCCCCAGTTCCTCAGTCCTAGGCCACGTGGCAGGAGCCTCTGGTCCTTATCCTATAGGAATGGCAGTTGCACTTCTGTTCTTTAAAACCTGCAGTGGCTCTCCATTGTGTGTCCCTGCACGCGAGCGTCCTCGCTGGTCTCCCCTTCCTTGTGCCATCTTTTGTAACCAGGCTAGATCCGTGAGCATCCCCTGTGTGCAACAGATGTATCTTTTCTCATTAGTTCTTCCCCGGGCTGCCTGACACAGTTCTCATCCTGTCTGTCTTCAGGCCCGAGTCCCATCTGGCTTTGAAGCCTTTCAGAGTTTCTGGCCAACAGTGATCTCCCTCTTTCTGACTCCTTGTGTTGTATTTTTGATATTTGATGATAATCTCTATGGTGCTCTCCTGAGTCAACAGCATAATGGAAAGGGAACAGACTTGGTGAAAATGTAGTTTGAAGTCTAGATATGTGGCTTTTTGGGAAAGTTTATGTAACTTCTGAGTTTTCATTTCCTCATCTGTAGAAAAGAAGTGATAATACATGGACTGTTGTAAGGAACAAGTGAAAATGCTTTGTAAAGTGAACTGTGAAGATGTAAGTGAGAATGTTTAAAAATTAGCTTCCACTGACAGAAACAATATTCTTTACAGTCTTTCTAGCCCCTGAGTGCAAGGTACATAATGAATGCTTATTTGATTGAATGAAAGATAAATATGGTAAATAAAATTCTGGATTTGTTCATGTATCAGAGATATTTCTTGATGGCTACTTTCAGTAGGCAGCAGTTCTCTGGGTTTATAGTCTAAATAGCAAAAACAGGACAACATCCACTTGGAGGAATTGGTCTCTTTGTTGTGATACAATCAGTGCTGTGCTGAGGAAGGAAAAGGCAGAGTCAGGGATGACCTGTGAAGCCTTTCGTAATTCAGCATAAAGCAGTGTCTTTCCAAAAGTTCACATTATGCCACTTTGCTTTTCATGAGAGACATTAGTACAGTAATACTTTTTCTTTGTTTGTTTGTAAACTTGAAAATTCTCTCCAGACACCTTTTTGGTTATTGAAATCAGGTACTAATGTAGGTCTTTCTTTTTTTTAAATGTCTATTTATTTATTTATTTATTTATTTTTATTTATTTCTAGGAGAGAGAGAGAGAGAGAGAGACAGCACGAGCAGGGGAGGGTCAGAGAGAGAGGGAGTGACAGACTCTGAAACAGGCTCCAGGCTCCGAGCTGGCAGTCAGCACAGAGCCCGACGCGGGGCTCGAACCCACGAACCGCGAGATCATGACCCGAGCGAAAAGTCGGACGCTTAACCGACCAAGCCACCCGGGCGCCCCTATTTATAAACTTTTAACAGTGGAATCATACCCAACGTATTTCTCCGCCACTTGCGTTTTTTTTTAAAAATCAATATTATGTTCCTGAAATGTATCCATCTTGACATGCGCGGTTTACTGCATTTGTAATTGTGATTTTTATTACCTCAGCTAGCGAAAGGAAATGGATAATTTAACGCCTGGGCATTCATAGTCCAGATTTNGAGCTGGCAGTCAGCACAGAGCCCGACGCGGGGCTCGAACCCACGAACCGCGAGATCATGACCTAAGCGAAAGTCGGACGCTTAACCGACTAAGCCACCCAGGCGCCCCTAAATGTCTATTTATTTTTGAGAGAGACCACAAATGGGGCAGGGGGCGGGGGTGGGGGGGGCAGAGACAAAGGGACAGAGAATCCAAAGTAGGCTCTGCACTGTCAATAGCAAGTCTGATGTGGGGCTTGAACCCACAAACCGCAAGAGATCATGACTTGAGCCAAAGTCAGACGCTCAACCAACTGAGCCACCCAGGTGCCCCTGTAGATCTTTCTTAAAAGAAAAGTGGCTAACACAAACTTTGTGAAAGCAGGGAAGACCTATATTTAGTTAAGGTGGCCATATTACCTTAACTCTTGAGAAGTTATATTGGCCTTTTTTTTCCCCTTTATAATAGCTGAGGTCAGAGTGGAGAGTCCCCAGCCCTGCCCATGACTATACTGCTCAGAATTGCTCTCCTCCATCCACCTATGTACTTAGACTCTGCTTAATCCTCATCAACTCTATGAAGGCTCTTCTAAGCTGTTTTCATTCAACATAGAAGATTGTATTCTTATGTGTGCCCCCACTGTACAGACTTCTGCCACAGCTCCTGTGGTACCTGTGTCAATTTTTCAAGTTCTCTGTTAGCCCCTGCTCCTCCCCTTCCCCGTCTGAAATCTCTGAGGACAGAGAATATATATATATCTTCATGTCCCAAGTATCTAGCACTGTGTTCATGAATGAATCACAACTTTCTGAAATTTGTTGGTTATAATTACTAGACCTATGTCATATAAAGTGTGTGGCTTTTTGGAGGAGAGCATAAGGAATAAAAGTAGATACAAAGTATATTCTGGAATTCTTTCCATTTTTTGTCCTTATTAGCCAAAATAGAGCCTCAAAAGAAAACAGAAGCAGTTGCAGTGTGACAGGTATTTTCCCTTGGCCATCTATGATGAAATTCTCGGTTGGAGCTTTAGATGAGAAGTTGAGTGAAAATGTTTGTGTCTTTCAGAAATCGGAGCCTCATTCTCTTAGTAATGATGCATTAATGAGGAGAGCTGTGTCTTTGGTAACAGATAGCACCTCCACCTTTCTCTCTCAGACCACATATGCATTTATTGAAGCAATCACTGAATATACGAAGGTAAGTGTCCTCTTGTGAAGTCTTGGTCATTTAAACCAGGGGTTAACAAACTATTGCCCCTAGCCCAAGTCTAGTCTGATGCCTGTTTTTGTAGTTCTCCTGGAATGTAGCCAGACTCATTGTATGTTGTCTATCACTGCTTTTGTGAATTGAATAGTTTTAACAGAGCCTATAGGGCCCACAAAGCCTAAAATATTCACTCTGTGACCCTGTACAAATGTTGGCTGAGCCTTTGACCTAAGTCAGTGGTTTTTAGACTTTTTCCAGGAACTCTTTTAAAAAACAAAACAAAACAACTTTACATATAGCCTCCCAGTATAAGACAAGAGAATAAAACTGACTGGGTTCAGTTAGGGGTAAAGGGGACCAGAGTCTAACTCTTGCAGCACCAGGGCCTTCTCTGTGGGAATAGTTTCAAAGCCTCTTATCTGAGCTAATGGGTATCATTTACAGGTTTTATTATACCTTTATTTTCCAGCAGCTTTTCCCCCTCGGCCTTCTGAGCTTTTCTCCTACCTTCTCTGTCAGAATTGCTCACAGTCTTTTAAAAACACAGAAGTGGACTAGTGGGTACACTTAGGTCCTAGGATAATGCTTCTGCCTCATACAGTAGTGCAGTTTCAGTGAGGTGGAAGGACTGAAGAGCCCGTTGGCTATAACGGGACTCTATTTCCTTGACATGTGAATCTCACTAATCCTAGTATGTCTCACCTATTTTACGCAGACTTATGTGTTCTATATTTGTAGGCCGTTTATACCTTAATTTCTTTGTACCGACAATATACAAGTTTACTTGGGAAAATGAATTCGCAGGAGGAAGATGAAGTGTGGCAGGTGATCATAGGAGCCAGAGTTGAGGTAAGAAAAAGTTACTAGACATTTCCATATTAGTGCCCCTACCTCATTCTGGTATCTAAATGATTAAATTAAGGTGTCTAATCAGTAACTGTTCTCTGCATCTGCTATTTTGAATAAGTCCATTTTAATGTGATTCTTAACCTCCTCTTGTTGTCTGAAGTGCTGTGTTTAATTTACAGATGACTTCAAAACAACAAGAATACTTGAAGTTGGAAACCACTTGGATGACTGCACTTAGTCTTTCAGAGATGGCGGCAGAAGCTGCATACCAGACTGGTAGGTTCCAGTTGTCACTACCAGTGTGCCATGTGACTTTTCATCTAGCTGTAAAATGAGAGGTTTAGATTAGTCTAAGGCCCGTGTCTCTGACTCTGAAAAAATGTCCCCATCTCCAATCGCCAGGTGGTCTGTGTCTAGAAAATGGCGCAACTGCTGCAGATTAGAAAATGATGGTGTCCAAATGATTTTTAGGCTTTTTTTTTTTTTTTATGTTTGTTTTGAGAGGGACAGGGGAGGGACAGAGGGAGAGAGAATCCCAGGCAGGGTCCATGCTTTCAGTGCAGAGCTGGATGCATGGCTCAAACCCTGAGATCATGACTTGAGCCACCCAGGTACCCCAGATTTTTAAGCATTTTATTCTTTTAGTTTGTTTTTAAGTTTGTTTATTTTGAAAGAGAGAGAGAACACAAGCGAGGGAGGGGCAGAGATGGAGGGAATCCCAAGCAGGCTCTGTGCTGTCCATGCAGAACCAGATGCAGGACTTGATCCCACGAACCTCAGGATCGTGACCTGAGTGGAGATCAAGAGTTGGACGCTTAACCAACTGAGCCACCCAGGCACCCCAAACATTTTATTCTTTTTATAACACTGATATTTATGAATAACTAGTTATATAAGGACAGAGTTGGAGGAGACTTGAGATTATCAATATGTGTGAGCCTTACTGAAACTTGGAATCCTAGTCAGTGGCAAATCCTGGACACGTAATAACTACTATTTATTGAGTATATGTAGTAAGCATTTTATAGGCACTTTCAATTTAAGGAGCTTGAGGATGATCTTCCCCACTTTACAAATGAAGAAAATGGAGACAGAGGGTTAAGAAATTCATGGAGATGCTGTGGTGTGGTAAGTGAGCAGCCAGACTGGGATTCAGCCTAATTCTGATGCCTCCACTTTTGTATCCCATTCACTAGGATGTTTTTTGAACTTCACTATCCATCCAGTGGGCTTGAGCTGAATGGTTTTTAATTTAAAATATTTTAAAGAAAATTAGTTGAATCTTACCTGAATTCATTTCAAACTAAAAGCCAAGGGTCAGCTGTTTTGTTTTCTGACTTCGGGATAACAGACTAGGAGCTCCAGTGCTGTATCTTTAAAACGGATACAATATACATTTGTTTGAATGTTTATTTTGAGAGAGAGTATGAGCCGGGGAAGGGCAGAGAGAGAGACTCTCAAGCAGGCCCTTGAGATTAAGACCTGAGCCGAAATCAAGAGTCACCTGCTTAACCAATGGATTATTGGTGTAACTGATTATTCACTAACTGAATTGTTAGTGAACTAAAAGCAGAAGTAGAATGAAGAGTGAAACAGCAAATATGTGAAAGTAGCATTATAGCGGGGCCACAGCAGAGGTGGGAGACGTGCAGGGAGGTTTGCTGAGGTGTTCCAGCATGGACATTCCCAGGTACCCTTCATCATCCAGGCAGGCTTAGATTGAGCTAGAGAAAGGGGAAAGTAAAGTATAAGCATTATCTGGGAAAAATGACACGTTCATAAAACTGATTAAAAAGGCTCACAATTTAAAATCATGGCCAAAAAAAAAAAGGCTCAAATGAAATATGCAAAGAAAAATCCTTTAAAAAAACTAAGAATCAGTTTTATCAGCAACTCTAGATGCAGGGTGACAAATCAGTAACCTAGAATTTTATATCCAGCCAAGTCTTATTTCAGACCCAAAAAGACTCAAAAGTTTACCAGTCACTATGCTTTCTGGAAAACTGCTTTGTGAATAAATTAGTTTAATAAAACTTGTCAAAAGTTCTGTCAAAATTTTTTTTAATGTGTATTTTTGAGAGAGAGAGAGAGAGAGCGCACAATTGTGTAGGAGGGGCAGAGAGAGAGGAAAAGACAAAAAATCTGATGCAGGCTCCAGAGTGAGCTGTCAGTGCAGAGCCTGACATGGGGTTGAACTTATGAACTGTGAGATCGTGACCTGAGTCACGCAGGTGCCCCGAGTGTTAAATTTTTAAGTGAGTTTGGGGAAGAAGTGAAAGCATGCTAAAAAGAAATAGACATTGGCTTAACACTAGACCTTGCTAAACAAATGAAAACTTGATAAAGTCAATTAAGGCAGGGAAGTTTTAAAAGAAATAAAGAAAATGCAAAGTAAAATGAACAAGTTCCAACGTCAGTAATTGCAATAGCTAAGAATATGTTCAAAAAAATAACCACAGCTAAGATGATTTACAGAGATACTTAAAATGGTGTAGGAAGTTTGAAAATTATAAAAAGCTGAACTGAGGGGCGCCTGGGTACCTCCGTTGGTTAAGCATCTGACTTTGGCTCAGGTCATGATCTCACGGTTCGTGGGTTCCAGCCCCGCATCAGGCTTTGTGCTGACAGCTAGCTCAGCCTGGAGCCTGCTTCAGATTCTGGGTCTCCCTGTCTCTCTGACCCTCCCCTCCTCACGCTGACTCTTTCAGAAATAAAACATTAAAAGATAAAAAATATCGAGAAGATAGCAGTCATCAAGCAATATGCCTGATGAGGAATTCAAAGTGATTGTCATAAAGATACTCACTGGACTTGAGAAAAAGGGAATGAGCTCCGTTTCAACAAAGGGAAAATACAACAATGGAAATAAAAAATAACACTAGACAGAATCAACAGAAGATGAGAGGAGGCAGAAGGATGGATCAGTGATCTAGAAGACAGGGTAATGGAAAATAAGCTGAAAAGCAAAAAGTAAAGTAAAAACAGGTTAAAGGTACTTGGTGACCTTATCAAGCATTAGAACATCCACATCATAGGGATCCCAGAAGGAGAAGAGAGCTAGAAGAAGGCAGAAAACCTCCCTAATGGAAAAGGAAACAGACATTCAGGTCCAGGAAGCATAAACAGCCCCTAACAAGGTGAACTTAAAGAGATCCACACCAAGACATAAACTTAAAATGGCAAAAAGTATGGGGCACCTGGGTGCCTCACGCAATTAAGTGTATCTGACTTTGGCTCAGGTCATGATCTTGCAGTTCATGAGTTCAAGCCCCGGGTCGGACTCTGCTAACAGCTCAGAGCCTGGAGCCTGCTTCAGATTCTATGTCTCCCTACCTCTTTCTGTCCCTCCCCCGTGCTCACTTGCTCTCTCTCAAAAATAAACATTAAAAAATAAGGCAGCAAAACAGTTACATGCAAGGGATACCTCATAAGGCTATTAGTTGATTTTTCAGCACAAACTTTGCAGGCCAGAAGGAAGTGGCATGATATGTTTAAAGTGCTAAAAGGGAAAAACCTACAACCAAGAATACTCAGTAAGATTATTCACAATAGAAGAAGAGAAAGTTCATCACCACTAAACCAGCCTATGGGAAATGTTAAAGGACATTCTTTAAGGGGTGGGGGTGGGGGGAGTCCATAACTAGAAGAAAGTTATGAAAGGTAAAAGTATTAGATTATTCACTTACAAAGCCAGTATAGAGGTTAAACCACATAATAAAAATTGATACAAAAAGATGTGAAATATCATATACATAAAATGTAGAGAGGGAGTAAAAATTTAGTGCTTACAGCTATCAATATAGACTCTTATGCACATAACATGTTATATATAAACCAAATGGTGATCACAAATCAAAAACGTGTAATACACGAGAAAATATTAAAGCCATCAGGGGCACCTGGGTGGCTCAGTTGAGTGTCCCACGTCAGTTCAGGTCACGATATTGCAGTTGGGATTCGAGGCTTGCCTCAGGCTTACTGCTGTCAGCGTAGAGCCGGCTTTGGATCCTCTGTTTCCTCCTCTTCTCCGCCCCTCACCCTTTTGCATTCTCTCAAAAATAAAAATTAGAAAAGCCATCAAACTCACAAGGGAAAAGAACAAGACAAGAACAGAGAAGAAGTATAAAAACCAGAAAACAAGATGGCAGTAAGTACCTACCTATCAATAATCACTTTAAATGTAAGTGGACTAAGTGCTCCAAGAGACACAGAAAAAGACCTATTTATGCTGCCTACAAGAGATTTGCTTCTGACCTAAAGACAACTATAAACAAAGTGAAGAAATGGAAAAACATATGCCATGCAAATGATATGAGGGGGAAAAAAGCCAGGGTAGCAATAATTCTGTCAGAAAGAGACTTTATTAAGTTTTAAGTTTGTTTTTGAGAGACAAAGCATGAGTTGGGGGAAGGGCAGAGAGAATCCCAAGCAACTGGCCAGTATCTCTGAGGAATACAAATGCAAAAATTCTCAATAACAACATTACAAAAATCATTCATCAAAGTCCAGTGAGCTTTATTCCAGGGATGAGAGGTTGCTCAGTATTTGCAAACCAGTGTGATACTTCACATTACCAAGAAGAAGGATAAAAACCACATGATAAACTCAATAGATGCAAAGAAAAGCATTTGACAAAATATCATATCCATTCATGATAAAAACTTAGCAAAGTGGGCTTAGTGGGAGTATCCACCAATATATTTAAAGCCATACATGAAAAGTCCACAGCTAACATCATACTCGGTGTTTAAAAAAAAAAAAAACCCATTTACAGTTGCACCTCAAAGAATAAAATACCTAGGAATAAAGTTATCCAAGGAAGCAAAGGAAGCATACTCTGAAAACTATAAGGCATTGATGGAAGAAACTGAAGATACCAGAAATGGGGAAACCTACCATGCTTTCCATTGCACTGAAAGAATATATATGTTTTTAGTTTATTTTTGAGAGAGAGTACAAGTGGGGAAGGGGCAAAGAGGGGGACAGAAGATCCGAAGCAGGCTTTGTGCTGACAGCAGAGAGCCTGATGCAGGACTTGAACTCACAAACGGTGAGATCATGACCTGAGCCAAAGTCAGACACTTAACCGACTGAGCTACCCAGGTGCCCCAAAGAATTAATATTGTTAAATATCCATACTACCCCAAATACAGATTCAATGCAATCCTTATCAAAATACCAATAGTATTCTTCCCAGGACTAGAACAAATAATCCTAAAATCTGTATGGAACCATAAAAGACCTTGAATAGCCAAAGTAATCTTGAGAAACTAGAACAAAGCTGGAGGTATCACAATCCCAGATTTCAAGATACACTATAAATCTATAGTAATCAAAACAGTGTAGGACTGGCACAAAAACCTAAATGGAACAGGATAGAGAGCCCAGAAATAAACCCACAATTAATGTGGTCAGTTAACTACAACAAAGGAAGAATATACAGTGAGGAAAAGACAGTCTCTTCAACAAATGGTACCAGGAAAACTGAATAGCTACATGCCAAAGGATGAAAAAACTGGACCACTCTCTTACACCATACAAAACAAACTCAAATGGATTAAAGACCTAAATGTGAGACCAGAAGTCAGAAGTCATAAAACTCCTAAAAGAAAGCATAGGCAGTAATCTCGGGCATCACCATTAGCAATATATGTATGGATATGTTGCCTCAGGCAAGGGGAACAAAAGAAGAAATAAATTATTGGGACTACACAAAAATACAAACCTTTTGCATAGCAAAAATAAACAAGAAAACGAAAAGGCAATCTAATGAATAGGAGAAGATATTTGTAAATTATGTATCTGATAAGAGGTTAATAGCCAAAATAACATAGAACTTAATCCCCGAAAAAATCCAGTTAAAAAAAGGCATTTTTAGGGGCGCCTGGGTGGCTCAGTCGGTTAAACCTCCGACTTCGGCTCAGGTCATGATCTCACAGTTTGTGGGTTCGAGCCCCACATCGGGCTCTGTGCTGACAGCTCAGAGCCTGGAGCCTGTTTCAGATTCTGTGTTTCCCTATCTTTCTGACCCTCCCCTGCTCACGCTGTCTCTCAGAAATAAATGGAACATTAAAAAAATAATTAAAAAAATTTTTAATGGGCATTTTCCTAAAGACGACCTACAGATGGCTAATGTACACATGAAAAGATGCTCAACATCACTATCACAGAAATGAAAATGAAAATCACAAGATATCACCTTATACCAGTCAGAATGGCTTGTATCAAAAAAGACAAGAAATAGGGGCACTTGAGTGGCTTAGTCATTTAAGCATCCAACTCTTGATTTCAGCTCAGGTCATGATCTCACAGTTTATGAGTTTGAGCCCTGCATTGGTCCCTGTACTGGGTGTGAAGCCTCCTTGGGATTCTTTCTCTCTCCTCTCTGCCCCTCCCCTGCACACACTCATTCTCTGTCTCAAATAAATTTAAAACATCATTTGTGAAGATGTGGATAAAAGGGAACCTTCATGCACTATTAGTGGGAATGTAAATTGGTGCAGCCACTGTGGGAAACAGTATGGAGTTCCTCAAAAAATTAAAAGTATGATCCACTAATTCCACTATTGGGTATTTGCCCAAAGAAAATAAAAACACAAATTCAAAAAGATAACATGCACCCCTGTTTACTGTAGCATTATAATAGCCAAGTTACAGAAGCAGCCCAAGTGTCCATCCATAGATGACTGGATAAAGATACACACACACATACATAATGGAATATTAGCTATAGAAAAAGTATAAAACCTTGTCACTTGCGACAACATGGATAGACCTAGAAATTATGCTAAGTGAAATAAGTCTGACAAAGACAAATACCCTGTGGTTTCACTTGTGACATCTAAAAAACAAAAACGAACAAAACAGACTCTTAAATACAGAGAACTGGTGGTTGGCAGAGGGGAGGTGGGTGGGGAGGATGGGCAAAATAAAGGGGATTAAGAGGTATAGACTTCCAGTTATAAATAGGTCATGGAGAAGAAAAATACCACATAGGAACAGAGTCGATAATATTGTAACAACATTGTGACTACACTCACGGAGGTGAGCACTGAGTGATGTACCCAGTTATCAAACCAATATGTTGTACATGCAAAACTACTGTTAGCTACACTTCAATAAAATGTAGGAAATGAAACTGTACGTACCGTATGATCTCAAACTTATAGAGTAACAACGTAGAAGAAATGTAGATGGAAAGAAGGATGATGAGAAAAAATATGGCAGAAAACTATACTGAGCACAAATATTAGAGGAAATGAACCAAAAGGCTAATATGGATGTTGGAATAATAGGTGATTTTTAAATTATTTTATAATATATACCAGTAAATATGGTAATTTATACCAGTAAATCAGTAAATTTCAGTATATATAATTTATATCACTATTCAACACAAAAGTAGATCATGAAAATGTAATAAAGCAAAATTGAGGTTTACAAGGAGAAGTTAAGTTTAATACACATCTCAGACTCACAGATCAAGACCAAAAAATGTAAAAAAAAAAAAAAAAAAAGTAAAGCTACGAAGTGTTGAAACAATGATTTTTAAAAGCTTAATCAAGTATATATAGTAAATATAAAACTTTATCCCCCTTCCAAATACATTCTTTTCAAACACACAGAGGATGTACAAAAACTGCTTTTATGCAGAGACTCAGCAAAATCTCTCCTACCCCCATCTCTGACCAAAAATCAAAATAGAAATGTAAAAATATTTGGAATGGTGATGACAAAGAGCAGTATGCAGCAGACCCAGAGTTGCAGATGAAGCTCTTAAACAGACCTGGACACCTTTAAAGAGGGATGCCAGAAATTCAAAGAACAGCCATGAATGACAGGGAATATTCACTGTACCAAGTACTGAAAACAAACTAAATTTGTAACCCATTTAGAAATAGGGGACTCTACATCCAGGCAGTGTAGAACAAATGAAATAAAAGGTGAACGAAGATTAAAAATAGTTCATCAGGCAGAAATCAGGGTGCCTGGGGGCTCAGTTGGTTAAGCATCCAACTCTTAATCTCAGCTCAGGTCATGAACTCACCGTTCATGGGTTCAAGACCCTCGGACTCCTGGCAAACAGTGTGGAACCTGCTTGGAATTCTCTCTCCCTTTCTGCCTTCTGCTGATCATGTACTTTCACTCTCAAACTTAAAAAGGGGGCAAAATCTGGTTCCGTGAAAAGAAAATTTTTTTGGCAAGTATGAATTTTTAGAAGGCAAAAGTAACATTAGAAAGGGCTATTAACTGGGGCACCTGGGTTGCTTAGTTGGTTAACCAGCCAACTTCAGCTTAGGTCATGACCTTGTGGTTCAGGAGTTCGAGCCCCGCATTGGGCTCTGGAAAAAATTTTTAAAAACGGCTGTTATAGATATGGAGAGTTTTAAATTATAGCAATATTATAGTTTTCATGGAAATCCCAAATTGGCCAAAGAAGAATCCCAATAACCATAAAAGTTGAAATTGTATTCAAAGATTTTGTGCCCGAAAAGGCAGACACTAAATCCAGCTGTTTTGTGGGAGAGCTTTATCAAATCTCTAAGGAACATAATTCCTGTTACAGAAAGTATATCCGTGTATAGGAAATGATGGCAAGCCTCCCGAGTGTTGTAATTGTATAAAGCTAGCATAGGCCCCATCTCCAACTACACTAGGCCAGTACTGAAACAAAAAAAAACTATGGTTAGTGTCACTTGAGAATATACATGAAACTCACATATAGCCATTTACTTCAAAATACAAGATACTTCAACACTGAAAAAAAAAATCAATAAATTTACTAGAGATTACAGTAGATTAAAGGAGAAAAGCCAGCCATGTAATGTCAATATAGGTCCCAAAAGCCTTCAGTAAAATCTAATACCCATTTATGATTTAAATCTAAGTACAGGGCGCCTGGGTGGCTTAGTCGGTTAAGCGTCCGACTTTCGCTTAGGTCATGATCTCGCGGTTCGTGGGTTCGAGCCCCGCATCGGGCTCTGTGCTGACTGCCAGCTCAGAGCCTGGAGCCTGTTTCAGTCTGTGACTCCCTTTCTCTCTGACCCTCCCCTGCTCACGCTGTCTCTCTCTCTCTCTCTCTCTCCTAGAAATAAATAAAAATAAATAAATAAAAAATCTAAGTACAATTATAAATACAATTTTAATAGGTTAAGTAACCCTACTTAATGAACTAAGAGGCACTCCCATCAAGTTCAAAATAAAATCCTTGCTATTCTCCGCTAGCTTTTAACATTGTACTGAAGGTTCTTATTATAGTACAGTAGAAAAAAACCACCCAGATCCTCTCTAGATGAATTGAGAAGTGTGCATATCTATGATGAAATATACGAGTAGTAGGTAAACAGAATGATAGAGCCCAAAAACATGTTTACAGAAAAAGCAAAATTGCAACATATGTTCAATAAACACCTTTTGTGCCATTATATGAATTTAAAGTAACAAAATATTTCTCTACGCATTCCATATGTACAAAAGATGAGAAAGATGTTCTTTGAACTTCCAGCAAAGGTTATCTCTAAAGATTAGGTAGGCTGATGAAAGAGGTCTTTGACAATTTAATTAGTGAGCTATTAATTTCTCAAAAAGAAATGGATTGATTACTTGTGTAAATTCAGAAGACGCCTATACTCAGAGCTGTGTGGCTGTAGAGATGACTGTGGGAATTAGCTGGAGAAATACGCAGACCTGAATGTGGAGACAGTTCTCTCTGGTGCAGAGAGGGTGGGCAGGGAGTGTCTCCAAGAGCGGCTCAGATGGCAGCCACGGAGCCCCGGGCTTTCCTCGTGTCCGCCAGGGCCTTGCACCACTCAGCCTAACTGTGCCATCCTTTGGCAGGAGCAGATCAGGCCTCTATAACTGCCAGGAATCATATTCAGCTGGTGAAGTCCCAGGTGCAGGAGGTGCGCCAGCTCTCACAGAAAGCAGAAACCAAGTTGGCAGAAGCACAGACAGAGGAACTCCGGCAGAAGACGCGGGAGGAAGGGGATGAGAGGCCCGAGCCGGAGCAGGAGGCCTACCTGCGCGAGGATTGAGTGCCTCAGCCGCCGCCCCGTCTGCCGGCTCCGGCCCAGGATGAGCATGGCTTTCTCTGCACACAGAGGCGGCAGCAGGTCCTGCCCTGGCCCACTGGGCCAGAGGCCATAGCTGTGAGTGCCTGACCCCTTTCCCTACGGACCTGGTTCTTAGCGTGCACCCTCTTTACCATTTGACCCTCCCTCACTCACCACAGCTTCCCAACCGCCGGTCATCTTTTTACCTCCCACCTAGAGCATCTCAGCAGCCTGGCCAGAGAGAGGGGTCCTTTTTTTGTCATGCCCACAAGTTCCGTAGCAGTTTAACCTGTTTGCAGTCGAATTCACATTTTTAAATCTGATTTAGTCTTTGCTCCCTCCATAGGGAAGTGAGGTTTTTAGGGAATGGGGAGCCTGTTGATAAGATTTCTTTTTAAGTATTTCTAATCCCTTCTGTGATCTGGCGCCTTTGCCTGTAAGGACAGCAGAGGCCCAGGAGCCAAAAGTCCATTTTTCTTAAGAAACTGAATGCAGAGTGTTTACCTGGTGCTCAACAGGACATATTCCAACACACGCCTCATTTCCTTCTTCCTCTATGGTCTCTGAAGGAGAATAATTTTGTTTTGCGCTTCAAAAAGAAATGTCTGTGTCTTGGGGCCCTGTGCAGCCTCCTTCTCCTTGGCTTCCCAGACTGGCAGAGCCCCGAGGGGCTCCAGGAACCACCCCCCATCCCGCCACCAGAATTCTGACAGCCTCCGCTGTGCTCCCATTTAACACAGGCTGGTACAGGTTAGCCAGGTTTCGGTGTTTTTAATCAGAGTTAGCAAGGTCTGGGTGGGGGTTACAAAAAGGAAGAAATGAAGTCAGCATTTCCCATAGAGCCTCAGGTCAGGATTCAAAGTTCTCACTTGTCCTCATGATAGGAAAATCAACACTGGGTTCACTCACTCAACCCACCCCTCAGAGTTGGGGCGAGGGGGCCGCTGCACACTTGAGCCCCTCATCTGTCACCAGCGCCCACATGGTCCACATCTCCAGGGGGCTGAGGCGGTGCACCAGCAGGAGCCCCCTGTACAGGCAGGGGTCCAGGGGGTCCAGGGGCCGCCGAATTCCAAATGTCTTGAAGCCGGCGTGATGCACGGGGCTCACCCCCAGCTTCCTCAAGCACATACCCACAAAGACGTCGTCGATGGGGAAGAGTTCGGCCTCTTCCACGGCTGCTTGGAGGCGCTGCACGGTGGCTCGGGACATGACGTAGCCCCCACCCCCCGCGTAGGGTGGGTAGTGGCGGGCCCTGTACATGGACGGGGGGATGAAGTATTTGACCTTGGTGTTCCTGTTGGGTAGGGCCTGGCGGATAACATCTCCCACCAGGAGGTCCCGGGCTGGGTCCCGGCCCTCCAGGAACTCCAGCACATTGGGGACGTGGACGAAAACATCGTCATCTCCCTTTAGCGTGAAGTGGGCCTGGGGACAGGCAACCGCCACCCAGCGCTGCAGGTGCAGCTCCTTGAGCGTCAGGTTGAAGAAGTCCTCGGCGAAGTCCCACTGCAGGATGTCGTCGAACTCCCGGCTCTCGTAGGCCAGCAGCTGGGCTGGGGGCGCCAGCCCCGCCACCCCCAGGAGGAACACCAGCTTCAGCTGCCGACCCCTTGTCCAGCCCCCCATCCGACCCCAAGTGCTGCGGATCGCTGCTCGTCGCTCCACGTGGCCAGGCTGCGACTTGATGGCCAGGAGCAGAAAGGTGTCGGCCGAGCAGCCCGAAGGCTCCAGCAAGACGGAAAAGTTGCGGCAGTGGCGATAGGTCAGGAAGAGGCGGTGGCGGATGGGCAAGGACAGGGAGACATTAGCCAGCGTGTGGTTGGGGGGACATTGGGTGCGGCGGGGCCCTGGGGGAGCCCAGAAGGGCTGGCGGGCCACGGGGTCCCCCACCGGCTTGGCCTCTTTCTTCAGGAAGAGCAGGCAGCTGAGCAGCAGCACAGCCAGGCTGTACAGGACCAGCCAGCCCAGCCTGCGCAACATGGCAGGTCCTGCAAGGAGAGAGCGCGTGAGCCGCCGGCCACGCCCCCTGCCGGCCCCGCCCCTCCCCGGCCCCGCCCCCCAGCAGCCGCGTCCCTGCTCGCCTCCTCCAGCCAGGCTGTACAGGACCAGCCAGCCCAGCCTGCGCAACATGGCAGGTCCTGCAAGGAGAGAGCGCGAGCCGCCGGCCACGCCCCCTGCCGGCCCCGCCCCTCCCCGGCCCCGCCCCCCAGCAGCCGCGTCCCTGCTCGCCTCCTCTCCATTCGCTCTTCTCTGCGTTCTGTGCCTCCTCCCAGAGTCCCTCTCCCGGGGGACAGGTCAGCACACCTGCTTTGCCAGCCCTCGCCTTCTGCTGTCATCAGAGGGCTCTCGGGTCAACTTTTCTCCAAAAGGACTTGCAGTCACTTTTTTTTTTTTTTTTTTGAGAGCGAGTAGGGGAGGGGCAGAGGGAGAGAGAGAATCTTAAGCAGACACCATGCTCTGCGCGGAGCCCCACATGGGGCTCAACCCTGGGATCATGACCTGAACCGAAATCAGGAGCTGGACACTCAGCCGGCTGAGCCACCCGGTGCCCCTGACCTGCAGCCATCTTAAAACCGGCACCAGGGTGGCCTGGCCGGCTGAGGCAGAAGAGCGTGCGACTCTTGATTTTGGGGTGGTGAGTTTGAACTCCAAGCTGGGTGTCAAGATTACTTTAAAAATACATTTTAAAACACTGAGGTACCATGAGCACTTGCAGCATTTCCCAGGAAACTCAAGTATCTTATGGTAAAAATGGCACATAGCTAGTTTAGTTTCCAGTGAAACTCTAAGCATTTAGGGCCCTTGAATCTAAAGTCAAACAATTGCCCCCAAATACTGTGCACTCTGACCTGCTGGCCGCGGGCCCTGCGGTAAGTGTCCTCCGAGGCACTGCCCCGGGGCGTTTGCCTCTCCAGAGAAGGGGAGCCAAAGGTACCACCGAATACACCCTTCACGTCTGCCTGAAGCTTCTTCCCTCCGTTTCTTGCATGAAGTTTCTCCTTTCCCTCAGGTTTTTGGGGGAGTTACTTAATATGGGGTTTTAAGAAAAAACCAGCTGCACAGCAGAGCAGGAAAGGAGAGCGGGAGCCCTGCCTCCCCTGTAGCGCCCCTCCCCCACCCCATCGGCTCTGCTTTCCTCCCCGCGAGCAGCCCTGCGTCCGAAGAGACACCCGCCCCACATCAAGTCAAGAACAGCCAAGCCAGGCCTGGGGCACCTCCTCTTCACCCCGTTGCCACGCGGTCCTGGTCCGACTGGCCGTCACCTCTAGCCAGTCTACCGCACTGGCCTCGCCCCTGTGGCCCTGCCGCCGCCACAAAAGCCTCTCCTGTAGCCGCCAGGGCCACCGGGAGGAGACAGACCAAAACCCAAAAGCAACACCAACTTGAGCCGGTGCTGAGAAAACGCTCAAGCAGCGTAACGGGCCACAGCGACTGCGGAGGGTTATCTCAGCCTGCAGTTTAGAAAGCTCTCCTTGACAAGGGAGGTTTCACTTTTTTTTTTTTAAGGGTATTTATTTTGAGAGCGAGAGCGCACGCGGGCACACAGGTGAATGGGGGAGGGGCAGGCAGAAAGGGAGAGACTCTCAAGCAGGCTCCGAACGGTCAACGCAGACAGCAGCTGACTCGGGGGCTTGATCATGACCTGAGCCGAAAACAAGAGTCAGACGCTTAACCGACTGAGCCCCCCGGGCCCCGAGATACAGAACATTTGAACAAGAACTGAATGAAAGGAGCAAACCACAGGGACCAGGCGGGAGCGTGTGCCAGGCGGTTAAAGCCCAGCTCCCGGGGTAGGCGCGGGTGGGACGTCTCTGAGCACAGGCGTGTCCTGTGGCCGGAGTAGTAAGAGCAAAGAGGAAAGTGCTAGAAGGTGAGGCCGGACCTCGGGAAGGCATGCATAAAGGGCCATCCTGAGGCAAGGGAGGAAGCGTGGGTTTATTGCATCCTGGGTAGAGAGAGGCGGTGACAGAATTTACGTCGCCTGAAGGGTTCCTCCTGCTGCGGTTTAGATGATGGGTTTTGTAAGGAAACAGGAGGCCCTCGAGGAAACTGGCACCACCAGGTGAGCCACGCGGCTTTCAGGTGCGGAAAAGGACCGTCGGGTGTGGGCGATGGGCCCGGGACGCGGCGCCGGGCGGGCTGAGAACTCGGGGCGCAGGGCAAGCGGTTTGGTTCCGGAGGCCGGTGCGCGGCGGACCCGCTCAGCCTCCGCCCGCAGTGCTCGCACTGCGCACACCCGCACCCCTGCTCCCCCGCACGCCGGACCACCGCAATGGCCCCCACCCCCCTAAGGCGGGGGGCACGGTCCCCCTCTCGGGCCACTCCTCTGCTCCCCACCTTTCGCACTACTGTGAATCCTGATTCAGTACCTGCGAGTGTAGGTCTCCCTCCAAACTGAGAGGCCCCAAAAGCCTGGTTCTTAGCCCGGCGTGGGCTTCAGCGAGGGCAGGACCCCCGCCCCCCTTCAGTGTCGTGCTAAGTCCTAAGGGTCTGTCGTTGTTTCTGGGGTGACAGCCTCCGGGGGTCCTTGGGGCTCGGCGACCCAACATGCTATGACGAGGCAAAGTGCCAAGGGCTAGTTCATTCTTTCCACGCCACAGTCTCTAACCGGCTGTTGTGGGGGCGGTAGGCCGGCGGGGTCGCCAGAGCAAGGAGCGGGGACCCCGCGGCGGACTCCCCTCCGGGGGCTAAGCACGCACGGCGCGCTGCCCCCCGAGGCCGGCCCGCCCCAGAGCGCCCGGTTCCTGCGGTTCGAGCCTCGGCGGGCGAACGGCAGCCGAGGGGCAGCAGGAGGCTGCCCGGCCCCGACGGTTCGCTGCGGGGACCACCCCGCCGCCAACCCCAGCGTCCTCGCGGATGCGCCGGGGTGCAGAGGCACGGGCAGCCGCGGCTCCCTCCGGCACAGTGAGACGCCCCTGAGCCCGCAGCGCGGCCCCAGGCGCCCCCGGTCCCGCACAACCCGCATCCCGCGGACCTACCTGAGCCGGGACGCCGGGCCAGGCGCAGGCGAGGAGCGCGAGCAGCCGAGCGCAGAGCGGGAGCTCTAGCCTCGCACCTGCAGCTCCGCTCGGGCGGGGGGGCGGGGCCTCGGGAGGGGCGGGGCTGCGGGGGCCGCCGCGGGGTCCCGCCCCCTCCGGGCTCCGCTCACCCTCTGCAAACCTGCGGGCGCGGGGCCGCCCAGCTGCCCCGGCCCGTCCCCACCCCCGGCGCGGCAGCCACACGGACGCGGAGCTGCGGGCCTCAGAACCACCTTGAATCCTGCGTCCTACTGGGCGAACTCCCGGAGCGCCTCCTCCGCCGTGCGGCACTGGTGTAGCTGGATCTGCACCTCCACCGTGAGGGGCTGGGGCTGGTAGTCGCCGTCGTACGTTGCAACCGCAGATTTTTTCTTTTCTGGGGAAATACAAACACGGGTACGCGAGTCCCGAGGGGTGTGCGGGCTGCTGCTCGGTCGCCCTGGACCGCCTCGCTCCGCGTCCCCGAAACGCAGGGCTGCGCTCCGAGCCAGGCGGAGCGCGGCTTGGTTGTCGGAGGCTCCCACGTGGGTCGTGAGCGTAGCAAGGACTACAGTTAAATCACACCTCATCAGGTCAGGTACCCGGAGGCAGCTGCTGGGGCTGCGAGGTGAGCTAGCCACGTGGGGCTTGAACACTGTTTCCTCTTGAAAGAACACTGACAAACTATGACTATTGAGACGCGGGTATTTGGTAGATATTTGCTGAAAAGCAAACTAAGGAAGCCCGGCATTGCAGGGAAAACAACGGAAAGCATTTTGATAAATTTACGACATTTGAGCTTTCAAGTAGAAATGAGAATTTTGGAACATCGCATCTGCCACCGTGAACTTAACGGTTTCCCAATACTCCAAGAATTTTCTAATGATATGGGTACGGATGAAGAATACGGTTTTCGGATAATGTATAATGAAACGTGTCAACGATTGGAAGATCTGCATAACTCTGTCAACCAGTATTTCACAAATAACCTATGTCTGACCTCACAGATTGTGCAGAGGCAAAAGAGCCCTTCAGAATGCAATGTTGGGGGTCTGGGGGGCTCAGTCGGTTAAGCGTCCGACTTTGGCTCAGGTCATGATCTCACGGTTCCCTGAAGTCTCGCGACTGGCTCTGTGCTGACAGCTCAGAGCCTGGAACCTGCTTACGATTCTGTGTCTCCCTCACTCTCTGACCCTCCCCTGTTCTCTCTCTCTCTCTCGGAAATAAATAAAACATAAAAAAAAAAATTAAAAACAACAAAATGCAATGTAAAAAAAAAGCAATGTAAACCAATGGATTTTAAGGTAACTATGCAAAAATGATAGATTTGGTATTCACACTGTAACAGGCTTTTAAAACCTACTAGTTGTCAAATTTGACATAATATCTAAGAAAGATATCCAGTTATTTGAAAGCCTATTAAAATAGTCCCTTTTTTTCCAATTCCATGTCCTTGTGAGATTGGATTTTCTCCATAACACTACAATCACAGCAACACATCACAAGAGATTAGGGGCTGCAGGAGCAGCTATTCAAATATAACTATCCTCAATTAAGCAAGACAATAAAGAGGTTGGCAAAAGAGTAAAAAAACAACAAAAAAAAGTAAGACCATCTTAACCCCATAGCTTGATTATAAATCATGTCCATATTTGTATGGGTCCTGAAGTCCAGCAGTGCACATCCTTTATTTCTTTAAAAACATTTTTTTCAATGTTTATTTTTGAGAGACCAAGACAGAGCACAAGCGGGCAAGGGCAGAGAGAGGGAGACACAGAATCCAAAACAGGTTCCTGGCTCCCAGCTGTCAGCACAGAGCCCGATGCAGGGCAGGATCCTACAAACTGTGAGATCAGGACCTGAGCCACCCAGCTGCCCCTCTTTGTTCTTTTTCAAAGCTGTTTTGACTATTCTAGATCCTTTGAATTTCCATATTTTAGAATCAGCTTGCTGATTTCTACAACAACAAAATCCCCCCAGAATTATGATTGCAATCATGTTGAATCATATCAACCTGAGGAAAACCAACATCTTAACAATCCTGAACCTTCCTATCCATGTACATATTTATCTCTTTTAAGTCTTTGATTTCTTGCACATCTTGTAGTTTTCAGTATATAGAACTTCCACATCCTTAGATTTATCCCTATTTCATATTTTTCAATGGCATTGTAAATGATAGTTTTTAAATTTCAGTATCTAATTGTTCGTTGCTAATATATGGAAATAGTTAATTTTTGAATACTGATTCTATATCATGCAACCCTGTTAAACTCACTTATTACTTTTAGAAGCTTTTCTAATTATAGGCATGCAGTGCTATAGATTTCTCTATAAATACTGTTTTAGTTATAGCCTACTAATTTTGATCTTTTATCTTTTCATTTTCATTGAGTTCAAAATATTTTCTAATTTCCTTCTTGATTTCTTCTTTGACCTATAGGTTATTTAAAGTATGTTATTTCAGGGTGCCTGGATGGCTCAGTTGGTTGAGCGTGACTTCAGCTCAGGTCACAGTCTCACGGTTCATGGGTTCTAGGCCTGCGATGGGCTCTGTGATGACTGCTCAGAGCCCGGAGCCTGCTTCGAATTCTGTCTCCCTCTCTGCCCCTCCCCTGCTCGCACTCTGTCCCTCCCTCTCAAAAAAAACAAACATTAAAAAATTAAGAAAAAAGGAAGTGTGTAATTTAGTTTAAAAAAATTGAGGGATCTTACAAATATCCTTCTGTTACTGATTTCTAATTTAATTCCCCTGTGGTCATAGAGGATAGGATACTCTATGTCTTGAATTGTTTTAATTTTTTTTTAATGTTTTTATTTATTTCTAGGAGATAGACAGCGTGAGCAGGGGAGGGCCAGATAGAGAGGGAGTCACAGACTGAAATAGGCTCCAGGCTCTGAGCTGGTAGTCAGCACAGAGCCCAACGCGGGGCTCGAACCCACGAACCGCGAGATCGTGACCGAAGCGAAAGTCGGACGCTTAACCGACTAAGCCACCCAGGCGCCCCTGTCTTGAATTGTTTTAAACTTACTGAGACTTCACTTATGGCCCAGACTATAGAAGATCTCAGTTCTGTGTGAACTTAAAGAATGTGTAGTCTCATGTTTTGGGTGGGGTACTCTACAGATGCCAGTTACCTCAAGTTGATTAGCAGTGCGATTCAAGTCTCCTACATCCTTAATGATTTTCTGTCTATCTGTTCTGTCAATTACTTAGGGAGGTGTATTAAAATCTCTGGATATAATTTTGGTTTTGTCTATTGCTCCTTATAGTTCTATCAGTCTTTGTTTCCTGTATTTTCAAGCTCAATTATTAGCTGCATACATGCTTAGGATTGTTACATCCTCCTGACTCCTTTATTATTATGAAATAAGGCTCTTTACCCCTGGTAATAGTATTTCTCTAAAGTCCATTATGTCTGATATTAATAGTTGCTCCTGTTTTTTAATTAGTGTTAGCATGAATATCTTTTTAATATTTTTGTATCTTTAAAAAAATTTTTTTATGTCTTTTGAGAGACAGAGCGTGAGCAGGGGAGGGGCAGAGAGAGAGGGAGACACAGAATCTGAAGCAGGCTCCAGGCTCTGTGCTGACAGCTCCGCAAACTGAGTGGGGCTCAAACCCACGGACTATGAGATCATGACCTGAGCTGAAGTCGGACACTTAACCTATCTTTAGTGAGTTTCTGGTAGGTAACATGTGGTTGCATATTTTTTTATCCAATTTGATCATCTCTGCCTTTTAATTGGGTGTTTAGACCATTTACATTTAATGTGATAATTGATATGATTAGGTTTAAGTCTACCATCTTGTTTTCTATTCATGTTCTCTGTTTTTGTTTCATTCTTTTAGAATATCTTTATGATCCCTTTTTTCTCTCCTTTGTTGGCTTATTAGCTAGAACTCTTTGTTGTGTCATTTTTAGAGGTTGTTTTAGGGTTTATAATAAATATCTTTAATTTATCCTAGTCTGGCTTCAAGTGCTATTATACCACTTCACATAGAAACAGGAACCTTACAATGATACATTTCCATTTCTTTCCTTACTCCCACTTCCAGCCTTTTTGCTATTGTTATACATTCTATTGGTTATAAATATATTATGTACTTTTAAAAATGTATAACTATCCTGTTTTCAGGGTTCTTCCACGTTGTACACGGATGGCGCTTCATTCTTTTTCTGCTGGGGGATGCTCGTTGCGTGCAGATCCACGTCCTCCTTAGGCGCTCCTCCACTGGTGGACACTGGGCTGTTCCCACTCGTCAGCTGCTGGGCCTGGTGCTGCTCTGACCTCGCCTTGGACCTCCCGGCTGGTCCCCTGTCTCCTACCACTCCTTCCAAGCCAGCCACTTATTTCTAAAACTCAAATCTAAAGTTCACCTATTTCAGACACTTCAGTGACTGTCCCTTGCTCATAGAGCAAGTCCAGGCTCCTGGTTGGTAACACAGGGCCGGATGAATGCTGAGCCCAAAAGACGCGGGGCTGGTCCCAGCTGCAGCCCTCTGTCCCACCTCATCCTGGCTCCTACCCCAAACTGCCTCTCCTGCCCTTAGCATAACCCACAGCAGGCTGCTCTTTTCTCAGGGCTGCAGGAAAGGTGTAGGGTTTGATCCTCAGAGTGGCATGGCCTTCCCACCAGCCAGAAGATACAACTGTCCATTCTTCCAGTTTTTTGGTCCCAAGTCAGGCTGATCTTTCCCCAGGGCCTGCTGCAGTCTGTATGTTTGTATCATTGCAAAATTCCCATGTTGAAATTCGAACCCCCAAAAGCGATGGTATTAGGAGGTGGGGCCTTGGGAGGCAGAGCCTCATGAACAAAGGAGGCTCCCAAGAGCTCCCCCATCCTTTCTACCAGGTAGAGACACAGCAGGAAGGTGCTGGCTCTGGCCCAGAAAGAGGGCCCTTACCTAACGATGCTGGCACCTTGGTCTTAGACTTTGCAGCCTCCATGAGTGCAGGAAAGAAATGTGTGCTGTTTAGAAGCCTCCCTGGCTGTGGTGTCCTGTTAGAGCAACCGGTACAGACGGAGGTCCTTGATAAACATTCCCTGTTCTCAGTTACCAACGTTAATTCTTACCTTTTTTAGCTTTCTTGCTCTTGTTCTTTGAATCCTGAGAGAAAGAACCACAGCGTGAGATGCTTACTGGACTTGGTGGGCACCGGGGAAAGGGTGCTGTCCTGCCCAGGAAGGCAGGGCTGCTCTTACCTGGCTCCCCACACCTGAGAAGGCTGCCGAGGAGCCGGTAACCCAGGGAGCTGGGAGCAGAGCCTAGGGAGTCTTCCTCCTCCCCAGGCATCCCAGGGTCCCGCCAGCATGGCGGCTTCCGGAGGAGGCTGGGAGGCTCAGAGAGACCCCCCGGTAACCTTCCCTGCCCAACACGGGTTTGGGGGGAGGGGTGTGGCAGAGGCCCCACTGTACCCTGAGAGACGTCAGCCTGTCAGTTTCCAAAGAGCGGATCACCCCGAAGTTGCACACTTCGGACACGAGCGGCTCCCCGGCCAGCAGGGGCTCCAGCACCACCAAGCCACTGCCCAGCACAGTCAGGATGGGCGGGTCCTGGCGGAGCTCCTTAGGAAGCTCTTTCTTCTTCTTGGGCCCCTTCTGTTCCTGTGGTGAGAGGCCAGGACAACAGACGGGACCCAGCAGGGACAGTGCCCAGAGCGCCCACAGCCACCACACCCCAGGACACCTGGAAGCCTGGCTGGTACCTTCGCCACCTCTTTCTCCCTTTTCCCCGCCTTGTCCTTCCCGTCTTTTCCCTTCTTGTCTTTCTCCTCCTTCCCTTTCTTGTCCTTCTCCCCTTTTCCTTTCTTGGCAGGTGGCAGAACAGCAACAGGAGGCATCGCCGCAGGCCAGGAGAGAACCTAGGGGACAGCAAGGTGGCCACAAGTGAACACAGCCCAGCCAGGGGCTGGCTGCCCCCTGACAGAAGACCGGGAGACAGGAAAAGGGGGGTCTGGGCCACCCACCTTCTCCTCCACGATGGTCACCGTGGTTCCCGCCAGCAGGAAAGCCTTGAGTGGCACCAGGTCCTTGAGTGTGTGCTGCATCTCATAGTTGCAGGGGATGACATCAGTCCAGGGCTTGCGGACAGTGCTGAAGAGGACGGTCCTTGGGGAGGGGGATGAAGACAGGGGTCCCATCACCCGGGAGGCTGGGGCCGGGTACCGGGACCAGGCCTTTGAGAAGACGTGCACACGCACACACAGCGGGAGAGGAGGCCAGACACAGAGGATTACTGCCCGATGACACGTATCAAGGTCTAAGAGAGGCAAACTAGTTAATGGTGTTAGTTGAGTTGACAGTGACCTTGGGGAGGAGGCTGGGGCCTAGGGAGTCTTCAGAGGTTCCGTGTTGTTTCGTGTCAAGGGCAGAGCTACCTGTTGTCCTTATCATCTGGCTCTAAAGTGGATATTTCTGTGCGTGTTACACTTCAATTGCTTTTTTTTTAAGGTAGAACTGGTCTGTGTCCACAACCACATGGAGAATCAGCAAATTTCAAAATGATACACAGAAGTCTATTTAAAAAAAAATGATAGGAGTATATATGTTTATATATATGAGTGTATAAGAAGAAATAGGAGGGGCGCCTGGGTGGCTTAGTCGGTTAAGCGTCCGACTTTCGCTTGGGTCATGATCTCGCGGTTCGTGGGTTCGAGCCCCGCGTCAGGCTCTGTGCTGACTGCCAGCTCGGAGCCTGGAGCCTGTTTCAGTCTGTGACTCCCTCTCTCTCTGACCCTCTCCTGCTCACGCTGTCTCTCTCTCTCCTAGAAATAAAACATTAAAAAAAAAAAGAAGAAGAAATAGGAAACTACATGCACAAAACTATTAAGAATAATTCATTCTGGGGGTGCCTGGGTGGCTCAATGGGTTGAGTGTCCAACTCTTGATTTTGGCTCAGGTCAGGATCCCAGGGTTGTGGGATTGAGCCCCGCACTGGGCTTGGTGTTGAGTGTGGAGCCTGCTTAAGATTCTCTCTCTCTCTCTCTCTCTCTGTTTCCCCCCCACTCCCCCACCCCTTCCCTGCTTTCTCTCTCTAAAATAAGAATAGTAATAAACAGTAATTCATTCTGGCTTGGCTGGCTCAGTCAGTAAGGCCTGTGATTCTTGATTTTGGGGTCCTGAGTTCAAGGCCCATGATAGGCATAGAGCCTACATTAAAAAGAAAAAAAAAAAAGGTAATTCATTCTATAGGATAGGTTAGATGGAGGCAGAAGCAGCTTATTTTCTAATTTACATATTTTTAAAGCAGAATTATTTGTGGCTCTTTTTTATTTTTCCAAAAATCCAACACCACCACTAACCACAAGGTCGTTGGCTATGGTTGACTGAGGAGCCTGGCACGGGGGTGGCTGGTTGTCCCCCCACCCCTTCTACCTGGCTGCTTCCCTGGTTCTGTCACCTGCGGGAACACAGCCCAAGGGGACGGGACACTGCAGCTCCCCCATTTTCTCCACAAACCCCTACCATTTACCTTCAGTTGAATTTTATAAAAAATAAACCCAAGGGCACCTGGGGGCTCAGTCGGTTGAGCATCTCACTCTTGATCCAGCTCAGGTCTTGAGTTAAAGCCCATGTTGTCATCATCATCATCATCAATTATTTAATAAATAAATCCAAACCAGCCTCAATGTTTTGAAATTAGTTACAAAAATCAGTTAATAGAGCTTTGATACCTGATGAAAAGTGACCCTAAGTTCTTGTAAAATTCTTCATGGAAAGACTCTTCATTAGAGAAGACCTGTGATGACTGTGAGGCTGCCAAGCGGGCTAGAGGGGCCTTAGGAGGGTAAGAAAGGGCCTGCTGCTCCGGATGGTAGATCTGAACCAGGTGTGGATCTCAGGGTAAATTTCATATACTAAAAAGTTACACGGAGAAGGTTCTACACTCTGAGGGCTAAAATGGAAAGCGCTGGGGCGCCTGGGTGGCTTAGTCGGTTAAGCGACCGACTTTCGCTTAGGTCATGATCTCGCGGTTCGTGGGTTCGGGCCCCGCGTCGGGCTCTGTGCTGACTGCCAGCTCAGAGCCTGGAGCCTGTTTCAGTCTGTGACTCCCTCTCTCTCTGACCCTCCCCTGCTCATGCTGTCTCTCTCTCTCCTAGAAATAAATAAAACATTTAAAAAAAAAAAAATGGAAAGCGCTGCCCGTCTGCTGCCTAAGAATGCCTGCATGCAGAGCACCTGGTGGCGGGAAAAGTGAAGCAGCTACCCTGGGCGGAGAGAAGGGCTCAGAGTGCCCAACACCACGCGGCCGCACCTGCACAGCCGGGGTGTATGGCCTCAGCCTGTCCCGCAGGTGGGAGGTGCTCTGCTGTTGGGTGAGGAAGGGGCTCCCGCCGGGGCTCCGTCCTTACCCTGGGGAGGGGCAGAGCCGGGGGTCTATCCGCGGCCGCAGCTTGGCCAGCTCTTCCGCAGAATCGGTCACCCTGGGCAAGGGTGCTGACCCGCCTGACGCGAGCGAATTCTCGAACTCTCCTGACTGGGTGGACAGCCTGGACTCTACAGACTCCTCGTACTCTTCGAAGGCCTCTTCAGGAATATCCTCGCCCAGCTGCTCAGCGCTGACGGTCTGGGGGAGAGACCACATACCCGCCTCGGCCGCAGTGTTCAGGGCTCCCATTGCGCATGTGCTTGAACCGGTGTCCTCAGGAACGGAGGTCTGCGGAAACAGGGGTCCACGCCATGGTGAACGTGCGGCACCAGCAAACACACAGACTTGGGCATGAAGTGTTTTTAAAATGCCCCTTCTGAAAGAACTACCTTAGGAGTAAGAACAGTAACAATTTCTGCCGGAGCTAGTCTCAATACCCTGCGATTTGCTCCTGACAGGAAAGGCGATGGAGGAGGAGGGGAGAAGCGTCTGGCAGGAACAACCAGCCTGGTTGTACATGCTGTTCCTTTGGGAGGCCGCTTGCTCATGTTTCAAGGGCGAGGGAAGGGGGTGAAAGAAAGGAGGCGGCTCACAATAAACTATTAAAAAAAATAAAGAAAGGCGGCTCAGCTCCAGCAAGAAAGGGGCAGAACGAGCTGCTCCTTTCTCGGAGGAGGCTGTGAATCGATAAGCTCCCTGTGAGGGGGTTTCCTGGGCCCCAAGAAGCCAAGAAGCTGTTCTGCCTGCACAGGACACCCTGGGGACCCCAGTGCAGCCCAGCCCTTCCCCCCACCCCCACCCCCAGTGCTGGGGGAAGGGTCACACACCTCAGCCAGCACACCACCGTATTCACTTCCTTCTCCTTCTTCATCTTCCACAAAATCGTAGGTCACATAATAGCTGTAAGTGATAAAAGGGCCTTGGGGCCCTGGCTCCGGGTCTAAGACAGACGTGTCCGGAACCCCCTTGACATTTCCAATAGTCACCACGAGCTGTGCCTGATGCGCCAAGAGGTCTGCAAGGGAGAATGGACGGAAGTGAGGGGGACAGCAGGGGGGCCAGGCCTAGCAGGATCCTTGCTCCTCTCTTCCACTCAGGGGGGAGCCTCCGAGTTCGCAGACTTGGGTTCAAATTTCAGTTCTGCCAAGTTCAAACAGTCATTTGGGGGTATGTCCCTTTCTGGTAAGACACCCCTCTTAATTCTGGATCTGTATATGGGAATGGTAGTAGCTGCTTTGTAGGGTGCTTAAAGATAAAGAATAGATGTTATCTTAGCACACACCTGGCTCACAGTAGGTATAGCTATTATCACCAATGGTCTATCACCCTGACCTGGAGAAGGCTCTGATGCAGCTTGTGGCATGGGCCACAAGGGGGTGATCTCAAGCCACCACAAAAGTAAAGAAATTGATTTAAAGAATGTCTCCTGTTTGCCTGGGATGGTCTCAGCCTCCTTACCACTTGTGTCCCCAAATCCCAATCACAGGGATCAAAAGTCCAGGAGAGAACTCTGACCAAGAAGGTGAGATACGCCTGATTAGGGTGGGGGTCAGCTGGGGAGTTGCAGGGACAGACTGCCAGTTCGAGGGTGGAGGGGCAGGCAGGGGCTCGGGGTGTCGGGGTGTCAGATGCCGGCCCCTCCCCACTTTGCACATCCGCTCCCTCACCCCCACTGTGGCTGAGCCCCCGGAACAGATGCTTCTCGCTGGGAGACACGGTGATGTCGTCCAGCACGCAGAGCCGGGCCAGGCTGTCAATGGTGAAGCCTCGGTAGTAGGGCAGCAGGGCCAGCGGGTTTCCCTGCAGCACCAGCAGCCGCAGGCGTTGGAGGGCGCTGAGGCTGGCGGTCATGCCCTGCAGGTCCGTCAAGTCATTGAAGCTCAGGTCCAGAGAGATGAGGTTGGGCCTAGAAGGGGAACAGGACTGTCCCAGAGCCAGAAGTGGGGTGAGCAAAGGGACAGCGACAGGCAGCCGCTGTCGTGCCCCTGGGCTGCCCTGCTCAACACCCCCCAGCAACCCGTGTCTGGGACAGACAGAAGGCCTGCTCTGAGGGCGGGTCAGAGCCTCACCCCGCCCTCGCCTCACAAGTCAGCTGCCCTTGACTCAAGTTAGCCACCCTGTTGGGAAGCGCTTCTTGGTTCTACTTACCCCCCTCTCTCCACGACACTGCATTCCTCACTGTGACACAGAGATGGCCCTGGTCACATCCTGCCTCCACTGACTTCCATTTACACCAATCTTTTGTTCTCAGTTAAACGCTTGGTCCCTCCCCTAGATCCTGACACAGGATTGTGCCACTAGAAGGTTCTCAACAAAGAAGGATAGACTGGCAAGGAAGACGGAAGGAAGCCACATGGGGAGGGGCAGCGAGGGGGGGTAAGAGAGGGAGGTAGATCTGGGGATCTGGGAAGAAGGTGCTTGAAACTTGAGGGGTCTAGAAGCTGGAAGACCCCTTCCAAAGCCCGGCTGGCTCGTGGTCGTAGGAAGCCATGTGCTTCCTTTCTCGGGGTACATGAGTGAAGCACACGCCGGTGACCATCCCAGTCTGGAGAGGCGGACCACAAACAGGGCAGGGCTGGTTCCCCAGCCTAGAAAGCAAACCCATTTGGCTCTGAGAGCAGCAGCAAGAGAAGAGCAAGGGGCACTTCATCAGCACCTTGTACCCTAGGCCTCCTGCTGGCTGAGCGCAGGCAAGTCCCCTCCCTTCTGCCCTCGTGTTGCAGCCTGTCCCGCCCCTGACATTGGCTAGCCAGTCAACGGGAAATATCCAGGAGCGCTTCACGGGGACCGGCACACGGGCCCTATCCAACATCAGCCTTCTTCAAGACGACTGGGAACACATCAGCAAAATCGGGCTACGAGAAAGGTGCCCTCCTTTTCATTTCAAAGCAGTGAAAAACAGGTTTCACGTACATGTTTTTATGAAAGCCACTCATGGCATTAAGCAGATTACCTGGGTTTAGAATAAGTATGTTTTCCAAATAAAAAAAACCAGAACAGCCGGGCCATCCCAGAAAGCCCACCGAGAGCTTCCCTCCTGTGCTCCATTCCGGGGCAGCTACCGTCGGCGCAAGAAAGGGAGGCAGAACCGCATGGGGCCAAGACCATCTAGAGAGAGCCTGGCAAGAGGGGGAGGGAGAGGAGGAGGGAGGTTATGGTCAGAGTCGGGGACCTTCCAAGAATGTATACAGTTGGGCCACCTGAGTTCCTTCTCCAGGTTACCTAGAAAAGCAGGGAAGGGACGCTGGCCTATCTTCTGTCCCTTCCGGGCCGTGAACCTAAGCCCATGGCCGCCCAGGACACTGAAACCCTGGGAATCCTCATGGCACGCTCTGAAAGCCTCCTCCGACGGCCTTTCACAGGTCGCCTCCGGTCCCCTCACACCCCTCAGACCCAGGGTTCTGCTTCCCACTGCTCACTCCCCAGGGAGACAAATCACAGCAAGGGTGGTCTGTAGGGCAGCTGGGGACGGTTCTGTACCGCACATGCCGGGCACCATCTACAAACACTCTGGTGGTTACAACTGGGGCAGGGGTGCTCCTGCATCTAGTGGGGGGAGGCCAGCAAGGCCGCTCAACTTCCTGGCATGACACAGCTTCCCGCTCCAGTGCCGGCGGGGCCCACGTCAAGAAACCCTGCTCTAAGGCACCACAGCAAAAGGTCTACTTTTGCTTCCCGCTACTTCTCATAATCCTTCCCTGGGCTTCAGTGGAAATGTTTGCTTAGTTAGAGAAATAAATCCTAGGTCTGGAGCTGGCAGCCAACCAGCAGTTATTACAGAAAAGAGCAAAGCTGGGGAGGGGAGTGGAGGGGAGAAAGAAGAAAGAGAAAAGGAAGAGAAAAGAAAAAAAAGAGCAAAGTGGAGTCCATCAAGGCGCCAGGGTGCAATCACCCAAACCGAACACTTAAGCCTCTGCCTCTGTCTGTCTGTGTCTGTCTGTCTGTCTGTCTCTCTCTCTCTCTCGGGCTCTGGAGTTACCAGTGATCGGAGGTGACATAGAGACTTTCCAAGGGGCCTTGAAGCTTGTTGTGACCCAAGCCCAAGTGCTGGAGCCGCGGGGGCGGGGGGGAGCACAGACACTCCATGCTGCTGATTTTGTTGCCATAGAGCTCCAGCACCTAGAAGAGCAGAAAGAACGGCGCCTGTGAGCCCTAGTGCCTCCTCCTCCCTCCCTCCCCCCCAGCTCTCCCTCCTCCTTCCCGCCCTCCTCCTCTCCCCCTCCTCCTCCCTGAGAAACAGAGAGGACTGTGAAGCACAAGCCAGGCCACCCTGTGCCCATCTGACTCCCTTTATTTTTTTTAAAGTGTTTTTTTAAAATATTTTTATTTATTTCTAGGAGAGAGAGAGAGACAGCGTGAGCAGGGGAGGGTCAGAGAGAGAGAGAGATACAGACTCTGAAATAGGCTCCAGGCTCTGAGCTGACAGTCAGCACAGAACCCAAAGAGGGGCTCGAACCCAAGAACCAAAAGATCATGACCTAAGCGAAAGACGGAAGCTTAACCGACTAAGCCACCCAGGCGCCCCTATTTTATTTAAAAAAATTTTTTTTTATTATTTATTTCTGAGAGAGAGAGAGCACGAGAGCAGGGGAGGGTCAGAGAGAGAAGGAGATACAGAATCTGAAACAGGCTCCAGGCTCTGAGCTGGCTGTCATCACAGCCATCACATAAAATAGGGGGAAAAAGGGGCGCCTGGGTGGCTCAGTCAGTTGAGCGTCCGACTTCGGCTCAGGTCATGATCTCAGGCTCGGGAATTCGGGCTCTGTGCTGACAGCTCGGAGCCTGGAGCCTGCTTTGGATTCTGTGTCTCCCTCTCTCTCTGCCCCTCCCCCACTTGTGCTCTGTTGCTCTCAAAAATAAACATTAAAAATATTTTTTTTAATATGGAAAAAATATTTCTACAGGTATTGGAAAGTTTCTTTCCTTTTTGTGAAGAAAACTTTAAAATTTGGCACAGGGGGTGATGCTGGAGTGGTTGGAAGCTGACAGACTTAGCATTTTGGCAATAGCTCAACCCACGGCAACATGTCACTGGGAAAGCCAAAGGGTCCCCGGCTGGAGTTAGGGATAAACTTGAGCAGAACAGAGCATTCTTGCACTTCTGCTCCAAGGCCTCACCTGGGTTCTTCCAAAGCCTGGCACTGAGCCGTATTTCTGAGTCCCTTTTGTCACTAAATCTACTAATTTCCACATTTAATTTAAAATTGAGAGCATTTTGGGGCACCTGGGTGGCTCAGTTGGCTAAGCCTCTTACTCTTGGTTTCAGCTCAGATCATGATTTCACAGTCCATGAGTTCAAGCCTCACACTGGGCTCTGCACTGACACTACAGAGCTCACCTGGGATTCTGTTTCCCTCTCTCTCTGCCCCTCCCCTGTTCTCTCTCTTTCTCTCTCAAAATAAATAAAAATAAAAACTTAATACAAAAAAATAAAATTGATACCATTTTGATATGCTCAGCTGAAAACTCATAATAAAGATTGGACTAGCTTGTACTTGTTTATTTACTTATTTATTTTGATAGACAGTGAGAGAGCCTGAGCATGATCTCAGGCAGGGAAGAGAGAGAGAGGGAGAGAGAATCTCAAGCAGGCTCCATGCTCCGCACACAGCCTGATGTGGGGCTTGATCTTACGACCATGAGATCATGACCTGAGCCAAAATCAAGAGTTGGACGTTTAACTGACTGAGCCACCCCGGAGCTCCTTGTTTCTTTTTAAATGATTATTTTTATGTATATGTAATTTGTCATTTACCTATTTTTTTTTTTATTTCAGAGACAGAGGATGCACATGAGTGGTGAAGGGGACAGAGGGGGAGAGAACAAGAGAATTCTAAGCAGGCTCCACGCTCAGCATGGAGCCCAACACGGCACTAGATTCCTCGACCCTGGGATCATGACCTGAGCTGAAATCAAGAGTCAGGCGCTCAACTGACTGAGCCACGCAGGCGCCCCCATTTTACATATTTTTAAGTGTACAATTCAGTGGCATTAAGTTCACTCACACTGTTGTGCAGCCATCAAAGCTACCTACTCCTGAAATTTTTCATCATCCCAGATGGACTGTACTCCATTAAGCAACGGCTCCGCATCGTCCTCACCCCTGCCCTAGTAACCTCTGATCTACTTCCCGTCTCTGTGGATTTGCCTCTTCTAGATATTTCATGCAAGCAGAATCACCTAATAAGTGACTTCTCGTGTCTGGGCTTTCACTCAGCATAGGTGTTCAAGGTTTGCCCATGCCCCAGCACGAATCATTCCTGTTCATCACGAAAGAAATCCCACCGTATGGAGGGACCACATTTTGTTTGGCCTCTCTCGGCTGATGGACATTGGGTTGTCTCCACCTTTCGGCTGTAGTGAGTAGCGCTGCCGGGAACGCCGGCCAGCAAGAATCTCTATCCCTGCCTTCAATTCTCTGGGGCTGTCACCTAGATGTGGAGTTGCTGGGTCTCATGGAGATTCTGCGTTTCGCGGAACCTGGCTTCGGTCTCCAAAGCCTGGAGCTGGTCATTGGCCAGACCTTCTGTGGGCAGGGCAGGGGCAGGGCCTCTGGGCAGCGCCAACCCCAAGACCCCAAATGGAGTCTGAGCTAACCTTTTACCTTGAGAGTTGGGGGCAGGTTGGCGGCATTGATCTCCTTGATTTGATTAGCGCTCAGTACCAACTCTTCAAGATTTATAAATTTCAGGAGGTCTTTATCCACCAGGCTCACCTGGAAGGGAAGGAAAGGAAGCTAAGAGCTCTCGTCAGTGAGGCAGCTTTGGAGCAGAAACAGCGTCTACGGGAAGACAGCAACAGGAGGCCACTTGCCTCCTATGGGAGTGACCTTGCATTCACCAACCCCTTTGGTCTCCCTTACTGACCCCCGTACAGCCTCTCCTGCTCGTCCCACCAGGATCCCAGGGCCTCGGCCTCAGCAGTGACCTCTCAGCCGCCACCTCACTCCCTGGAGGTGCCGTGTCCACTGTTGGACTGTGGGCGTCCAAGGGCAGGGATCCCACATTATTTGCTGTCTACTCCTGAGGCCATAATCACTAGTTTACACACAGCAAGGTCAGCCCCCAAGTTCAGAGGCCTATTTGTGAACCTTCAGTTCTCTGTGGCCTCAAAGACATCAGGGCCCTTCCTGGCGACTGTGCCATCTTCCCCAGGATTGAGGGATTTCTGGGATACTTTCGGGGCTGATGCCCAGAAAGTCCCAGAAAGACTGACAGGGGTTGCTCCCACCCCTCACGCCTGGTACTGTGTAAATCCAGTTTCTCCGGGAAGGGGGAAGCCAGTGTAGGGAGGCTGAGTGTGCACTTTGGGGGCTCTGTTATCAGTAGAAGCAAAGAAGGCTTTTTAGGAACAGACATTAATACAGTACTATGCCAACCCTCCCCAGTCCTGGGCCCCCATAGTTTAAATTAAGTAAAACCAATACAGACACTTCAAAGGTGTCTCCTAGGACCCAGGAGCCCCCCTTGTAGAGCGCACCAGAAGCCAGCTGTAGAAGACACACCTGGATTCCCCGGGGGGCCAAGGAAGAGGACATGGGACAAAGGAGCAGCTGGCCCTGCCTGGTGGAGGGGCTGGTGAGGTTAATTAGGACAGAGCTACCGCCCGATCCTTCCTTCCACTTAACACCTGGGTCTCACCACTAAGCTCTTTAAGGGGAATGGCTTCCTTAACATCAACTGCTGGCGCTTACCTGCTTGTCTACCACCCGTAGGGACCTGAAGTAGGAGTAGAAGAAGGTATCCTTGAGCATCAGGGGATTCTGGATGGCCAGTTCTCTCAGAAAACGGTCCTCTGCACTGGAGCCCTCCAGCAGAGCCCAGGGGGAGTGCGGGCTGCAGGCCAGGCCTAACAGGGTCTCCACAGTCTCCTCCTCGGGGCTCACGACCTCCTCGTCTCTGGGGATCAGCTCCTTCCATGTTCGCAAAGTTCGAGGAAGAAAGCGTGACTTATTCTGCAGCGGTGGAAGTGGAGAATTTCGCGAGTCGTGACTCAGCCCCCTCAAGGATTCGAGATTCCCCCAAAAGAGTGAGATGGTAAGATAGGACAATCAGGGATAAAGAGCTTAGAAGTTTAGGCAGTGAGTAATCAATACTCTCGACTAATTATCAGCCATGGATAGAACTATAAAGAACTACATTCCTGCCTTTAGGAATTGACTCCAGCTGGGGACCCCGAAGAAGCAGGTGAAAGCAACCTAACATTTAAGAAGGATTTACGTACTAGAAGCTAGAGGCGCAAAAGGCAATCTGGGGGATGTATTAACCAAGGAATGGCTTTCAAGGAAGAAGTAGCATGGCTAAAAAGGCGAATTCAGAATTTAGGTCCCACAGTGGATGGGGAAAGGTTGGGTCCCAGAGCTGACTTTCTCCCAGCCCTTCCTCCAGGAGAACACCTGGAGACGTGGGTGAAACCCAGAGGCTGCGCACGATGCCAGGCACGCAGTAGGCACTCAACAGCGTTTGCTGATGAGACAAATAAATGAATTAGTTCCTCGATGGGTGTCTTGGTTTTCTCCTTTATGAAAATGGGTACACTGACCTCCCCTTAGCGCCTACCAGTGTGTGGGGCCCAGCTTTCCAGCAAGCAGGAGGGGAACATTCCAGGCCCTCAAGATACTCCTGTGCACATCTCAGGGGCTGCAGGTTCTCAGTGTCCTGCTCCTCATCCCCACCGGGAGCACCTCGCTGACGGGGGTGGGGTGCCGACAGACGCACTCGCGTCCTGTGCCGCGACTTGCTCCCCAGGGAGAAACTTTAGAAAGGAAGTGTTTCTGGCCACGGAGACCAGGAGACAGGCAAGGAGGGAGGGAGCCATTGCTCCCAGACCCACTAGCCTCTGTAGCCAGAACAGGGCCTGCTCGGGACCACGCCCCACACTCGGCTTGGGGCTCCCCTCACGGGTTCTGGGGCACCTGAAGGTTGAGAAGCTCTTCGCCCGAGCAAAAGCTTTCCACCCCAAAGGGAGCCCGGTGTTTTTAAGGGAGAAGCCCTACCCTTCAGGATGGAATCCTGCCCAGGTCTAGCCGGGGTCCGGTCCTCCTCGCTGGGTCCGGCCCGCGGAGTGGGGGGAGCTATCCCGTCGGCCCCTGCGACGTCCCAGCCCCCACCCCAGCTCAGGACGCTCCCTGAACGCCCAGACCCAAACCTCAGGCTTCTCCAGATCAGCCAAATCCTGAGCTGGCGGCCCGGCCCCCTCAGCCCCCCCCCGCCCGCCACCGGCCGTTCCCCTCCGTCCCCTCAGATCCCAGCGTCCCTCCTCCGGCCGCCCCCGCCGGCGCCCGCACCCAGCTGCCGGTGCCGCACGGGAACTCGCGAAGACACAACTGCTTCAGGTGCTCCCGGACCGCGGCGCTCACGGTCCCGCCGGGCGTCTCCATGCCCGCGCGGCCGCCTCGCCTAGCCGGTTGCTAGGCAACGGCCGGACACGTGCGCGCTCACGAGGGCCGGGCGCGCGATCGTCCCGGCGGGGGCGCGCGGCACGCAGGCCCTCCTGGAACCCAAGACCGGCTGGTGTGTGCACACTTTCCCCCGCCGGGAGTCCGAGACCCTGACTCCCGCGGAGACGACCTGGGTTTTCTCCTCTGAGCCTTTTGCGCTCGCAGCTGTAAAATGGGATAATACACTTCCCACCACAACCAGGGGCCATAACTCCTGTAGCTCCTCGAAGGCGGCCAGCGCTTCCCATCTGAGAAAAGTGCTGATTATCATTCCCACTTGACAGATCTAGAAAAGAGAAATGAGCCCAAGGTCAAACAGTCTCAAGATTCTAACCAGCGGATTCCAATGTGAATTTCTTTAACTCCTGAGTCAAGAGTTTTAAATCACTGTTTGGGACTCCTGGGTGTTTCAGTCCGACTTCAGCCCAGGTCATGATCTCACGGTCTGTGGGTTCGAGCCCTGCGTAGGGCTCTCTGCTGACAGCTAGCTCAGTTTCTGGAGCCTGCTTCAGATTCTCTCTCTCTCAAATAAATAAAAAACATTAAAAAAAATTTAAATCACTGTTTACATATATAACAGTTTTAGCACCAAGCCCCCTTATAGACTGAAGTAAGTTCACTCATCATCTCTCCAACCTGAGGATCCAGCATCTAGCCTACTGCTGGCCAAACAGTAGGGGTTCCTGGGCACAGGTTTGAGAAACAAATAGGGTGATTCCGGATCCTCGAGTTTGGAAATGCGACATTTTTATTGAGCTATAATCTACAAACCCCCGAATTTACCTATTTAAAGTGTGCAACTTTGTGTGATTTTTAGTATAGTCATAATGCAACGATATTCATAGTGCAACTATCACTGTTATCTCATTTTCAACTTTTTTGTCATCCCAAAAGGAAACCCTGTACCCACTAGACTCACTCCGCCTTCCCCCATCGGCCTAGCCTCTAGCAACCACTAATAGGCTTTCTGTCTCTATGGATTTACTTCTTTTAAATATTTTGTATTAAATGGAATCATACAATATTTCTCCTTTTGTGTCTGGCTTTTACTCAGCGTCATGTTTTCACGGTTCACCCTTCCTCATCCCTTCCTATGGCTGAATAATATCACATTGTAGGAATGGACCACATTTCGTTTATCCATTGACCCAATGAGGGACATTCGTTTTCACTTTTTGACTCTTCTGAAAACTGCTGCCCTAAACGTTCCTATACACGTTTTTGTGTGCAACATATGTTTTTGGTCCTCTTGAGTAGATACCTAGGAATGAAATTGCTGAGTCATACAGCCTCTGTATGTTTAACCCTGTGAGGAACTGCCAAACTGTTTTACGCAGAAGCTGTGCCATGTTCCATTGCCTTCATCAATATATGAAGATTCCAGCTTTTTAAATTTTTTTATTTAAAAGTTTTTTTTGCTATGTTTTTATTTATTTGTGTGTGTGAGAGAGACAGCATGAGCAGGGGAAGGGCAGAGAGAGAGGGAGACATAGAATCTGAAGCAGGCTCCATCCAGGCTCTGAGGTGTCAGCACAGAGCCCGACACGGGGCTCGAATCCACCAACCGTGAGATCATGACCTGAGCTGAAGTCGGACACCTAACCGACTGAACCACCCAGGCGCCCCTCCAGTTTTTTAGTATCTTGACTAACACCTATTATTTTACTGTTTTTTTTTTTTTTAATAATAGACATCTTAGTTGGTGTGAAGTATCTTGTGGTTTTTATCTGCATGTCCCTAATGCCTGGCTAATGATATGGAACATCTTTTCATGTGCTTTTTGGCCGTTTGTGTATCTTCTTTGGAGAAATGTCTATTCTAATTCTTTGGTCATTAAAAAAAATTTTTTTTTGTCTTTTTACTGTTGAGTTGTAAAAGTTTTTTTTATATATTCTGGATATAGCCTATTTTACATATAATTTCCAAATATTTTCTCCCATTCCATGGTTGTCTTTTCAATTTCTTGGTAGTGTCCTTTGATCCACAAAAGTTTTTAATTTCAGTGAAGTGTCATTTATCTACTTTTTCTTATGTTGCTTGTGCTTTTGGTGTAATTTTAAAGAAATTATTGCCTAATCCTAATAGACTTGAGTTTGAGTGTTCTTTATACATTTTGTCAGATTTGTGGTTTGCAAATATATTTTTCCTAGTCTACACTTGTCTTTTCTAATTTTTTTTTAATGTTTTATTTATTTCTAGGAGAGAGAGAGACAGCATGAGCAGGGGAGGGTCAGAGAGAGAGGGAGTCACAGATTGAAACAGGCTCCAGGCTCTGAGCTGGCAGTCAGCACAGAGCCTGACGCGGGGCTCGAACCCACGAACCGCGAGATCATGACCTAAGCGAAAGTCGGACGCTTAACCGACTAAGCCACCCAGGCGCCCCTACACTTGTCTTTTCTAAACAGTGTCTTTATAAGGCCAAACATTTTTAATTTCGAGGAAGTCCAATTTGTTGATGGGTTCCTTCTGAAAATACCCACTGTGTTAGACATCTAGCATCCTTTTTGGTTGCCCTATGTCAGAACACCTTTATTATTATTATTGGAGAGAGAGAGAAAGAGAGAGAATCTTAAGCAGGCTCCATACTTAGTGGTGAGATCATGACCTGACCCGAAATTTAGAGTTGGATGCTCAACCGACTGAGCCACCCAGGTGCCCCACACCTTTATTATTATTAGAAAAATTCTCCAAAACTGGGCTATAAGACAAAAAAGAGCCACATGTCCTTTTAGAGAATAAGATAAATATCCATGAATGATTTAAACAACCAAAAAGATGAATCAGGGATGACTCCTGGGGTTTTAATGAGGCAACTAGGTGGTTGATCTGTAGTGAGGGAAAAGAAGTTTCGAGGGGGGTAATCAAGGGTCCCGTCTGGAATGAGTTAAGTTCAAGTTGCCCACTGGCATCTATTCCATGTCAAGTCAGCGGCTGGATAGGAGTCAAGAGCACAGGGATGAGGTCAGCCCTGGTTAGTCCATAGAATCCAATGCACAACAGAAGAAACAGGTGGGAACCCTCTTCCACCCCAAATCTCCCTCCAGCCCCTGCTGTCTCTTTCCTCATCTGATCCAGTCTCCTTGACAGACTGGTCTGAGTGTCCTTTTACCTCACTTCCCAAATTGCCACAATATGGCTCCCAACCTAACAACTTATTCAAACTCCCCAAGCAAAGCTCCCAGTGACTTTACGTTGCCAAACCTAGTGAGTCTCTTCGGTCTTTATCTTACTTGTCCTCTCCATGGCTTATGATGGTTCTAATTGTATCCTCCTCCTTGAAAACCACTTTTCATCCTGTTCCATGACATGTTTTCCTAGTACATTTCTTTCCCGCCTAAGAGTGTCTTCTCAGTGTTTCAGACTGTCATCTCCCTCTCCCTGTTCTGTTAATAGAGGTGGACCCCTGGACTCCGCGGCTACCTTACATGTCTCTTGTCATCTCTTGTAGGCTTACAGTTTTCTTAACCACAATGTACAGATGGCACCCAAAGATGGCACAGTTTACAGACATGGCACCCATGTCTCCAGTTCCTTCCTCCAAGCTCCAAATCCAAATGTCCAAAGACTCACTGTCCATCTTTATCTGAGAGTCCCATGACACTTCCAACTCACCATGTCCAGACTGAACTCTTCATTCACCTGAGCCCTGTGATCCTCTCTGCTTGTAGCACCACCATTCATCCAGTTGCCCAAACCACCAACTCAGTCGCAGTTCTCAGCGCCTTCTTCTCCGCCATCCCCATATCCACTCAACCAGCATCTCCTGGGAGCTTTGCCTCCTACAAATTTCTCCAGTCTATCCACACCCATTCATCTCCACAATCACTATTACCCTGGCTCAGATGCTTGGTTTTGGACATGTTGAGGGTGGGACATTCCTGTGGAGATGTCCGTTAGGCAATTGGACATTTAGATCTGGGGTCTGAAAGAGAGAGACATTAAAGTCTGAGGAACATGGATCAAGGATGGGGCCCTTGGAGACATGGCCATTAAAGGACCAAGAAGGAAGATGATTTGGCCTGAGAAGTCATGGTCAGAGGGCCGCAAGGTCTCAGGATATTATTATAGAATAAAGAGGAAAAAGAGGTTTTCAAGAAAGAGGAAGTGGTTGGCATCACTGCGTATCATGGAGGGGTCAAGTAAAATGAAGGCTGAGAGGAAGCCAGTAAGGTTGGCAACATGAGGCCACTGGAGACCATATTGGTTCTCACTTGCTGCCATAACAAATGCCATAAAGCCAGGCGTGTAAATCTACCAAGTTACTATCCTACAGTTTCTGTAGGTGAGAGGTCCAGTATGGAGAAACTGGATTCTCTGCTCAGGGTGTTACCAGGCCAAAGTCAGAGGAACAGCTGGGGCTGTGTTTCTCACCTGGGGTCCAAGGTCCTCCCCCAGGCTCCTTGGTTATTGGCCAAATTAATTTTCTCCTCATGCTTTCCACCTAGCACCCTCCCTCTTCAAGCCAGCAATGGTGGTTGAGTCTTTCTCATGCTTTGAGTCTCTCTGCCTTCTTCTTTGTTTGTAAGGGCTCGTGTAACCACATTGGACCCACCTGGTAGTCAACCTTTCTTCAGGTCAGTGGGGTAGTAACCATTAGTAATTAACTCCACCTGCAAAGTCCTTGTAATGTAATATAATTATGGAAGTAAACACCAGAGGGTGAAAGTCATGTGGGCAAAATTCTGCCTACCATGGACTTTGCTAGAGAATTTTTAATAAATTGTTAGGGTAAAAACCATACTGTGGTGGTTTGGGAAGTGAGGTAAAAGTGCACGTAGACCACTCTGTCAGGACGTTTGGATAAGAAGAGGAAACAGACAGCAGGAACTGGAGGGGGACTAGGGATTAAGGGTGGAGGAAGGGGGTTTCTCTTTTCTGTGTGTGTATTGGGTTCTGTGGACGGCCCCAGTCTGACTTCCTCCCTGTGCTCTTGACTCCTATCCAATTGCTAACTTGACATCAAATAGATGCCCAATGGGCGTCTTGAACTTAACTCATCCCTGTTGGGACTCTTGATTTCCCCTCTCCAGACTCCTATTCTCTCACTGCAGATCAACTACCCAGTTACTTCACCAAACTTCCAGGATTCATCCCTGATTCCTCTCCTCGATTTACCTCTACATAAGTCTGGTTCTGTGGACTCCATCTCCATCCACTCTACCCTGGTCCAAGCCACCATTGTCTCTATCTAGACAGCAACATAGCCTCCTAACTGGCCCCTCTGCTTCCATCTTGGATTCACACAATCCATTCCCCACTCAGGGGCATGTCTCATTCTTACTTCTTAAAGTACACCAGTGCCTGTATTCACCTCCCTACACCTGTCCAGCAGTGCCTTGTCACACTTGGGATAAAACCCAAATTCTTTATCATGGCCTCAGAAGGCTCTCTGTGACCTGGCCTCTGCCCACCTCTCTACCCTACCCCCCCACCCCCCATTCTCTCGCTTTGCTCCAGCTGCATGGCCCATTTCCCATGCTTGGCCACACCAAGAATGGCCACACCACACCTCACTTTTGCCTGAGGATTTTTGCACTAGTGTCCTCTACACTTGGAGCACCCTTTCCCCAGATCGTCCCACAGCAGACACCTCCTCAGAGAAACTGTTCCTTATCACTTAAAGTGTCTCACCTACCACTCTCTCTCTATCCCATCACCTTGTTTTATTTTTATAGTTCTTATTACCTTACGCTTTCCTGCGTGTTAATGTGTCTACTGTCCGCCCGTTGCCCACCAGGACACCAGCAATCAGGGCAGGGTCCTTGTTTAACTTCTTCACCACCATTCCCAAGACCCTAGAAGAGTCTATTATTCAGATTACGAATAAGTGCCCTCAACAAATAACTCTGGAGCACAGACTCCGGTTCTAGGCCTTGGCAATGCAAAGACACAGCTGAGAATCCGATGATGTTCAAGGCCAAGCAGAATGGAGATGACGCCTTTGACTCACCAGAGTCACCGTGGTTATCGAGGCCATCCCCGCACACTGGCACTGGCATGCTTCAGAAATTTCCAAAGGTAATACATTTTGAGAAACCTCATGCCAGCCTGACGCCTACGCATACTCACTGTGACCCTCCCCAGAAATTCCCTGTGGGGCACTGACCCGCAGCTCCTGTAAATCATCTATTCCTGGGGAGTTATGCCTGTCAAATCTGGGCTTCAAAATTTCTTCTAGTCAAATCGACAAGCTTTTTCCCAGAAGAACTGGCAAAGATGTGTGTGCCTTCCTGTGTGTGTCTGTACTGAGTCAGGCATCTACCCACCTTGAGGGTAACCTCAGCGTTTCCTTCCAGTCCCGCTTTTGCCCAGCCTCGTGTGGCAAAATATTGAAAGTGTTTTCTGGAGAAAAGCTGAGCAATGATTTTGCCATGGGCGGGACGTTGATCACTCTTTTCCCTCACAACTGGCCCCTTATATATCTCCCGGAGGCCATAGCGAGCATACGCAGCCCCAGAAGCTGTTGCCAGAGCAGGCCTCGCGTGCTCTCTCACCATGTTCTCCCACACAGGTACTACGGTGCCCTGGGGCCTGTTTCGTGAGCGTGGCCTTGTCTCGTCAGATAGAGGAGGCTCTGGAGGGGTTCGGCCAGTGGTTGCTCAACAACAGCTTCAGTGGTTGCAACTGGGGTAGGCAGGGGGCATTGGGCCACGTGGCCCACAGCATCATTCTCTTTCCCCAGGACCTGCCAGGTTTGCCCTGTTTCTGCTCTGCTGCATGGAAGCTTCGCTGTTCTCCCACATGGCGCCCACCCGTCGGCTACCAGCAAGTGACATCCGAAAAATCATCTTGGAATTACGGCCTCTGTCTAAGCGACTTCTGGAAGACTACGTAAGTACCCTTATAGATTTCTTCTCCAGGCTGTTTCTTTAAAATGCCTTCCATTTGCCCCCAGAAGTAGCCAACTCTTTTAAGACCTCAAGCTAGGGCTATGGATACACCAGGAAGGGATGGGAACAACTAGACAAGATACAGTGGAGTTTTCATGAGGGTTGGAGGCAGAGATTAGCCCAGACAGCCTGAGGTTCAATAACTCCTCATGTACTATAGGATCTGCTTTAGTAGGTCTGTTCATCCTTAGCATATTTGGTTCACGGTAGTGTTATGAGGATTTTCCTGCCTGCAGTGTGTCCCTAACGACAGGCCATCTTGCCTGACCATTTAGGAGCCGCCAAAGGTCAACCTCCGCTGTAAATGATGTCCCAGTGACTGCAGGACATGAAAATCCTCTCACGGGCATGGAGAGTCTCTCTTACTGCAGAGAAGGGCAGTGAACAAATTGGGTGTCTGTTTGCAGGCTACTTTATTGTTTAATTAGGACCCAGTCTGCTTCTACCAGAGGCTCTGCTGAGTCTGACCCCATTGGGAGGAAAGTATGAGGCTGAATAAATGTAAATACTCTTCCATTGTCTCGGAGTTGCATTCAAGATGGAACCTCTCAGGCAGCTTTGATTAAACAAACAAATAAAAACCAAAACCTGGAAACAACTCATGAAATTGGCCTTGCTCTTCCCTTCCACCCCCTGACATTTAAACGTAAGCCTTGGCTTTTATGGGCACAGAAACAGAGGTTGCTATAAGCCCAGGTGACTCAGCAGTTCAGGCTGGTGAGATCCTGTTAGCATTTCAGCTGAATCCAAAATCTCTTAGTCCTTCGGAAGAGGGACAGGAGAGGGCATGGTCTGGAGTCCTTGGTATGTTTGGAAAAATTCTCCCTGGCACCTTGGAGGTCTTTCTGGACATGCACACACCCCCTCAATGAGCTGGGGATACATTGGCTCTAATCCAGAGTCACAAGGAGCAAGAAGCAGGACAGAAACTCAGATGCTTTCCCATTCCCCCTCCCTGAGCCCCAGAGCAGCTGAGAGAAGACTCCTGGGGAGGTGTGTGGAGGCCTTGGGCAGATGGAGCAGGGGAGACAGGATGGAGCAGTGCTTATCGGCATAGGCTTTGGAATTGCTGCCACCATGGGTTAGAATCCTGGGTCTGCCACTTGATCTTGGCCCAGCTCTGCAAACCAACTGATCTTCAGTTTCTTCTGGGAAAGGCGATAGTGATGACCACGGCCTCACAAGGCAGCGGCACCGATTACATGAGATGGCAAGGAGGAAGCGCCCGCCCAGCCCGTCACAGAGGGGGCATTCAGACGTTAGCACTGGGGGTTCTAGCCGTTACTGCAGACGTAATGCTCACCCGTGTCTCCTCCTCGTCCCACAGCAGGAGACGGGAGTGCCAGCATCCAACCATTCCTCACTCCCGCTCCCGTGTCTCACCTCTGACTCCCAACCGCCACACATCAACAGTTCTGCCATCCTGCCTTACTTCAGGGCGATCAGACGATTGCCAGACAAGAACACTATCGATAAAATCATAGAACAGCTGGACAAACTCACATCTCAACATGAACCAGAAACAGAAGTTTCTATGCCTGCAGACAACTTTCAACGTAAAAGCTTCATCTTGACCGTTTTACAACAGTTCTCAGCGTGCCTGGACGGCATGCTTAAATCATTGAACTCTGGACCCCAGTAGGTCATTCAAGGCCATCTGGCTGAGCTATTCCTTCTGGAATGGTGGAAATGTCTTAAGCCTTGAGAAAACATGACTGGCAGGCTAAGTGTGACCGCTCTGCTGTAAGTTATCCAGTAAATTATCCCAATGAATAATTTCAGTGAATCCTCAGATGGGCTAGTCCCAGGAGGACTGAGGTATAAATGTGTGAATTAACTTGAAAAGATGTCAGGTTATGTCATTGTTCTCCATCTTGGCATTTATAGAATGTTTTTCCTCTGCAGACTTAAATCATTATGCCTTTGTGAAGGCAAAAGGCAGCACCTGTGTTAATTTATTGTTTTTTTTTTTAAATTGTATTGAGCGTGGTTAATGCTCCTCGGGAACTATTTAATAAATTATATTGAATTTTTCTCATAATCTGTTTTGGATTTTGTGAGGGGGTTAAAATCAGTGGCTGGGAATCCAGGCGGGTGGTGGGTGGTGGTGTGGCTGAGGGAGCGTGGGGCATGCTGTGGAAATAGATTCCATTTCTGCCACTGCCTTTCTCCTCATGGGACAGGCTCAGTAGCAAGTAAGAGTAATTCTAGCAGCGACAACCATTTATCTAGCATTTTCTTTATGTCAGGCCATGTAAGTGCCATTACTGTCCTCTTTTAATAGGTGGTGAAACTGAGGCAAGAAGTCATTCAGTGACTTGCCCAAGGCCACACGAGCTGTTACGCAGTGGGACCCAGACTCAAGCTTGCCCTTCACTATTCTGCCCACCCTTTGTCCCTCTCTGGGCAGTGACTTGGTCTTAGAAGCACTTAATGGCGTGCCTGGTACCGAGCAATCATTCTAGAGTCTCCTGCATGGTTCCAAACTGGATTCCTGGTGCCTCCGCTCCTGCAAAGTCCTATTCCATCATCGCATCCATGACTTCTTCATGGCCAGGGCCAAAGATTTTATCATTTGAATGAATGTTGAGTCCCAAGTTGTTAATGGCTCTTTGAGATCATTTGGACTAATGTTTCTCAAAGTCTGGTCTCTGGGCTGGAGGCATGGGCAGCACCTGGCGGCGTGTTAGGGACGCATATGGGTGGGCCCCCCTCACACCTACTGAATCAGACGCTTTGGAGGGGCAGCCGGTGACCTGGGTTTTAAGAAAACCTCCAGGTGATTCATATGCACGCTTAAGCCTGAGAACCACGGATCCTGAGTTGACCAACACCTTCATCTTATTTGGGGGAAGATGAAACCCAAAGACATAGTATGACTTGCCCACATTCTCATATCAGAGGGGTGAGGTTGGGACTCTGAGATATGCAGCTCACCCGGGAATTCTCATTCTTAACTCCTGCGGGTATTTCTGCTTCAGCCCCTCCCTGGGCTCTGAGACTTCCACACATCACAGCCTCCAATGACAATGTTTTGGGCAACCTTTCCAAAAATATCCACTGTGGTGTTCATCTATCATCCTTTTTGATGGTCCTATATCAGAACACATTTACTATGATTAGAAAAATTACCCCCAAACTGGGAAATAAGGCAAAAAGATGACCATGTGTCCTTCCAAAGAGTAAAATAAACATCCACTAGTCTGTAGTGATATAAATAAATGGAGGGAAAGGGAAAAATGTTCCTTACAGAACTCTAATGAATAAACATAGAAGGAATGAGAAAAATAGAAAATCACTGGGCTGGCTCGGTTAGTAGAGCAGGCAGCTCTTGATCTTGGGATTATAGGTTTGAGCCCCACATTGAGTGTAGATATTACTTAAAAATAAAATATTAAAAAAAAAGAAGATGTTGGTCATAATTGCTACAGACAAAGATCTACAGATGAAGGCTAAAATTAATGGATGAACTGCGAAGAAACAGGAAATTTGCATCGCATCGAAGTATCTTCCCACAAATATTTACTAGTCATTTGGCAGTTTTAACATAGGTCTACAAATGCTTTGATATTTCTCTTACAGGAGGCGGAGGGGAACTTCCCTCCTTTCAATGTAGGCTGGATCTGTGATTTGCTTCTAAAGCACCGAGCACAGGAAGGCAAGACAGCCACACACGAGGGAGAAAGCAATAGACGGCACCTCTGAGCAAGGCAAACAGACTAGTCAGTGGATGTCAGTCACCCCTGACCTGCCTCATCTCTGTGGGACTCTTCCCCCAAACGCATGCCCAGTCCCTTCGTGAGAAAACACCAGGCAAACCCAAGTCAAGGGACATTCTACAAAATCCCTGACCACAGCCCTTCAAAAGTGTCCGGGTCAGGAAAATCAAGGGAAGACAGAGAAGCCTCCACCTGGGGACCAAGGAGACATGAGGGTTGAATGCAATCTTTGAGGATAAAAGACAACAGTGGAAAAACTGGTGAAAATCCTAATTAAGCCCGCACTTGTGTTGATTTCTTAGTTTTGATCCGTGTACCACAGTTATGTAAGACGTTCCCATTTAGGAGAAGCTGGGAGAAGGGTATATGACAGCTCTGTACTCTCCAGAACTTTTCTGTATAACTAAATTTATTTTAAAATACAACACTTATAAAGGGGCGCCTGGGTGGCTCAGTCAGTTAAGCTTTTGACTTCGGCTCAGGTCATGATCTCACGTCTCGTGAGTTCGAGCCCCGCGTCGGGCTCTGTGCTGACAGCTCAGAGCCTGAAGCCTTCTTTGGATTCTGTGTCTCCCTCTCTCTCTGCCCTTCCCCAAACCTCTCTCTCTCTCTCTCTCTCTCTCTCTCACGGTCACTCTCTCTTGCCCTCTCTCTCTCTCTCAAAAAGAAAGAAATATTAAAAAAATAAAATGAAATGAAACACTTGTAAAACGCCACTTCTTCAGTTCCACGAACCACATTTTAAATGCTCCAGAGTCACATGTGGTTCCTATACTGGACACCACGAACATAGAACATCTCCATCACCATGGCAAGTTCTCTCGGGCAGCTCTGCTCTCAGGGAATCGGGCTTTCTTTGGCATGATTTATTCCTGAGTAGGTCCCCGCGTCTGTGAATTTGTAGAAATTGTAGAAAATGTGTAGAATTTGTAGGAAATTGATAAGGTACAGATCATTCCTCTCTGGTAGAGAAGTAACCCCAGAAGTGAAGAGGGTTTTATTGACGGTGAGGGCAGCTGAGCATCTACCTTCCCATTTTATTTCAGTGTTTATTCCCCTCAATGACGATGGAAAGACTGAGAAAATAAGATGTTACCTTCATGTATTATCCTTTCAACTCATTGTGCTGTGCTGACTGATTCCTTCACTGATGAGGTAAATAAAACGTTGGCATCTAAGTTACCTGGAATTCAGCTACCAAGGACCCACATGTAATTAGAGTTTCATTTGATGATAATCTGCCAAAACCTAGAAAGAGGCAAAAAGACAATCTTGGCATTTTGTCAGAAATTTTGTATCTCCTCCATCAACTCATTTCCACGGTATGTCTTGTGATCAAGAGACTCCATAATAATGACTTTTTAAAAAATCCAGTGTTACTGACTCACAGAGGAAAGGAAAATAAATATTCAAGGGTCACAGAGAAGCAAAAACTAATATGATCTAATATGATATGATTAATATGACCTCTTTATTTCAGGGGACACTCTCTGAAGCTGAGTAAAAACTTAAACCTGCCCAATTTATAAAGGAAGAACAGGCAATATCAGGCTTTAAGAAAAACATTTTTAAGCAAGGTCATCTTCTTGTTCTGGAGAATTAAGAGGTGAGAGGGAAAATAAAAAGGAAATAGAAGGGGCAATCAGATAACGAACGAGGAGAAGGAGAGAGAAGAGAAGATGAAGTGGTTAAATGTAAACTAAGAAATCAAATAGCCAGTAAATGTGAAACTAGGCCGAACCTTACAAGTAACCAAGAAAAGCAAATAAATAGAAGGTCAGATCAGTGCAGGCTTTACACACGATAAGGCTTGATGGCGGCGACGGTGAGAAAGGCCTATTCAGCCACTTCCGGAATAGGTGTCTGTCTCGTAGAGGATTCGTCCTGGTGACCCTCTCCTGCTATTCTGTCCTGGTATAATTTCCTAAGGAGCTGATCACAGACTGGACACAGAGCACACACACACACACACACACACACACACACACACGGGATCTAACAGTATTCGTGATAATATCAGAAACACACACGGAAACCCATGTCAGTGGTCATCTGAGGAAAGGTGCCAAGGCAGGACTCTCCATGCCAAAGCCTCACCAGCAGCCAAGACTGTGAGAGGCAGCGGGGGTGCAGGGGAAACCGAGGCCAGGCCCGGGTCCCCGTGGAGCAAAAGAGAGGAGGAAGAATGGCTGGTGGCAGCATCTTAGACAGAAGTGCTTTTCTTTTCTTTTTTTCATGTTTATTTATTTTTGAGAGAGAGAGAATGTGTGTGCATGCAAGCGGGGGGAAGGGCAGAGAGAGAGAGGGAGACACAGAATCTGAAGCAGGCTCCAGGCTCTGAGCTGTCAGCACAGAGCCCGATGTGGGGCTCAAACCCACAAACCAAGAGATCATGACCTGAGCTGAAGTCGGACGCTTAACCCACTGAGCCACCCAGGTGCCCCCAGATCCCAACTTTCTTAATTTACTTACTCAAGGGCCCTGGAAACATTCTGCCTCCAACAGCATTGGTGCTAATAAGAGCCGATGTTCTCAGGTACCAGGTTCTGGTTCTAGGTTCTGGTCCTCAACTTTCTGTATGTGATGTAACCTTAAGCAAATTATGTCATCTCTCTAAAGTATACAACTTGGTAGTGTGTGTGTATATGTATGTGTGTATGTGCATGTGTGTATATATGTTCAGAGCTGTGCAGCCATCACAGAAATCTCATTCCAGAACATTCTCAGCACCCCCAAAAGAAGCCCTGTACTCCTTAGCAGTCATTCCCTATTCCCCATCTGCCTCCAGCCCCTGGAAACCACTAATCTACTTTCTTTTTTTCCTTTTTCTTTTTAAGTTTATTTATTTATTATTTTTAGTAGTCTCTACCCCCAATGTGGGGCTCAAACTCACAACCTTGACATCAAGCAAGAGTCACATGAT